GCATATTGGAGACGGGTTAGATGATTTGCCATCATCAGACCGTCGATTATATCCTCCTGTATGGGTGAAGTGCAAACCACCCCTCAAAAACACCGATTTAGAGGGGTCGCAAATGACCATCTTCCCGTCGACTTTATCCCGCTTCACCACTATCAGTATATTGCCGACATTGTAAAAACACAAAGTACAGCCGAAAGTGGAGGTTTGTACATGCTTTGTCGAAATGGGATGGGTTGGAAGGAAAATTTTTCCAAGTTCGAAAAAATTCGAGTTTCAGCCTGGTGACTTCCACTTGAGACTTTTATGACCGACGAACGATTGTAACCCACATTAAATTTGCATGGGAAATCCGAAAATACCATCCGCGAGGTGATGGCTCGTGTCTACTCGTCAGGGCAAATCGCTTGTTTGAGCTTCAGGCCACGCCAAGTGCTCGGAGCGCCGTTTTTTCAAGCGCAATCGAGTTTACACGATATTATAAGGATACCCTTTTGGAATTTCCGCCAGAAACAGCTCAGGTCGGGCAGGGCACCCGAGCGAAGCCCGCCAGCGATTCCAGTCTCTGACCTTCCCTCCGCCCCATCTCCACTCCCCGGCGTCCGTTCGCCTCCGTTTCAATTTTAGAATACTCCACATACATTCTAGTTTCTATTTCCAACGCGGCGAGGCTGGGGAAAAATCCTATCCAAATCTGTTAGTATAGGTCATTTTTCCTAGTGTGCTGGTTCAGTCCATTTTTTTTTTTTTTTTTCACAGGCAAGCGTAGTTTTGTGTTTGCGTTGCTTCTATGCGTCCTACCCGCTTCCTTTGCACACGATCGTGAAGCGCACTGCTTCGACATGCCCCAGAGCTGGTCGCCGCTCGCCTCCGCCCCGCCGCTGAGCGACGGCAGCGACGCCGATACAAAAACGCCTTATTTTCATAATATTAAAAAAAAAACAAAAAAAAAAACGCAGCGTATTTCGCTCGACACGGCGACCGGTTTTTCCAGCGGTCTTGTCTCTGTTCAGCGGCGCAGCACACCTCGCTTGCACTTGGTGGCAAGTGCTTGGTCGGTTGCTCGTTGCATGCTAGCGTCGTTGTCGCCGCAAGCGCGCTGGTTGACGTTGAGAAAACATCGGTACCGTGTGAGCTGCACAGGAAGGTCCTCCTTTTTTTTTTTTTTTTTTTTTTACAATTTTTTTTTCAGTTTATTTTAAAAATTCAACCTTCTTCCACTCACGGCTTCCCTGCTTTTTTCCTTTCGTTTTGAGGTGTGGACTTTCGTGATTAGTATGTAGCCGGTATGACACGGCTGGAGTTTTTTTTTTTTTTTTTTTTTTTTTTTTTTTTTTCGCTTTTCGATGGCTGTGAGCACGTCTCCCTCGCTCCGTTGTTTTTTGGTCTGTGTTGTGCCGAGTTGTGCTTGCCCTCTTTCCTCTCTTCCGCACACACTCTCTCAACCCCACCTCAAACCTGGTGTTTGTGGCCGGCACACACACAGTCTGTGGCTTTTTGGGCGGTCGCGAGGTCATCAATTTTTTTGTGGGTTTTTTGTATTTTTTTTTTTTTCATTTTGCGCAGTTGAATTGGCGCGAAACATCGCCAAGAACAGAAAAAAAAAATAATAGTAAAAAAAAAAAAAGTAGAAAAAAAAAGTAAATAATTCGGCTTGGCGTCATCACATTTCAACCTTCGTTCGTCCTTTCGACCCCCGTGAGGGTGCTTGTCTCACCCAGCTGTGCGTTTGCTCGCAACTACATCCACAATGGTGGCGTTGAGTGCGCGTGCACCCTTGTCTGCGCAAAAGTGCGAAAACAGCGAGCGTAGCGAATGTTGTATTTTTCCAAATCATTTATCGGTTTTTGTGTATTTGTTTGGTCGCCGTGCGTTTTTTGCTCCAAAATCGGACATGTCTTGTTTTTTTGCGATGCGGATGTGAGCGAGTGAGTGTTTGAAGGTGGGGAAAGGCCAGGGGGTGGGGGGTGGGCGGTTTGGTTGAAAAAAACGAAGCTGCATTGCTGCGTTGCTGCGTTGCGTCTTTGCCCGCTCACTTTGAACGCTGTCCTTCACAGGTTTTTCTCCTCTTCTCGTCTCTGGCTCTCTCCCTCGCTGCTTTTCGTCCTTGTCCGACCCTTGGTCAAAAGCCCCTCTTTTCGCCCGACCTCCCCATTCGCAGAAAGCCTCGATTGAGCATTCTGCTCGTTCCGCGTTTTTTGGTTTTCGAATCATCCTTGGAGCCTTGCCTTCCTCACCAATCTCTTGCAAACTCAAGAGGTCCCCGATTCTCAAACTTTCACCACCTCCCCTCCATAACTTTCGGACTGTTCTCGCCTTGATTGTCGAGGGCGCCGACATCCGCAACAAACTTGTCTCACTCAACTCTACTCATGGGTAACCGCTGCTCAGACATGTCTCGCCCACCAGCCGAGACGGTCGTGGCGCGCCGTGGCGCGTCGTTGGTTTCCGATCCTTCGCGCAAGACATGCAATGGCTGCCGCACATGCGGCACAAACGGACACAGCAGCTCGAGCAGCATATCGTCGAGCAGTCGCAACAGCCTCTCCGAGCACGGCGATCCCATGCAAGACTACGACGCTGACGCAGAGCTCGACATTCGCGATCTCCACTACCCCGTGTATTGCAAAAGCTCCGCCGACACAAGCCGCCTCAACACGTGGGTGGACATTACCAACCGCTCCGACCAGTACCTGCCCAGCGTTCGTTCTGGGCACACTGCCGTCTGCACGGCTACACACATGTACGTCTTTGGCGGCTACCACGAGCGCCAATGCTTTTCGCAAGTCTACCGCATGCACTTGATTTCCCGCGAGTGGCGACGACTGAATTGTGTCGGCGACATTCCCGCCGAATCCGCCTCGCACTCGATGCTGGTCGTGGGCAACTACCTCCTGTCGTTTGGCGGCTCTGGCGCACACTTTGGCTCGAGCAACTCGAATCGCCTCACAATGTGCGATCTCAACACGGGCGTTTGGACTCGCATCAACGCAACGGGCACCCTCCCGAGCCCCCGCTACGGCCAGTCGATGGTGCGCATCCGCAATTATCTCTACGTGTTTGCAGGCACCTCGGGCATGACCTTTTTCAACGACCTCTTCCGGTTCAACTTGGACACGTTTGTCTGGGACAAGATTACCGCGCCCGGTGCGCCCTCCGAGCGGTACCGTCACGAGGCTGTCTCGATTGGCGATCGCTGCTATGTCATTGGCGGCGGCTCGCCCAACGCCAGCGCCGACCTGCTCGAGGAAATTTATTCGTTTGATCACGTCTCGCAAACATGGCAAAAACACAAGTGCCGCCCAAAGCCGCTGCCTCCGTCGCAGCAGCAACAGCAACAGCAACAACAGCAACAACAGCAGCAGCCAACAACATCGGAACAGACCGATGGTGAAAATGCCCAGCCTCAATCTGCCGACACTTTGGCCTTTTCCGCATCGCAAGAGGCGCAGCGCGCCGGCGCCGCTGCCGGAACGCTGCCAATGGACACAACGCCCGACTCGCAGCCCGTGTCCGACCAGAATGGCGGCGTGGCCACCGCCCCGACCGCCAACGCAGCCCCGTTGACACAACACCAGCTGCAGATGCAGGCACGCATCCCTGCGTGCCGAAGAGCCCACTCTTGCGTCGCCTACAATGGCTGCATTTACATGTACGGCGGAATCGGAGCCTCCCAACTCTTTGACGACTTGTGGAAGCTCGACACTCGCACCTTTACATGGGAGATTGTCGACGCGGGTTCTGGTGCAGCACCGACGCTGGCGTCGCTCACGGCGCTGCAGCACTTGCCGCCAAACCATCCTGCTGTCATCCAGCACTTGCAAATGCAAGTTGCTCAGCAGCAGCAGCAGCAGCAACCGCAGCAGCAGCCGCAGACCCGCACACCCCCTCACCGCGGCAGCATCACCAGCGGCTCTGCGGCCATCGCGCCCAACTCGGCCACCAATGCCTTGGCCGTACAGAGTCAAGGCCTGAGTACCTCGAGTGGCAAGCTGCCGCACGAGCTGACCCGTCCAGGCGCCCGGTATTTCCATTCTGCCTGCATTTCGCCCAGCGGCGAGATGCTGCTCTTTGGCGGCTGCAAGGACATGATTGGCCTTCACCGATGGAACGATGTGCACAGCATACGCGTTGCCACCCCATCCTTGGCGGAGCTGTGCATGCACGCCGTCACTGACGTCTTGCATCACGACTGCCGTCAATGGCAGCTTGTTCCTCCACACTTGCAAGATTCCCTCGGAGATTTGGAGGTTTTGCGTGAAAAGTACCAGCCCGCATGAGCAATCCAGTTCGTCCTATTCGTTCTGTTGTCAAAATGTTTTTCCTTGGTCCCGTTTTTGTCGTCGAGCATCACGGCTTTCGTTTGCAAAGTGTAAATTTCTTCAAGTCTTGCATCTGGTTTTGCTCGTCGTCCCTGTTTTCCGTTTTGAGCTTTTTTATTTTCCTAAATCGCTTGTTAATTCCTCCCCCCCTCCTCCACGCTGCTCGTGCTTGTAAACTCGATTTTTGGTTGACTGTGAGCAGCGGTTTTCGAATGAAACAATCACCGAAATATTGCATTCCTTGGTTTATCAATGTAGCACATGGGCAAAAGCGAGAGTAGTGGCAACACGAGAACGAGTTGAAATGCGCGAAAAACAAAATTACAAAAACAAACAGAAAAATCTAAAATCACTGTTGATTGGCTTTTGCCTTGTCCGCAAACACCTTGCGAGCAAAAGTCTCTCCGACCAGCAGTGGGAAGGCGATAGTAGCGTCGGCATAGACCTGTCAAGTTGTCGGGCAAAATGAATCAAACAAAAGCAACAAGTTAGATGAGATTTCCATATTGCCATGCAAAACAAAAACTGCCTGCTGGGCTGCTTTGCCCTGCTTGCTACAGTACCTTGACGGGATTAGCCGTAAGTTTAATCTTGCCCCAGGACACTGCTTCATCAGGCCGGGCACCACCATCACTACCGTCAAACTCTTGACCAGTGTTGATGTAGACGGAAAAGTCGGCACCGTTGCGCTGCGATTCATCCGAGAAGCAGGCAAATGGCAACATGCAACATGGAATGTGAAGCACAATGCGATGCAGTGAGTGTCAACAGAGAGAGAGAGAGAGAGAGAGAACAAAAACAAAACCGAATCCAAAGGCCACCTACCATCAAGTTCGCGTTGCAAATGTGATGCTTGACCACGCCGCCGCCGAGAATCACCATGCCAGTCTTCTTGGCAAACACAGCCATGTTGTTGATCTTGGCAATGTCTATCTCGCGACCGAAGAAACGTACACAGCGAGTCAGGGCAACGAACGCTTATTTGTAGCACACAATGTTTGGTCAAAGGTCTGACATACCTGCGGCAATGTCAACAATCAGACCCGGGTTTTTGAAAGAGTGGAAGTAAATCATATCTCCGAGCGAGCCATCCGTCAACGCGGGGCAGAAGACGGGAATGTTGTTCTGACAACCAAAAACCATTCTTTGAGCTACAGAGTTGCAACACGTTCGCTACTCGACTCGCTCGTCATCAAGCGGCCACCCACCTTGTAAGCCCAGTAGTAGACAGACTCTTCGTTGTTAATCTCCTTGCCCAAACGATGAATGATGGTGGAGGGCGTCCAAACGGTGCCGTTGGTCTTCTGCTCGGCGAGCATTGTGTCAAGAATGGGCATGAGCCAATCTTCAAACTTGCAGTAGTTGTCGTTGGGAACGAGCAGATTGCCGGTGCGGTTGAGGCCACGCATGCGCAAATCGGCGCCCTTGAGCGAAAATTCACCGAGATAGGTGGGGCCCAGGCACTTGATAAAGTCTTCCTCAATGCCGCCAGCAGTGGTGACGATGCAGTCCACCAAGCTGTGCTGGACCAGGAAGCGAAATAATCTCGCGCAGCCCAGACGAGATCAGGTTGGACGTGGTAGCCAAAGAATATCCGGCCACTTGACCTGGGAGCGCTGTTCCGGGGTGCGCAAAGTCTTCGTCGTCCGTTTCCAAGACGGGCTCATCGGACAGTCGCCAGTTGAGCTACGTCCAAGGATGTCCGAGATGATGAATCAATACAGACAGAAACAAACCCAACAAAACTTTCGAGGTGAGTGTATGATGATGATGCAAATTTCAATTGAGCAATTCAGAGAGACAGTTCGAGTCAGTTCGAGCCAGTTCGAGGCAAGACCGAATCGAGGCCTCTGGAAGTGAGACAACTCAAAAAGAAATGTTGCCAAGTGCCTGTCAACTGACTTGCTGAGAGATTGCCTGTCAAACTCTTGTCGGAGCTTTGGACTAATATAAAAGGAGGCCCTCGTGGAGTGAAAAGTTCAAAAAAGCATTCAACCAACCCAGACAAAACTTCTTCCCGACCGTCCCTTCCCCCCCCCTCATGAGCAAAAGTGGGACGTAAGACGCAAGCACATCGGGCGGACGTGTCCCACTGGGGGTTCTGGCAGAGTCGAGGCCGGGGTGCACAGGGGCGAGGCAAGCGCCGTACCATGCGGTTGACTTCGTCGATGGCTTGGCCAAGCGAGGTGCCCTGGAAGCCCAGGTACTTGTACGACTTGAGCAGCGCCTCGTAGTCGATGCCCTGGTTGAAGTCGTAGCCCTTGATGATGGGCGTGTCGGCGGGCATCGGAGTGCTGGTCACGAGCACGGCCTCCTGCGACAGCTTGGGAACGGCAGCCATTTTGGATGAGTTTGGCTTGGAACAAAATGGAAGAGTGGCATCACGGCTTGCTTGGCTAGAGACATAAGCAATAGTACAGTGTAAATAAACGGATATCATGGATCACGGACGAACAACGATGCCGGAAGACAAAGCGGGGGCCGTTTACACAATCAGCCAAACTTGTGCTGTTCCAAGCCGGAACCATGTTCGTCGTACACGTACAAAACACCTTTTCCAAAAGCTTGCTGTCCACGCGCACGACGACCAGGTCAATTTCCACATTCGATTGGAAGGCGAGCGAGGCAAGCTGTATTGGAGGTGACTGCGCGAGCGATTGTGTTTTCCGTTTCGCCAATCGTCGTTCAGGTGTCGCAGCCCTGCAGCACGCTTTAAAGCGCTCGACGTGACATCAAGGTTTGTACAGTCTTCATTTTATTACACGCAATTGTACCCATACACTTTTTTCCCCATTGTCTCGCCAACACATCTCCTTCATGTCGAACGTTGCGCCAAATCATTTACCATTGCAGCTTGCGCACCAAAAGGCCGGAGATGCTGCGCTCTTCAAGGAACACCACATGGTAACACTCAATTGTCTACCACTCCTTTTTGACAGTACCGGGCGACAATGTTACCAGCATGGCACAGGTGAAAAAAAAAAAACAACCCCCGAGTAACCATTTTTGTTTTGTTCGCCTTTCCATCCGTCCATTTTCAACCCCCTCTCGTTTCACAATCGACTGCCGAGTTCATACCAAGAGCCTCATCACTCAACTCTGCCAATCATCAAAATACATGCGATGATTTTTTTTGCTTGATCCGTTCAAACTCTGACAAATGCAGGTGTTTCGCGAGTCATGCCGGGTCACATCCTGGTGTCCGACTGACTCTCCACACCTACGCGCTCAACACCTCCAGCCATTTTCAAATCACTCCAAAACAAGCTGTTTCTCACCGCCCCCCCCTTTCTGAATATTATTTGTCATATTCGTCGGACTTGGCTAGGTGTTGCTCGGGGACCCGTCCTGTCTCCAGCTTGCCACTCAAAGCTGGATGCAGGGTGCAGGTCAGACCGCGTCCAGCCCAGTGACCACCAATCAGCCACTCAACTTGGAAATTCTCGTTGGCCCAGAGCTGCATCGAGTGTCTGCCACGCGGGTTGACCGGGTTCATGTCAAGGTGAGGCGGATTGGAAGAACAAAATTGCTCAGCGATGTCAGCAAACGACTCACCAATGACTGGGACCTCCTCCCCCCGCGTCATCACTCGATGGTGAGATAGCCCATTGAGTTGATTGTAGGTGCACCCGAGGTGGATGGCATTGTGATTGCCTGCGACTCGTCTTGCGACGATACCATCCGCAAAGTCGAGCAACTGCTCTTTGTTCTGGCTCAAGTCCGTCAGAGGTCGCTGTTCAAGTGCGGATTTATCGTGGACACGCGCTACCCACTGCCGCAACCGAATGCGCCAACTGGGTGCCTGGGTGCACTCAAGGAGCTGGTCGAGCTGCACGAGTGTCAATTTTTGGCCTTGCCGACTGCTTCTTCCCTTGACCCGGAAACAAACCCGCTGATGAACAGGACCAGCCTGGCTCAGAAACACAGCAACCTGATGACGGATGGCAACAGCAGCACAGCTGACGGAAGCAGCTTTGACATGCCTGGAAATGGCATCCCTGGCACGAGCAGCCCGATTTGGTCGCGCATCTCGGCCTTGCACACTCCGAGTCGTGCACTGCGCGTCCTCGAAGAGATTGTGCGGACTCTGAGCACCACGAAAATCACGCTCAAGTCTGATCGCCGGCTGGTGGGCAAGGCCGTGCTGTTCCGCGACTTGACGCCAAGCTCGCTGTACCCGGTTGTGGCAATGAAGCAGCCCTTGCAAAGCATGCCACTGACGTTGGCCAGCTTTGTGGAGGTGCTGCATGCATCGCATCGCACTCGGCGCCTGGTGTTGGCAGCCCCGTCGCACTCGCGGCACTTGTCCCTGGTCAAGCACGTCGCCGGCTTGGTTCCGGGTCGTCATCGCTCACCATCCGCCGGTACGGATGACGGGAGCACTGAGTTGCCGAGCTTAATGTCCCTGGCCGCTTTGGAAATTGCAGCCACGCACGGTGGTCGCGACCGAAAGACGGATGAGTTGGTTGCCGTCCTGGCGACTCTGCCCGATCATGTGAACGAGGTTGTCCTGCACGAGCATTGGTCGTGGGCGACAATTCAAGGCCTGGCCAAACGGCAGCTACGACAGGGCACTCGGGAAAACAGGCGCAGGTCGGTCGAACGCAAGTCTGCGGCGTTTGCCAAAGCCCAAACCAACGGTGCCGGCGGAGTGTTTGCTGCTCCAGTCGTGCTGAACAAGAAGCTACAGCCCTTAGTCCCCAACGGAAGGAGTCAAAAGGGGCAAGACGCGACGGCAGTCGCACTGGACGTCCCCACGGCCGGGCTGACGCTTCGGGTTGAGTCTGTGCCAGACGTGACGTTTGTGGCGTTAGACTGGCCAGTGTGCACGCCTACGCATCGTGGAGCCGTCCAACAGGCAGCAGGGCTTCATCATGCCCGAGGCAGTGTCGGATCCGTCTTGTCCGCGTTGCGGCGGCGTGGTTTGAAGGGAAGCCAAAGCCTGAATGTGATGGACGCTCCCAAGCAGCTCAGCGCACACCAGACGCAAAGTGCGCCTGAAATGCCAAACGTTGCCGTGTCAGACTCAACCCTCGACGAGGGTCATCTGTCGGTATCGTCACTGGAGGCGGTGAAATGACGTGGAGTCAGGTTTGGCGCGCATGCCCGACATCGGGGTCTCAGAACTCGTCTTCCACCGGCTGCGGACTCGCGTCTCGGGGGCAGTGCTGCTCTCTTGTCGGCTGTGCTGGACGACACGAGTGCGCGGGGCATTGACGTCCATGCGCATCCCAACAATGCGAGCTTGGAGCCTCGACAGTGGCTGCGTGTCTGCAGGCCGTCTGTGAAAGCGAGACTCTGCTGCATCTGACACTCCGGGATTCGCGAAACAGCGTCCCGCTGGGCGATGCCATCCTGTCGCAAGCGCTGGACCTGCTGCACGGCCCGCAGGATCCTGCCGACCCGCTTAGTGATATTGCCTTTCGCGGCACGGGGTCGCTCGCTTCTTTGAGTTTGAGCGGAAACAATCTGGGCGCGTTCGTCCAATGGGGCCGCTTGTTCTCGCTGATGCCGCAGCTGGCAACGCTGGATTTGTCGCGCTGCCAGCTGTCGGGCAACTCTGATGGCCTGGAACGGCTGTTTGAGGCACTTTCGGAAACATGTCCGTGCTTAACGTCGCTGTCACTTGCTAGCAACGGACTCACTAGCTTGCCTCGACTCGCGCTGCCGTCCATTGAGACCGGCAACATGGCGGAAGATTGTTCAGAGCCAAAGTCGAGCAGCAACCTGCTTCGCTTGGTTTCTCTGGATTTGTCACACAACAAACTGACACGCTTGCCAAAGTGGTTGTCACCTCGACCCGCCACAATGACGCTGCTTCAGCTGACCGGCAATCCGATTGAGAATCTGCACGGCTTGGTGACAGCAACCTTGCCTCATTGTCTTCTTCGTGTGAAAAACCGAGCCCATCGGGACCAAGCTGCTGTAGAGACCACCACCAGTGTGCCTGCTGCCGTTATGTGAATGAAATTGCAAAAAACCAAGTGTTGAGATGAGGCAGTTCAACGATTGGATTTACAAATACAGGTACTCTACCGTGATTTTCTTTTCGTTCCAGTCTTCCAACTGCTCTTAGATCTCGAGCAAGCAGCTACTTTGCATTCAATCCCAGACCATTATTTAGTCTTTAGTCTTAGTTATTATTTTAGTCTTTTTTTTTTCTTTTTTTTCCCCTTGTGCTGTGGGTGCGTTGCTCTGTTGGGATCTTTGCTCCCTCGACTGTCCCCTCCTCCTCCTCCCCCCCAAACGCACACCATCCCCCAAGCCATGAGCAAATCTCTGATGCTTCCCAATCTGAGTATCCGGATGCTTGCAGATCACAGAGCCAAGCAAGCGAGAAAGCGAGAGGGAGGGTGAAGTAAAAAAAAAAATCATAAAAATCAGGCACCGATTGTTCACGCCTCCGCAACCGACAATGGTTTTTATTGAATATAATAGTATATTGTGTGCCTTCAACTGCCATTTGCTTGTCTCTGTCTTTGTGCCTTTGGGTCTCGTTTCCAAAGCCACCCCAGTCCCTTTTATTGATACTCTTTTGTTTGAGGTGTGTTTCGCTGCGCTTCATTCGCAGTGTGCTGCTGCCTGCGCTGCGCATGCGTTGTTCTGTTCCAACCCCCCCTCCTCTGTCTCTGCCGGCCTTTCGCCGTCCGCTGAGGGCAGTTCAGTCCTTTCTGCGTGTGAGAGGGTGCATGAGACAAAACATGGGCAGTGTGCAACGCAGAGACAGTTGGCGTGCGACGTCACAGTTGTGCATTGTGGAGCAAACAGAAAGCGAGTGAGAGAAGTGAGTGAGAGAGTCAGGCGCGGTTCGGTTCCCCACTCATCCTTGCTTGAGCGAAGTCGTTCAGCGTTCTGGATTGCAAAACGCACAGAACTCGCACGACCGAGAGAGCGACGTGAGTGACTGAGTGAGGTTGAGAGGACAGTGTGAGAGGACAGTGTGACACGACCCAAAAAAAAAAAAAAAGAAAAAAAAAAAACACACACAAGAAAACAAGCCCTCAGTAACGACCAGCAGAGGGGTGCTTCCTCGGGTGCTTCCAACCTGCCCCACCCCATGTTGCATCGCATCCACTCTGCTCATTCAGACACTGACGCCCCCAGAACGCGAGCGCGCGCTTTGAACAGCCCTACAGTCCAGCACTCGCGTTCAGTTCTGTCCTCCTACTCTCACTCACCAACGACTGGTTTTTTTTTGGTACTTCCTCCCCTCCCCCTTACCTCCTGACAGACTTCCCCCCCCATATCTCCCGCGCCTCCCAACCATGAACATTATCATCCCGATGGGCGGCATTGGCTCGCGGTTTGAGCGCGACAACTACCGCTTCCCAAAGCCCTTGATCAACATTGTCGGCCATCCGATGCTCTACTGGCTGCTGGACAACCTCAGCATTGACCGCTCGAACGACGTCATCTGGATGGCTGTCATGACCTCGGTCGAGAACATCTTCCACTTCAAGAAGCGTGTCTGCAAGCAGTATCCCAAGCACCGCATCAACGTCGTCACGCTCGACTTTGAGACGCGCGGCCCGGCAGAAACCGTGTTTGTCGTGCTCCAGCACATGAAGCCGGACGACTTGAAGCGCCGCACCATCTGCCTCGACTGCGACACCATATACTTTAGCGATGTTCTTGCCGACTTTCGCCGTCTCGATCCGGGCGTCAACGCCTCCTTTTGCTTTGAGGACAAGATTGGCCAGCCCGTGTTCAGCTACATTGCGATGGACGACCAGCAGAACATTCTCGACATCAAGGAGAAGATGCCCATCTCGACCTGGGCCAATACCGGCGCTTACGGCTTTGCCAGCGGCGAGCTGCTCAAGCAGTTTTGCGTCGAGCAGCTCGACACGTCCGTCGACTCGACTGGCGAGTACTACACTTCTGCCATCATTCGCTTGATGCTGTCGCAAAAGCAGCCCTTCAAGGGAGTCAATGTGAGCGACTTTTACTGCGTCGGCTCGCCAGACCAGCTCACAGACTTTTTGCACAACATTCGCATCGGCAAGATCAAGTCCCCACGAACGATGCGCTTTTGCTTTGATCTCGACAACACGCTCCTGACCTACCCGCTGGTCGAAGGCGACTACACGAGCTGCCAGCCCATGGAAAAGAACATCCAGCTGGTGCGCGAGCTCAAGGCTGCGGGACACTACATTATCATTTCGACGGCGCGTCGCATGAAAACCCACGGTGGCAACGTCGGCGCCGTCATCAAGGACATTGGCTGGATCACGCTGAACGCCCTCGAGACCAACCAAATCCCGTACGACGAACTGCATTTCGGCAAGCCCCACGCAGACATTTACGTTGACGACTTGGCCGTCAACGCCTTTAGCGACACGGAGAAGGAGCTCGGCTGGTCGCTCATCACCTCGGGACGCGATTCGTCGGTGCCTGCGCGTCAGCTCGGCGTCATTGAAGCGCGCAACTTTAACAAGGTCACCTTTGTCGACAACTATGTCATCAAGTCGTCGCACAACGACATTATTCGCGGCGAGCGCTTCTTCTACGAGCACATGCCTGCAGACATTGCCCACCTCTTCCCACGCCTGCTCGAGTCGTCCACCGAGCAAAAGACCAACATTGTCACCATCAAGCTCGAGCAGGTCAAGGGCGTGACGTATTCGCATCTCTCCATCAACCGCTGCTTGACCGATGGCCGCTTGCTCAAGCTTCTTCGCGCGCTGCACGCGCTGCATTCGTCGCAAGGCCACCCGGGAGACCGCCCCGACCCTGCCACGCTCGACTTGTACCAAAACTACGCCCCGAAGGTGCGCGCCCGCTACGCCAAGTCGCGCGCCATCTACGACGCCATCGATCCTGTCGGCGTCAAGGCCGCCTTTGACACCATTGTCGCCGCTCTTGACAACTACGAGGCAGAGAAGCTTGCAGTGTACTCGCACGTCATCCACGGCGATCCCGTCTTTTCCAACGTCCTTCTCAAGTCGGACGGCAACCTGGTCATGATTGACATGCGCGGCCAACTCGGTGGCCATGTCACCATGCAAGGCGACCGCAACTACGACTTGGCCAAGCTGTACCAGTCGCTCTGGGGCTACGACTTTGTGCTGCTCGACAAAGAAGACAATGCCGACGACGAGGCATTGCTTGCGCACCTCCGCCACATCTTTTTGCAGTTTGTCACTGAAAAGTATGCTCAAGAGTCGGCGCCCAGCATCTACTACCTCGACATCTTGACGGCGTCGCTGTACTTGTCGCTCATTCCGCTGCACGACGCCCACCATCGCCAGTTCTTTGGCCTGTGCCAGAAGGTGCTTGCGCATTCCGAACAGTACCGCCCAGCCTCTCTTGCCAAGTAGAAAAAAACCAAAACGGCGCCATCTGTTCTTGTGGTGTTGCTTGTTGCTTGTTGCTTGTTGGATGTTGGTGCTTTTGTTGTTTTGTGTTTTTGTCTGCTCGAGCCTGTCTTTGCCGAGTTTTTTTTTTCGGCTGTTTTTTTTTGGTGCTTTTTGTATTCTTAGAACAACACGCTCCCCTTTCCTATTGAACACCGTATCCATTGTTCTTCTTTGTGAAATTCTTCTTTGTGTGAAACCAAAAACAGCACACAATCTGAAACAACCAAACCGCCACTCTTTTTTTTTTTTTTTTTTTTTTTTTTTTTCCCTCCTTGCTTTTTTCCCCGTCTCTTTTTGTTCTGCTTTTGCTTGTTGCCATGAGTCACTACAACTTCAAGCGCATCCAGGTGGTGCCGAGTTCGAAGGACTTTGTTGACATTATTCTGTCGCGCACGCAGCGCAAGACGCCGACCGTCATCCACAAGGGCTACAAGATTTCCCGCATTCGCAACTTTTACATTCGCAAAGTCAAGTTCACGCAGCAGAACTACCACGACAAGCTCTCCCAGATCATCACCGACTTTCCCAAGCTCGATGTATGTCGCGATTGCCTTGGTATTTTGTTGACAGGCCCCGTTCGTATCTCCAGGCGAGCGACAGCGCATTGAAGCCCGAAAAAAAAAAAGAAAAAAAAAGAAAAAAAGAAAAAGACACACATGGCTGCATTGACACACGCGACGAGTTGGTGTGCGTCGCCCCAGCCCGTCCTCATCGCCTCGTGGTGGCTGTGAGGCGAATCGTGCGCTGTTCTACATTGGCCCTCCGTGGCGGCGACTCGATGTGACAGGCTGGGTTGGGGCGAGAGGGCCTTTATTTTTCTTCTCTCCAGCGTGGAGAGAGCCTCATGGGCCGCTCTCTGTCTGTAGGTTTGAGCAGCCACAAATGCAGCGGTCGTTGCGTCTCTGCCGGGTCGAATTGCGCATGGCTAACCAGCACACTCATGCACGACAACACACTCGACTGAGACTGCTGGGCGGCAGAGAGGGAGAGGGAGGGAGAGAGAGCGCAGGTTGTTCCATCCACGTGTGTCTTTGAGCAGTGCTTTGGGACAGCCAGCACCCGTTGCCGACACTTGTACTCTCTCTCTCTCTCACTCTCTTTCTTTCGCGTTTAAGTCAAGATAGTCACCGTCTCGTGCAGTTGCACCGTCTCGGATGGCTTTGTTTGCTTGCTTGCTTGGTCGTTTTCAACAACAAACTCACTGCATCCAATTGCACAACCAAACCACGACTCTGTCGCACAGGACATCCATCCCTTCTACGCCGATCTCATGAACGTGCTGTACGACAAGGACCACTACAAGCTCGCTTTGGGCCAAATCAACATGGCGCGCAACATTATCGACAACGTCGCCAAGGACTACGCCCGCCTGCTCAAGTACGGCGATTCGCTCTACCGTTGCAAGCAGCTCAAGCGTGCTGCGCTTGGTCGCATGTGCACCATGATGGTGCGTCAGAATGCCAGTCTGCAGTACCTCGAGCAGGTGCGCCAGCATCTTGCCCGTCTGCCGTCCATCGACCCCAACACGCGCACCATCATCCTGTGCGGCTTCCCCAACGTGGGCAAGTCGTCCTTCATGAACCAGGTGACGCGCGCCGACGTCGAGGTCCAGCCATACGCTTTCACCACCAAGTCGCTGTTTGTCGGTCACACCGAGTACAACTATCTCCGCTGGCAAGTCATCGACACGCCCGGAATTCTCGATCACCCCCTCGAGGAGCGTAACACGATCGAAATGCAGTCCATCACGGCCCTGGCTCACCTCCGCGCCGCCGTCCTCTACGTGCTCGATCTGTCCGAGCAGTGCGGTCACTCGATCGCCGAGCAAGTTTCCCTGTTCAACAGCATCCGACCGCTCTTTGCCAACAAGCCAATCATCCTTGGCCTGAACAAGATTGATGTCATCACGGTCGACAAGCTCCACCCCGACAAGCGTGCCCTCATCAACGCCATCGAGGAGGAGGGTATCATTACCCTTCCCATGAGCACACTCACTGCCGAGAATGTTGCCCAAGTCAAGAACACTGTATGTGGTTTGATCCTGCTGCTCTTTTTTGGCCGAGTTGATTTGCATTGTCTTGGTGGATTTTTTTGGAGGTTTTCTCATCTTCTCCGCCCTCTGCCCCCTCCCGATCAATTGTTTTGACTGTTCTTGTAGGCTTGCGACAAGCTCTTGGCACACCGTGTCGAGGCCACCATCTCATCTCGCAAGGTTAACGACGTTGTCAACCGTCTTCACTTGGCCATGCCCACCGAGCGCGATGATATTGTACGTACCTTGCAGCATTTTGTTTATGCGTCAAGTTGTCCCTCCTGATTTTAATTCAACGCAACGAAACAAAAAAAAACAAAAAAAAAAAACGGACGACTCACTCCACACTGCTTTTGACAAAACAGGAGCGCCCTGCAGTCATCCCTGCACCTGCTGCTTCGGCTGATCCTGACGCTCCCCGTCGCCGTACGCTCAAGGACATTCAACAAGAGCTTGGCGCGGACTACAACACCGATTTCAACTCTGAATGGACGCTTGCCAATCCTGACTGGCAGTATGATAAGATTCCTGAAATTATGGACGGCAAGAACATTGCCGACTTTATCGACCCCAATATCATGGAAAAGCTCGAGGCGCTCGAGCTCGAGGAGGAATTCCGAGAGGCGCGCGGCGACTACAAGTCCGACGACGAAGAGGAGGACGAAGATATGGAGGCCATCCGCGAGACTGCTCGTCGCATCCGCGCAAAGAAGGCTCTCCTGATCAACGAGAGCCGGCTGAAGAAGGGCCGCAACCGCTCTGTCATTACTCAAAAGACCAAGGTATGCGTTGTTGATGAGATTTGATTCGACTTTCGGCACCTGACTCACTTTTTGTGTTCTTTAATTTTTGTATTTGTTCGTCAGGCCAAGACTCGCTCCATGTTCAGCGACCATATGGCGTCGATGGGCATTGAGCTGCCCCCTCAGGCCGACCCCAACTCGATGGACGACGGCTCGCAGCAGACTCCTCATTTCGACCAGGCACGCCCACGGTCGCGCACTCGCGCACGCGAGTTGGCTGTCGAGGGTTTGGCCGAGGCCGCCGAATCGCGCGCCGTCGCTCGCAGCCGCAGCCGCTCCGTCACAGGTCTTCGCGACCAAGCGGTAAGTGTCTGCGTGGCTGTTTTTTCTTTTCTTTTTGTTTTGGGTTTCATCTTCTCACACACTCTGCTCTATTTTGGCTATCTGGTTTCGTGTCGGTTTTCCAGCAACAAGCTGTTGCTGCTCGCCTCATGGCCAAGCACCAGCGCCCCGCAAACATGGAGGCACGCAAGGGCGAGGGCGATCGTGTCATTCTCAACGAGAGGCCCAAGCATTTGTTTGCCGGCAAGCGAAAGTCTGGCACCCACGACCGTCGTTAGAGCCTTTTCTTTCTTGTATCTTTTCATTTCTGTATTTTTTTTCTTCTTCTTCCTCGTTCTTGCTCTGTTACTCAATGCTTCTGTTTTGTTGTTGTGTTTTCCCCCCATCAAATTTTTCAAACTGCATTCGTTCAACGTCCTTCCTGGAGTGTGTTCGACAAAAACAATATAACCCCCACTTCATTCATCATGATTTTCGACGTGATGGCTGAAGCGCAAGCAGCAACTGAAACGTAACGAAGATCTATGCTGTGTCCGCATTTAACAGCTGCGGCGAAAAAACAACAAATGACAAAAAGGACGACATGCAATCAAGATAGCAACAAATTTGACCAAAAAGATAATCATCAACAGAAGGAAAGGGGGTGCTAGGAACAGAGAATCACGCGAAAGCGACGACTACACGTTCCAAGTTGTGATTGTTCGGTGGTTTTTTTACTTGGAGCTCTTTGAGTGCTTGATAAGCCACTGGAGGGTGATGTCAATGTTGTCTTGCTTTTTGCAGGAGACAGAGTAGCAGCAGACCTCGCGGTTGCTGATAGCCTTCAGGTTACTGTGTTTTGTGCGAGCGAGGGTGAGTTGAACAAAAGTGAGAATCAGCAAATCATGTTGGGCATCCACCTTTCGCCCTCAGTAAATAACTACGTACAGACGAACAATCAGCTCTTCCACGCTGAATGCGTCTGGTAGGTCGTTCTTGTTGCCAAGAACAAGGACGGGGATGCCGTTAAGTTGGGGCTTCTCAAGAAGTCCGTGCAACTCGTTTCGGGCAGCCTCGAGCTTTTCGTGGTCGGCGGCGTCGACCATGTATCTGCACGAGAGAGGGGAGAGACGGGGAGAGGGAGAAGGAGATTGAGACAGTGGACCGAGACGCGAGCAACATTTGAGAGCCGCAGCACATAAACCCTTTCCACAACCACCACATCACGACATCCACTTACACGATGCAGTTCACGCCACGGCAGTAGCGCTCCCACATGCTCCTAAAGCGAGGTTGACCGCCGATATCCCAGAGTTTGATGGTGACGTTGCCCTTGGTGACCTTGCGCATGTTGAAGCCAACGGTCGGGATCATGTCTTCGCTGAACTGGCCCGATGCAATGACGTTGACAAAGGTCGTCTTGCCCGAGTTCTGGAGGCCGACCAGCGTCAGCTCCATCTCCTCCTTCCAGAAGAGCGATTTGAACCACTCGACGATCGCCTTGAACCAGGACATGCTTTTGTGTTTGAGTTTGTTTTTTTCCGGCAATCAAGAATTCAAGGAGGGGGATAGTGTCCAGCCGCGGCCTAATAGTCTGTCATTGATTCAAGCAAGTAACAACAGCAACAAGCCAATGAGCGAATAGTGAGGACGAACAAACAAAAAGTGAGGAAGAAGAAGAAGGCGGAACAAGAAGAAGGAAAAAAGAAAAAAAAAAAAGAATAAAAAAATGAAGACAAAAATGACGCGACAAGCTCGAACAGCAGCACGAATGGAGCAGAGAAGGCATGTTGCTGGTCATCATTTGAACCCCTCCCCCTCCCTATCCATCCATCCGATTTGGAGCAGAGTGAATGAAGATGCAACGAGAGAACGAAGGAAAAAACGACAGCCAAAAAAACAAAAAAAAAAAAAAAAAAGCCATTCTTGTTGAGATCTGCCGTTTTTTTTTTCTTTCTTCTTTTCGATTTTGCCGTTTGTTTGCGCCGCTGTCGCTGTTCGTTCCTTCCACGATTGCACAAAGTAGTGCACTTAATTCAGTCGCTTGTGTGAAAAAGCAGCCGCAGCAGAAGCACGAGACATAGCAGCACCAATCAAATAAAAATAAAATAAAATGAAATAAATAAAAAAATCCATTGCGCTCAGTGTCACAAGACGGGGCGGCGTTGCTTGTCAGCCATTGCATTGCAGAGAAAGGGGGAAAGCGAAGGGCATTTGGGAAAGGAGGGGAAAGGGGGATTTTCCCCAAACCACACAGCCAGACAAGGACATGGGTGAACAAGCCGATGAGCACGATGAGCACGACAGCCCACTCGCCGCGCTCTCTTGCCAGTTGGATGCGCGAGGAGGAGCAAAGCGCGCGTAATAGGACGAAAGGACACACAGTCAGCTGTCCCAGCGACCATTATCATCATCCTCTCCTTCTCCATCGTCTCAAATCACTTTAATCACTCTGTCCAATCGCATCGTCGTTCATCTGGGCTGTGGGTTGGCTTAGCGCTGAGAAGAGGCGAGAAAAACATCCAAAAAAACGAAAAAAAAAAAAAAACAACGAAAAAAAAAAAAAAACGAAAAAAAAACCAGCAAAGTAATGCATTCGCACATACAACTAATGTCGAGACTGAGCTGAAGATCATCCTTCCAAAATCACAAAAGCATTGGGAATGAAAAGCGCAACGAAAAGGAAGAATCGAGCGCAATGGAGAGTGTGTAAGAGAGCGAGATCGAGACCGAATCCGTTTGACTTTGACCCTTCCTGCTCGCTTGATTGCTCGTCCTCACCAGCGTCACTCGTTTGAACGAGACGATGGCGGTCTTCATGGGCTGACGTCTGATCGTACATGAAACAGCAGAGCGAAGAGCAAGAGCACGGGCTTTGTTTGAAATTGCAGCAATTCGGCAAACTTCAACCATCTGTTGGTGATGCCGGAGCGTCTCAGTGCGTCCGCTCGCTCATCATGCAATAGCAAATACAATGCACTCTCAACTCACATGAACAATGCGCCAAAATGGTTCCGCTTCTCACTCCAATTCATCTTCGACTTTACAGTGAGCGAAATGCAACGCATCCCGACCAAGCGAAAAGCACCCAGCGACGACCAAGCCGACTCCGGGGCCGACCCAGACCACGATACACGCAGTGCCGCTTCTCCAATGACAGTCGGGCCGTCCGAGGCCGCAGGGCGACGTGTCGGTGCCGCTCAGACTACACTTCCACGTGCGACGCCGACAGCGAGATTTCAGCACACTTCCTCACGCCGCCGACTGCTTGATGACGACGACGACGACGACGATGATGCCTATAATGATGCCTATGACGACGACGACGACGACGACGACGACGACGACGACGACGACGACGACGACGACGATGATGATGATGACCATGGCGACATGGCAGGCGGAGACGCCTCCGACAATGATGAGGACTTCAACTCCGACCAGGAGCAGCGTTTGCCAGACATTCAAGAGTCAGACAGCGAAGAAGGACCGCACGATGCTGGCGATACTGCGACTACACGAGTTGCTTCGTCTGCATCACTCGCTGAAGTATCCGCGTCAGGGCAGACAGTAGGTGTTGATCTCGATGGGGATTTTCTGAGAATTCGCCGCGCTTATAAATTGATATTTTCTGGATTGGGTTTGGCCAGAGGAAATGGTCTTGCTCAGAGCCTGGATGCGACAAGTCGTACTTTCGCCAGACACACTTGCTACGGCACCAACGGACGCACTCTGGCGACAAGCCATTCAAGTGCACGGTAGCAGGTTGTGAGTGGGCATACGTGAACAACTACCACCTGAAGCGACATATGCAGACGCACAATCGAGAGTTGCCGTACAAGTGCACTTTTGATGGCTGCAGGTACTTTCGTCCTTTGCAGCATTGTTTTGTGTTTTGTGTTTTTAGCTTTGTTTTGTGTTTTGACTTTGGACTTTTCGCGCTTCTCGCAGTGAAACCTTCGCCAAGCATTCTCAGCTACGCACACACATGTTTGTGCACACCAATGTCTTGCCGTTCGCATGCCCGGAGGCAGGATGCGACATGGCTTTCTTGAAGGCGTGCGAGCTTCGGAAACACGCGCGTCGTCACTCGACAAGCTACGCATGTGCCGACTGCGAGGCTCACTTCTCCAAGTGGTCTGACTATGTGGCTCACCGCAAGGCCGAGCATCCTGCCGTCAAGGTGTGCCCTCATTGCCGGCGCACCTTTAAAAATCGAGGCAGCTTCCGCGATCACCTCCGGACGCACGATCCCACTCGCGAGTCCTTCCCGTGCCCAATCGAGGGCTGTGGCAAGTTTTACTTTTCCATCCATGCGCGAAACACGCACGTGCGATCGTTTCACGAGCAACACAAGCCGTTCACTTGCGAGGTCGACAGCTGTGGCGCGTCCTTTGCGCACAAACACACTCTCAGGGCGCATGTCCGCCGAGTGCACGAGCAGAGCGTGCCCCCGACACCGGCCGTATCCGAGCCAAATTCACAGGATCCGCTTTCATTGCTGAACAGTCAAGCGCTTCCTGTGCCAAATCCGTTAGCGGACGCGGCTGTCGTCGCGCAACTGTTGACATCAGCAGCAGCAGCAGCAGCCACTGTCGCCGCCGAGCTAACCGCTTCCATCCCCTCAACTCACGCACGGAAACGCGTGCGACTGGAAGGAGTGCCGACCCTTCCGACTCCTGTCGACAGCAGCGTTGGACCCGAGTAGAGATGCAGCTGCATGCTTTTTGCGACTTTTGTTGAGGTTGCTTCATATTTATGTCCTCTCCTCGGTTTGCCATGCATGTTCAGTGTATCAGAGTACTGAATACAACGCAGCGTTGTTACACGACAACAACGATCCATTGTATTGAAAACAAGTGACTTATTCAACACGAAAAACACGCCATTGTCAGAACGCAAACGGGGGGGGGGGGAACGAAAGTACAACAACAACAACACCTTTTACTTGTTGTTGACGATCTGGCGACCGAGGCCAAAGTTCTGACCAGAGGCGTTGGCGCCGCCAGTGTAGCCGTGGGTCTGCATGGGGATGACAGAGTGGTCGGTGACAACCTCCTTGCTGGCGTGGCTGTTGAGCTTGCCCTTGCCCTGAGCAGCGAGCTTGAGGGCGTTGATGCAAATGATGACCTGAGCGAAGCAAAAGAGCAGAGCAGTGAGAATGAGAGCCAAGCAAGAGCCAAGCAGTCGGGAAAAAGTGCATACCTGGCCAATGTTCTGGTTCTCGAACAGGTCGACAGTCTGGAAAGAGTTGGTGATCGGGACACCGAGCGACGAGGCGACCTCGAGGAACTTGTTGATGACCTCCATCTGAAGTGAGAGAAAGGAAAAAAAAAAAAAAAAAAAAGCAAACAAAGAGGAACCAATCGGATGAGCAACGCAAGCACACAGTTCAATGAATCACAGCGAAAATTTGAGGTTCACACCCGCCATCCCCCCCTCCAACTGGCCAACCAAAGTCCGACACCTCCGAAAATAAAACACCGTTATCGGCACCTCAGATTACAAATCGAAAAAAAAAAAAAAATCGAAGCGCGAGAGTTTTAAAGAAAAAGAAAGAAGAAAAAGGCCAACACAAACAAAACCACAGTGATGAGCAATTACCTGCTTGAAGGGCATGGTCTGGGCCTTGGTGTTGGAGAACGAGCCAGGCTTGACCGAGTTGGCGAGCCTGATGATGCGAAGAAGGAACGCACAGAGGGGAAAGGGTGAGTTCGTTGACAACAATGATGATGACAAACAAAAAAGCAAAAAAAAAAAGAAAAAAAAAGAGAAAAAAAAAAGAAAAAAAAAAAGAGAAAAAAAAAAAGAAAAAGAAAAAAAAAAACATGCACTTGTTGACCGCAACCAAAAGAATGAAAGCGAGCGGGACAATCATGGTGGCAAAAGGAGGGGTGCGTGACACTTTGATGTGATGAAAGCATTATTGCACAAAAGGCACAAGAAGGGAGAGCGATAAGAGAGAGAGACAAAAAGATTAAAAAAAAAAAAAGAAAAAAAAAAGAACAAACAATGACACAAAATTGGAATTGAAAAAATTAAAAAATTCCAGCGAAAAAAAAAAGAAAAAAAAAAAGAAGCAGCGATCGAACCACACTGTTGCAATGCAGCGAGAACGAACACACGCTCGACAACCAACTTTGTGGAAGAGGAGACGACAATGTAGAGAGAGAGAGAGGAGAAGAGAAAGCAGTCGACGAGAACGAAAGAAGCAGCGTCGAGAAGCGTTGAGATCTAGCACCACATAGATCCAACCGCACTCAATAACAAAAAAAAAAAAAAAAAAAAATAACAAAAAATGCAAGATCGCGCTTTTTTCGATGACAGTTCAGTTCCGTAGCAGTCGGGGCGCATGCTCTCCTCTCACACCACCACACTCTGTGCGACTGCACAAACCCCCTCGCATCGCCGGCTTGGCGCACGACCAGCAGAAGCGCAAAGGTGCAAGAAACGTTCCTCAAAAAAATAATAAATAAAAATAATAAAAAGGCACACTTTTTTTTTTTTTTTTTTTTTTTTGGGTTGCTCAACTTACTCTGCAAGAACGGAGCCGTCCTTGAGGGCCGAGTGGACGTTGTCGCTGCCGGCGGGGACGACAATGCCAGTCTGCTCCTTGATGAAGGCAATGGCCTCACCCTCGGCAACGGGGTCGTACTTGGCGGCGCGCTTGGCAGCGAGCTCGGCGTCGAGGCCCATGGCAGCAGGTCGGTTGGACATTGTTGGTAGTTGTCAAAAAGTGTTTCAAGTAAAAACGACTGAGCACCTAAATAAAATTGGGAGGTGGCGTGTTGTCAAGCCAGATAAAATGGCAGCGCTGGGATTGACTGCATGCTCACGAAGCGATGGCCAGTCGTGGAACGAAGCGCGATCGAGAAAGAGAGAAAGAGCGAGCGAGAAATGCAAGAAGTGCTCCATCCACAGTTCAATTTTCCTGATTTCAGCCGAGCACTCGCTGGCAGCGTGCAGATGGAACAGGCTTCACAACGCACTCGATAAACTCCACACACACTCGTTTTGTTTTTCTGGCATGCAGTTTTTGGTCGATTATTAAAATACAAAGAGCCAACAACGAACGAACAAAGCAAGGCAGAAGAGCTCCACCCATTGTTTCTCTCTCTCTCTCTCTCTCGCTCTCTCGCTCATCATTAGCATCGTCAGGCCCAGATCGAAGCGCTGCGCTGCTCGATCACCCGAAAATCCCTCGCAAGCGGCCCAAGACGCCTTGCTGCTTCTTGGCTTCCTTCTCCATGGCTTGTTGTTGCTGGGCCTGAGTCTCTTGCTCCTTGCGTATTTTGGCAAAGGCCTCATTGTAGCGTGGTTGAATTTGCCGGAGCTCTGCAATATGGTCTGCTCGGTGACGGAGCGCCAGAGCATAAATGCCGTTGATGACGGCCTGCTGAGGGGTGCGCACAACGCCTTGCTCGCTGAGCGCAGCGGACGCGATGCGCCTGTTGCGCGCAGCGTGGTTTTGCAATGCAAACTCGCTGTGTTGAGACATGAGCATGTGCGTCGCAAACACGCCTGGCGAGCGACGCTGGGATTTTCCGGCAGATCGGCCGATCGGCGCGTCGGGGTTGGACTCTTTAGCGATAGCCTCCTTGAGGACTGTGTCGCGGTGTTGCTGGATGAGCAATGTGGCCGCCTCGCCAGTCCGGACGCGCTCGGCAATCTTTTTCGCCTCGGCGACCGACACGCCTTTCGCCAGCGCGGTCTGCTCGGCCCAGTACGCCTGGGAGCGCAAGTCCTGCTTTACTGCAAAGGTACGGATGCTCAGCGCACGCTCAAAGGCCTTTTCCGTCAAGTTGAGCTTGGGCAGATTCGGGAGGGGGCTGTCCACGAGTTCGAGCACACCCATCGCCGCCTGATCCGACGCTCGTGCGGGCAAGCGCTGCACGCGCGTGTAACCACCGGCGCGCTGTGCATACCGCTTCTTGAGCTCGGTGTGGAGCTTTCGTGTGAGCGAGCCATCGTGGTCGTACAAGAAGCCGCGGACCTTGCGCTTGGTGAATGCCGTGTCTCGCTTTCCGAGCGTGATGATCTGCCACCACACACCAACGAAAAAGCAAGCAGAGGAAAGTTGACAGTTATTCAGTGTGAGAGGACTGTTCCAGCCAACGGCAATCGCAGGACCGAGCTGGAGAGCGAGAGCGAGAGCGAGACGGGGAGATCTCTCTTTGCTTTCCACTCTTTCTCCTCCCCCGTGTGTGTGTGCCCCCCAGGACTGACCTTCTCGGCGACGCGGTGGGCAGCCTTGGCCTTGGCATACGTCGTCTCGATGCGCTCGTGGCGGATGAGGGCTGCGGTGAGGTTTCGCAGGAGCGCCATGCGATGCGACGTCTTGCGGCTCAGCTTGGCCAGTGTTGCGCCGTACTTGCCCATGCTTTATGAGAGAGATGGAGAGAAAAACAAAAAAAAGAAGAGTAGAGGACTGCAATCGAGTCAAATGCGGTGTTTTCCATTCATTGATTCAATTTCTGAGATGGTTGAGCAATTGGATTGAGTGAGTGAGTGAGTGGATGCATTGAGGCTCGCTTTTTTTTTTTTTTTTTTTTCCCCCTACTTGCTTCCGTTGCTCAAATCGCCAATTCACTCACTCCATGTCCCCTTTTTCCATCTCGAATAATGTGTTGTCCACAATCGAATCAACGACAACCACGAATTCGCTTCCAACCACAAATTTACACTATTTCACTCTTTCATTTTGCCTTCGTCACAATTTTAGTGAGTGGATTGCATTGTTTGTCTTCCAATTCTCTCTTTCTCTCTGTTTCTTGCTCTTCGTTTGTTGTCGTTTCTCTCTCTCTCTCTCTGTCTCTCTGTCTCTATCTCTTTCTCTCGCTCCACCCGTTGGCTACCGAAAATTTCCACTCGTGTCCATCATCCACAGTTCAAAGTTCACTATTCGCACCTGCGCTTTTTTTTTTTTTTTTTTTCCCAAGTACGCCTCCTTCCACTCCTCTCGCCAAACCGCCTCCCCTCCCCATCCCACTTGGGAAACGCAACTCGCCGAGGCACACTGGACCAGGCTTGCATCCCAAGTCACACCATACACACGCACCGTGCTCCAGCGCAGGCCGTTTCTTTGTTGTGGATTTTTTTTTTCCATCGATTTTTGGCTTGATCAGCTAAGCAATTCCGATCTTTGATTCAAAATTGTACCACTTTGCGCAGCCAAAGCCAACTCCAAAGCCAAAGCCAAAGCCAGCGACCGTGTCTCTCTCTTTTGTTTCGAACGCCTCTGTCCTTCTCTCGGGGGTTGAATCAAGAAGCGCAAATCCACATCAACATCAACAACAACAAGCAGGCCCTTTTTTGCTGTTTTTGAACTGTTTCTGAATCCTGCCACGAGGATTACCGCCTTATTGCTCAAAAACAAAACGCAAACCTTCGCGCTCGCTCGCTGATCACGGATCAGTCCACGCCACACTTGCTTCCTGCAATCCTGGTCCCGCTACCAAAGTCACACCTGCTTCAAGCACGCACAAGCGCTCGCTCCGTGACTCGGCGGAACGAACAACAAATTTTCAAGATCAAACTGATCTGACTCTGTTGGACTCATCACCAAGGAGGACTCGATCCACAGCAAAACAACAATGGCAGGCGACGACGAAATCATCTACACGGACATGACCAGCTACTGGAACCCATTCGAGGTCTGGGCGGTTGCCATGTGCACGCTGGTCTTGAGCCTCCAGTTTTTGGTCGCGCTGTACATGGTCATCCATCGCGATTGGAAGCCGTTCAAGGCCAAGCAGCCCTGGTCGCTCTTTCTTGGAGCCTCGGCCGCCATCATTAGCTTCGTGGCCGAGCTGCACTCACAAATTCTCATTCCAAACGACTACCCCGTGCTCAGTGCTTGCGCGTTGTGGCGACAGTGGTTTTTTGTGACCTTTGGCATGGGGCTGATTTCCGCCTGCTTGCTCTACCGCCTGTTTATGCGATGGATTGTGCTCGACTTTCTCAGCTCCCGCTTTGCAGCCACCCACCGGAAGATTGACCGAACCTTCATCCAGATTCTGGGCGTCGGGGTCATCTACGTGCCCATGCTCGTTCTCAGCATTGTCAATTCAACCGCGGGTGAAACCTCGTTGGGCCCGCTCGTGTTGGCGAACGGCCAAGTCATTCAAGTGTGCTACACCAGGACCAAGGTGCTCAACTACTCGTTGAACTGCTTCATTGGAATCTACTGTGCCGCAATGGCCTTGTGGTGGACGCACGCGCTGCGCGATGTGCGACGGTCCTTTAACGAGTTCCGAGCTGGGCGGCCTGCTCTGATTTTTGCCGTCTGCTGCCTGCTCTCGTACCTTGCCTTGCTATTCGTAATCGATTCGAGCAAGTACTACTACCGCGCCGTCTTCCTGCTCCTCAATACCGGCATCACATCGCCCATTTTTTGCGCGGTCGTGTTCGATGTTATTACCAGCTGGTTTGTCCGAAGGCAGGAGGAAGAGGACGTCTTTGAGGCCGGGTTGGCCATGACCATGCTTACACATGCCCCTCGTCGCGGCCGAAGGGGCAACACGTACGACGAGCGCAACCACCCCGGCTCAAAGGCAAGCACGCATGCCTCTGGAGATTCCGGGCGCAATACTCCCAAAGCCACCACCGTCGAGTATACCGAATACAATGTCGAACTCGAGGAGGAGATGGATGACGAGCAAGTTGTCGTCGGCGTCGAGGAATTCGTGCCGACTGGGATGCAGTCCCCCGCTCCCAACTCGGTAGTTGCCCAGCCGAATCCAGGCGCGCCGCCCGCAGCTGATTCGCCTCCAGAAACATCTTAACACCTTTGAAACTTTTGTTATTCCTTTCTGGGCAAGTTTGTTGGTTGAATCCCTCGTTTGGTTTCCCCCCCCCCCAAATGATTGGGTCAACGACGTTATAGTTTCGCACCCTCCTTCAAGGTTGTCCTTCAAGGTTGTCCAACCACTCTTTGTAGATCTCCGTGACTCTTCTAAGGTCACTTCGTTCGTTATAGTTAGCGGGTTGCTGTTGTATGCAAAGCTGTACAACGCCAAACATGTAATAGTCAAACCAATTCCTTGTTGCTCAATACAAACTTTCAAGGCAAGTCGCAGGAGTATTTACTCACAAAGATAATGAATATTGATACTTTACAAGAAACACGTAACAGCCAAACCGTAAACATGAAAAGCAAGCTCAAGAGAGTGGCAACTGAAGTCCGGCTACCTCTTCAACAAATAGGGTCAATCCTAGCAGCTAGCAGCGCGAGCGGCAGGGGAATGCCCGAGTTGATTATACAACCCAGAATCCAACGCCTTCGCGACTACCGAAATCGTTGCCTTTCTGTTGGTGGAAGAGAGGATTGTCAAATGTTCCAACCGAATCTTCCGCGACAGGATTCTGAGCGATATCGCTTTCCGCCGAACCGGGTTTCTGGGATTTCGTGGGGTGGCGGCGGCGACGGAGCAGGACGACAAGCAGAACAATCAAAAGGAGCAGCAAAACGCCACCACCCACGCCACCAACCACCGGGCCGATCGGGAAGCTGGTCGGACGATTCGCAGCTTTGACAGCTGCAGAAGCTGCAGAGAATGCTGCGGTAGAGGTACCAGACGCTTTGGAGGCGAGTGTTGTCTTTGTTGCAGAGTCAGCGCTTACACTAGAAGCAGTAGAAGCCGCTCTCGTCACACGCGCCACAGATGTGGATGTAGTTGATGCAGCAGAAGCACCAGATGCCGCGCTCGTGACGAATGCACTGGATGTGGATCGCACGACAGCGTCGGATGCGACCGAAGCGGCGGAAGCAGCCGATGCCTTTGAGGTTGATGCAACAGAAGCAGCAGAAGCAACAGATGCCTTCGAGGTAGTTGCAGCGGACGCAAGAGACGCACCAAAGGCCGCGCTCGTGACGAATGCAATCGACGTGGACGCTACAGACGCGTCAGAGGCGGCAGATGCTACGGAAGCAGCCGATGCAACAGATGCAACAGAAGCGGCAGATGCCTTCGAGGTAGTTGCAGCGGACGCGGCAGAGACGATGGATGCGACTGACGTGGATGCAACGGAGGCTGCAGAAGCGTCGGAAGCAGCAGCAACAGATGCCTTTGAGCTAGTCGCAGCGGACGCAACAGAAGCCACAGACGCGTCAGAGGCGGCAGATGCGACAGAAGCAGCTGATGCGACCGAGGCAACAGAAGCGGCAGATGCCTTCGAGGTTGTTGCAGCGGATGCGGCAGAGCCGACGGATGCGGCGGATGTGGATGCGACGGAGGCTGCAGATGCAACTGAAGCAGCAGAGGCCGCGCTGGTGACGAATGCAACGGACGTGGATGCCACTGATGCGACGGATGCCACAGAAGCAACAGAAGCAGCATTAGCAGCAGATGCCACAGACGCGACAGATGCCTTCGAAGTGGATGCAGCTGATACAATAGACGCAACAGATGCCGCGCTCGTGACGAATGCGACGGACGTGGATGCCACTGATGCGGCGGATGCGACAGAAGCAACAGACGTGGACGCAACAGATGCAACAGAAGCATCGGAAGCAGCAGATGCCGCTCTGGTGACGAATGCGATCGATGTGGATGCCACAGATGCAGCGGAAGCGGCGGATGCGACAGACGTGGATGCAATGGTCGCAACAGACGCCATGGAAGCAACCGACGCGGCAGATGCCTTTGCGGTAGACGCAGCGGACGCAACAGACGCAGCAGAGGCCGCGCTCGTGATGAATGCAATCGACGTGGACGCTACAGACGCGTCAGAGGCGGCAGATGCGACAGAAGCTACAGAAGCGGCAGAAGCAACAGAAGCGGCAGATGCCTTCGAGGTTGTTGCAGCGGATGCGGCAGAGGCGACGGATGCGACTGACGTGGATGCTACGGATGCGGCCGATGCGATGGAAGCAGCAGAGGCCGCGCTGGTGACGAATGCAACGGACGTGGATGCCACTGATGCGACGGATGCCACAGAAGCAACAGAAGCAACAGAAGCAGCATTAGCAGCAGATGCCGCAGACGCGACAGATGCTTTCGAAGTGGATGCAGCTGATACAATAGACGCAACAGATGCCGCGCTGGTGACGAATGCGACGGACGTGGATGCCACTGATGCGGCGGATGCGACAGAAGCAACAGACGTGGACGCAACAGATGCAACAGAAGCGTCGGAAGCAGCAGATGCCGCTCTGGTAACGAATGCGATCGATGTGGATGCCACAGATGCAGCGGAAGCGGCGGATGCGACAGACGTGGATGCAATGGTCGCAACAGACGCCATGGAAGCAACCGACGCGGCAGATGCCTTTGCGGTAGATGCAGCGGACGCAACAGACGCAGCAGAGGCCGCGCTCGTGATGAATGCAATCGACGTGGACGCGATAGACGCGTCAGAGGCGGCAGATGCGACAGAAGCAGCTGATGCGACCGAGGCAACAGAAGCGGCAGATGCCTTCGAGGTCGTTGCAGCGGACGCGGCAGAGGCGACGGATGCAACAGACGTGGATGCGACGGATGCACCAGATGCAACTGAAGCAGCAGAGGCCGCGCTGGTGACGAATGCAACGGACGTGGATGCCACTGATGCGGCGGATGCCACAGAAGCAACAGAGGCAGCAGTAGCAGCAGATGCCGCAGAAGCGGCACTCGTCACGTACGCAATTGACGTCGAGGCAACACTGGCAACCGATGCCTTCGAAGCAACCGAGGCCACAGACGACGACATCGCTGAAGCCGTGGCTGCCAGCAGCGTTGCCACTGATGCTTGAGATGTCGACGCCGCGGTCGCAGCGCTCGCACTCGCCGCCGCAATGGCGGAGCTGGCACGTCGTTGATTCACACTTATCACAATCGACGTCATCAGCGTCGTGCGCTCGGTGCTCGACAGGATCGTCTCGAATGGCATGGCGAGCAAAAACGACGAGTAGCTACCGCTCACGGTGCTCACAGCAGCTATGTTGGTGCCAGAAGCGCCATGGTACAGTGCAGCAGTGCCGCCTCCAGTGACAGTCAGGATGTCAGGGGTTTGAACGATGTAAGGGTTGCCAAGCGCGATGAGCGAGTTGAACGTCACAGTGCCGCTCATCGTGAAGCCTGGGTCCGCTTGACGGGCAATGAATGGCGCGCTGGCAGTAGCGCCAGCGTAACCAGCACCCAGGTTGTTGGCAAGGAAGGTTGCACTTGCTCCACCAGCAGCCGCAAGACCAGAAGCGACGTGCGAACCGGTCACAATCAAAGACCGCGGATTGATGATGGTCGCAGCCGCAATCCAAGTGTTGATGACAGCTTGATGCGCTGCAGGGAACACGTTGATGCCAGTGTTCTCTCCTGCAAACCAGATGACAATCTGGTAGTTGGCCAAGTAGGCGTTCACCCATGTCGCGTCGAGCAGAGTGCTCTTGGTGGCCGAGTCGCAGCGATAGCCTGCAGCTTGGAGCGCGGTGACATACTCGAACACGTACTCGCGTGTGTAGCGGCCCTCGATATTGTCGCTCGTGTGCACAAAATCGGCGTCAAAAGCATCAACCACGAGAATGCGAGGACCGGCTCCAGAGTTGCGGTACCCGGCAACTGTAAGCTTGGTGAGAGCCTCGCCGCCGGCATTGACTCCAGCAACTTTGAAGTAGTATTGCGTGTCGACCGTGACAGCGGTCGTGACACCACACACGCTGTTACCGTAGCTGAGTGACTCAATACGGACGCTATTACCCGAGGTGCTGGACGCAAAAATGACACCTTCATCCCAGCCGCGACCGTCGGTAGAGGTGTACAGCTTGTACGACGCTGCAGTTGCACTTGATTCCAGCGGATCAGTCGGTTGAACCCAGCAGAGGGCAACGCCGTCGGTTCTTGAGATGGTGTAAAGGTTGGTGACCGGCAACGGGATGATGGTAGGAGACGACGGAACAAAGTACTTGTGGATGCCCTTGTAGATGGCACGACCCAGCTGTTTTTTGTGATAGTTATCATTCGATGAGTCAGAGACCTTCAGAGTGCATTCACCAATCGCTCGAACACAACCAACAATCCGCTTTACCGTTTCGCGGTAGGATTCTTTCGCCATCAGCGCCATTTCAGTGGCATTGAGCACGTCAATGGTGTATGTAATGAACGATGGCATGTTGGTGTTTTGGGTCAGTTCCGTTTTTGATGAATCGGCGTTGGCAATTTTGTTGTTCTGCCCGGTCGCTTGCTGAACGTTCGAGCGAACAATGGTTGCCGCGGTGCCACACGCCGTGTAGAGCGTTGTGCTCATACCGCTGGGTTTCTACGGAGGTTATGGAAGAATCAGCATAATTCGCTCAAGTTCAACTATCATCGAGTACAGCAAGTATTGCCTACCGAGTAGGGTGTAACAGTCGAGACACCTGATCCTGCACCGCCACTGGCCCCGATACCTGCATACAGCCAGTCAGCACCATTTTGCCTGTTCAACAAATCCGTGTCCAGTTTTTGGTTGAACATGTAGTTGGAGAACTTGGCTCTGGCCTGGTAGTCGGTATCAAGGGTGGGCGCTGAGTTGGCTGCCACTTGAAGACCCAGGGTTGAATACTGGTTTTGACTCATAAAGCTCAAAAAGTCCTGGGCTGACAGTTTCCAGCGCGGAATACCGGCTGACGCTCCGCATCCGACGCGTACTGCATCAGCCATCGCAAATTTGACCAAAGTTACGGGCATTTTGTTGGTGACCTCGATCTTGATTCCGGCTGCGGCAGTAAAGTAGTAGCGGCCAAGATACACAAAGATGGAGTCAAATTGATACATCGGGACAGCTATTGTCTGGATGCCTCCGGAATGCGTAATGCGAATGTCTGGGGTGCCTCGATTGAGTAGGCTCGGCCAAGTCATATAGACGGGGTAGTAGCCAGACGTGGAAATTGTAGCGGTAAACGTGGCTTGGGCGGATTCCGTTGTAGATCCTGCAACCCAGTGTTGATCGGAGCCATATCCTGCAACGATTGATGCGGAGAACCACGAAGCACCACTGTTAGCAGTGTAAGTCACTTTTTTGGCAGCTGTGTTGTCAAAGTCATTGATGATGACTTCTGTGGGAGTGTCAAACCAGCGCTCTCGAGTCGAATAGACGCTGGCGCCTGCATTGGCAAGGTACTCTTGAAGGTAGCGAATGGTGATTTCGTTCGTGTAAATGTCTTGCAGAAGCGATTCGGCGCTAAAGTACCGGGAACCAGTACCGTAGTAGCCTCCAGTCGCCCCAGAGCAAGTCAGCCAACCCAGCGCAGGTGACAGGACGACATTCTTGGTGGACAGCTGCGGAGCAGTCGAGCTGGCCGCATTGACCCACTTGGTTGGCAAATTGTGAATGTCAGCTTGCGCTTTCATCGCCGCAAGCGCGAGAAGAACAACAACGAGCGATCGCGCCGCAGCCATTTTTTCTGAATGCTAGCAACAAATAACAAGCAAAGATGGATCCAATCGTGAGTGATTGTTGCTTCCTTGCTCCCTGAGTATTTGAGTCATTGCCACCTCTGGGAGCTGTGCCATTTCGCCGCCACGCTTCCTGCCTTCTTCCTCCTCCTCCTCCTCCACCAGCAAGCCCCTTGTGTTATCTGCCCAACACTGTCCATCGTGACGCTCATCGTGATGCACTGGTCCTCGCTAATTACCGGAGGTTTTGAGTTCGCACACGCGAGAGAAAATAAAAAGGTGTCGAAACGAAAAGCGTTGAAACCGCAATCGAACACCAAAAGTAAAGTCACACTCTCATACAATTCGAGTTTGAAGCGATGAGGATGCTTTCCAATCGACATTGTGTGGCTGCAACGTCAAGTCAAGCAAGCGTCAAAAGACCAAAGAAAGCATGGCTCAGCAAACCACGGAAATTTGCAAAAAACAAACCTAGCAACAATGGCTATAGACTGTAAACCGCTAACTTTCACACGCTGACACACACGCGAGCGCTCTCGCTCTCTCACTCACTCATCTCGCAAGCAGGTAACTTTGTTCTCTTCTCATTTCCACCATCCCTCCCAAAGTCCACTGCGAAAGGCTCTTGACTGCAATACACGGACCCGATCTGCCGCTTTTTGGTGCATGATCGTTCTTCGTTCGAGCCTCTTTCTCAACTGACTCGTTCTCTGTCTCAATCACATCGAATAATCATGTCCCTGCCCAGTGCCACTCAATCTCCAAGCTTGTGTGTTTTCACTTGTTGCATGGCAAGGAGACGGGTCGCACACGCGATGAGGCATGCTTTGAGCATCATGGCAGAAACGGGGTCATCCTGCACCTGCTCACTTGCCGCTCGCCTTTGCTGCTCCTCTCACAATCAGGTTGTAAGCTGCGAGAGAGTTGAGACGCGGGAATCAGGCAGTGTTACCGTTGGTTACTTTCAAAATCTCGCGATAAAGCACAAAGATTAAACAGAAAAGTCAAGTGGACAAAAATGAGGACTGCGCTGCGAAAAATTAACGTCCGCAAACAAATCGCATCCAGATTTTAGGTGTGAAAAATCGGTGTCAAGGTCCAAACCTCAAAGTGTCATCTCGCTTCTTCACGCTGCGCGCACCATGTTGCCCATGAGTGATTTTACAGATGTATGTACGCTTGGAGCCAATGGAAACAGAGGCGCTGGAGTATGGGAGGGAAGAGCAGCCGCGGCGCAGCAGAGCAAGGTCAAAGTTCAATTCCCACGGTCGCTAGCAACAAGACACCCATCCATGTGCGGGTTGCTATCGTGTCTAAGCTGTGGGTTTGGAGGGTGGGGCCAATCGAGTCTTCCAGTCGGGCTGCTTAGCGACATTGAGTCTGTGAAATCGTGTCAGCCAAGCCATGACTACGAGCAGCACTGGATATTGGAACCGTGGCACACTTCAACCCCGACGTAGCCGTACAAGCAATTTCGCTGGAATGCAGCTCCAACTTGAGATCTCGATTCACGCTCATGGCTTGATCGATCGGGGTTACATATTCATCGGCGGGAACTCTGGCTCTCACGGAATCGAAGAATTTGATTCAACCGAACAATCGACCAATTCCCATTCCCTCGTTAAAAGAAATGGAACAAGTCCTAATCACATGTGAGCTCTCATCAAAATCCTTCAAACATAACAAAGCAACTCAGAATGCAAGACAAGCCCTTTGAAAAACAAAAGCACAACAAACCCTCCTTCAACTACAATTTCAAATCCCACGATTTCCGTAGTTTGATGGCTTCCACGTCGCTTCGCGCCTGGTACATGCCATACGCGAGAGGAGCAAGCAACAAAAAGTACCGGATTGCAACTGCTGTGGTCGTAGACGCCACCATGAGAAGTGCAACACGGCCGGAGGATCGAACGGACGGGCCAAATAGCTTGGCAGCAAGCCCCACGACAAACTCCACGCCATGCTCAAGAACAATGGCCAGAATCATGATTTTGAACATGAGGGCCGGCAGATAGTGGTGCAGGAACAGCTGGCGGGCGAACGTCATGAACGGCACGTAGTGCAGAGCCCAAGCCAAAAGCAGCATTCGACCGCACACAACCATTCGGAAACGAGTTGCTGACGAGCAGACAAAAACGGGTGGCAGCGATGGAAGGCGAGGGGTATCGGTGAGCCATTGATCCGGAGTGATCGGCAGTTGGCAGACAACCCCTGAAAAACATTTACCCTCCTTACCTGGAGCCAAATCATACACTGCTCGACGCTCTCGAATCAACAAGACGACATCCGCAACAGCAAGCAGCAAAATGGCAGCAGTGGCAGACCACCAGATGACGGGATTGCCAATCAGATAGACCTGGCGTTGATCGCCCTGCCAGAACGAGATGCCACGGTGGAGCAGGGGCCATTCGCTCGGGCGCGATTGGTAGGCGTGGTTGTCCGTCAAGCGGTTGTTGGCGGCAAACATTTCGGTCTGCAATTCGATAAAGCTCTGCAAGAATCCCAAGCGCGCGCGGATGGGGTTTGTCGCGTCCGAATGCCGGACTGCCGAGGTTGAAGATCATTCAAAAGGACGAAGGACAAAAAGAACAAAAACAAGAACACAAAGTAAACGTGAATAAACCAATCAACAGTGAAGTAAACGTGATAAACCAATCAACACAGACATATGAAAACAAACACAAAGGTTCGAGCGCTTACAAATATGATCCTCAATTTCCTCGACGACAAACGAGCTGTCAGCGATGCTTACGCCAGTCACCGCCGTCGTTACTTCGCCTTGACCAAATCCCCATTCTGGGAGGGCTCTATGAATACGAATCAAAGCGGCCCGGTGAGAAAAACACCCCAACAAACTTCCCCCTTCCCGCGTTACAATAGGAAGCATCCCACTCACTCGCCCTTCGTCTGGAGGGTTGCACTCGTGTTTTCGTGATGCAGTCGGAATGGAAGCATCGATTCCCACTCAGGAGTTCCGCCCAAGCCGAGGGTAGACCACAAGATCGGGCTGTAGTTTGTGTCGATGCGGAAAACCGGGTACGGAGTCACCGTATCCACCGCAGCATTGAACGTCGAGACTTCTTGAAGGATGGCGTTGACCGGGCCAGCCACGTCGTGCGAGTTGAGAGTTGTGTTTGACGTCGCATGCACCAGCTTGATACGATCGCCATGCCTGACAGGCATCAACTCCTTGTACTGAGAGGCGTCGGTGTCCTGTTCGCGTAAAATAATCCACCAGTTGTTGGCGTCCTTGTGCGCGTAACAAGTCACCTTGGGGTCCCAGAAAGCAGGATTGCGGTATGAACAAAAGTGAGGGCAATGCGTCTAGCTGGAAATCACGTCAACCTTGATACCCAGGCCAGCTTACCTGCTGCTGCGCCGAACTGACTCGACCGGTCGGATAATGCAATGGGTAGCGATGAAGATGCGAGTGAATGTAGCAATTGTGCGCTTGAGACTTGATCGTGACGTAGGCGCCATAGTAGATTGCTGCGCATTGTCAAAAGAGAGCAAAACAAAACAAAACGAAAGTCAGGGCAAACACGAAGCACGAAAAGCAGGCCCACATCAATACATCCTTACTTTTAGGGTGAGTGCGCGTCAGATTCTGAATGGAGCTTCCTTGAAGCCCAGCCTGGAAGGCCAGGCTCATGAAGGCATCGCCAGGCCCTGATTGCGTGAGGACGGCAAAATGAATGGCAAATCCTGCAAGGAAAATGGCGATCGGCACGATAATCAAAAAGACAGCCCGAATTGCAAAGTGTTCAATAAATGTCGGCTGCAGGACAGTTTGTCGGGAATGGTAGCAAGGGAGACGCAGACAGACAGACACACACACACAGACACACCACAGACAACGGTGAGAACAAATATGGCCCTTTTCGGCAAATCGCACCAAACCACCTAGTACCTACCCGATCGTCAGACCCTGCACCCAGAATGGGCACGCTCAAATCTCCAAGCAGCGTCCAAAGATCGTAAATTGTGTACAGGCCGACGGCTGCAATGACAAAGATTCCGACGTACTTGATGCTGTCAATGGTGTCCTCAGCAATCGTCAGAGACCAACCGACAATCACCAATCAAACACTTTTGGCCAAGTGGCTTACCCAACGGCAAACCCAAGAAACACGCCCGTGCTGGCCAGCCAGAAAATCCATCCACTCGTGAAAGGGCTGTATGTGTGTGTGTGGCAAAGAGACAAGTTCAGTTCAATGGACATCGACTCCACTCATCCATGGCTTAGCAGCGCGCACCTTTCACGCTTGGAAATGAACTGTGCCAGCGATGCAAAGGCAGCGATCGTGAAAAACAGCAGCATCGAGTCGAGGAGAATGTAGCGTGACTGGGTGAGGAGACCCACGTCTAGGACGACAAGCAGTCCAGCCAGGGTCGAGGTGACAACAGAGTAGCCAAATGCCGACAGCGTGACGAACGATGCAGGGGCAATCAACGCCCCGAGCACCGCGCAGAATGCTCGAAGCGGCAGGTATGGCACATTGTCCACGAGATAATCCGCGCCAAGATTTTCAAACAGATAAGAACCGTCATTGCCAGAAAGGTAGCCCACAAGCGCCAGCAGCATCTTGCCAATCGGCGGATGCACATCGAAAAAGTATTCGCGTCGCAAGTAGTAGCTGGCAAACTTGCCGAAATGCACCTCGTCAAAGCTGAAACCCAAGTACAGGCGCATTCGCGCGAGAGTTGAGCCTAAAGTCAGTCTGACATGTATCGCAAATGCAGCATCCGGCAACATGGAGCTTACATGACAAAATGGGGCTCGCTGAGCATGAACAAGCGCGTCGCCAGTGAAATGACAGTGATCAACCCAAGTGCAGACCAATAGTACTATACCGACAAAGAGAAACACCCATGATGCTGTGAGTTACACGTCATACGGGTTCTGAGAGTTTGAGTTCTGAGCGTTTGAGTTCTGAGTGTTTGGGTTCTGAGCGACCAGCCTTCTCCACAGCAATGTTGATCACCATCACTATCGTCGTCAATATCATCCTTGCGAGCAGGAACGCGCAACACGCAGTGTCGGGGGTACCTTTGCATCCCACTCAGCAGAGATCCCTTGCGAAACGCCCGGCTTGGCAGCCGATGACGTGCGAAGGGCGGCATGCGCTGCACTCTGACCGTCCAGCCTGGGGGGCTTCTCACTGCTGCCCTGCACAACGCGTGACGCTGCACCACTCGCGCTGGCCGTCGTCGTTGTCGCGGTGGCAGAGGGGTCGATCGCGTCGCGTGCGTTCTGCTGCTTGGCTCGCTGCTGCTGGTTGGATCCCGCAGTGCCCGCCGACTCCCCTGACTCCCGCTGCTGCTGGTTGGATGTCGCAGTGCGCGACTGCTGCAGCTGCTGCGACACTGGCGTGGCGACCGTTGGATTGATCTCCGCAGCCTGCATTCGAAGACCAAGAATCGAAGACAGACAAGCAAAAAATAAGCGAAAAGGACTGCATCAGCGGGCATTCGATGCTGCATTATCATCACTCTAGCTCGACTTGCACTGTTTGACGGATCACACAAGCTTCAAACAAATCCAAAATCTCATTGATAGGGGAGGGTGGGGGGGGGGTTGTCTCAAAGTTGTGCTTCAAAGCCCAACGTCTCCCACTCTCCCACTCTCCCACTCTCCCACTCTCCCACTCTCAATGCTCAAACTCCATCTCAATATAAATCTAGTCTCGTTTTCTGATCTTTTGTGCTTTGTGCCACTCTTCCTTTTTTGCTCTTTCACACAATGTTTGCTCTGCGACGAGTGCCTGCGCTGCTTGCCGCCGCCTCGACCTCGACCCCGGCACCACCAGCAGCAGCAGTGCGATTATCTGCACGATCGCTGTCCAGCCAGGTCCCTGCAGCACGCGGCGGCGGCGGTCACGGCCACGGCCACGGCCACGGGCGTCCGCTCGATCCCGCGCGCGAGTATCCGAACGGCTTTCTGTTCAACGAGAAGGTGAAACCCCCCCCCACATCTCCCCTCCCAGCAGCTTCCCACATCTAAACTCGGTGTCCAAGCGCCGTGCCTGAGGCGAGATTGACAAACAAGGGCATAGCTCGGCCTTTTCGGCTTCAATGCGAGATCTCTGCTTTTTTTTTTTTTTTTTTTTTTTTTTTTTTTTTTTTTTGCTGGCTTTTGCATTGAGTTTCCGTTGAGTTTTTTCTTCTCCCATCTCTCTCTCTCTCGCGTGTCGTTCTACTCTGTTCCGTCTCACTCACTTTGTTGCGATGTCCTTGTATGCGTGTGCTTGCGCTGTTTGGTTTTCGTCTTGCTGGACAGCCTGGGCCGCGCGCCAAGTGGCAAGATTGGGAGCCAGCATGGTACATTGGCATGATTGGCGGTCTGGTCCTGTTTGGCGTCGTCACGTACTATCGCCCAGACACCGAGTAAGCACAGTCAGAGTTTCGTGTGTGAATGCGTGAGTCTGTGAATGGGTCGGATTCAGCGGGTGTGAGAATGGTGGTCTGTCAAACGAAGTGCCTCACCTCAAATCTACCGCCCGCTTTTCTGCAGTCCGACTGTCAAAGCACGCGCTATCGCACTTGAACGCCTGCGTGAGCAAAATCCAGATGCAGTTCACGAGGAGTCAGAGGCTGCTGCTCCTGCCCACCATTAACAAGGGATAGAAAAAAACATGGAAAAAAGTATGAAACCAAAACGCCCCCAAACGACAAAACCTTCCCGCCGCGTTGCCTTGGAGGATGGCAAACGCATTTTGTGAATCCATGTCTTTTGTGCTATTGCTTGTGTGTATGTGTTGTATTGTCTAAATGTCTATGTGGTGAACATTGTTCTTTGTTGAGCATTTTGCCATCGTTTTGAGTGCGGTTTGCGAAACTCCTTTCTGCAAGCATTCATTGCAAGGCTTGTCGCCTGTCCCGTCGAACAACAATATCCAATGGTACGTTAACAGCGACAACAGCGGCAACAACAATGACGTTGGGCGTCAGAAAACCGTTGTTGGACCATGAACACTGCAAATTTCCGCTGTTTTGTTGATCACCACAAGAAAAGAATAGCACCACCAACAACAACATCATCATCCTCAATTACAGCTTGGACGCATGCTGTATCCCTGCAGAAATGGTGGAGCTGGAGGCCGCCCCGACGCGCTCGTAAAACAGCATGTAGGCTTGCGAGCTCAGAACTTCGTGGGTGGTGGCCATGCGCACGACATCGTCCGAGCAATGCAGCCAATGCTCCTTGATGACGGTCGAAGGTTCAGCGGATGTTGCCGAGGAGGACGCGTCCGAGACAGCGGTGGCTTCTTTGACTAGGTCGGCTTCTTGCGCGGCTCCACCTGCAGGAAGTGACGACTCTGTTCCTTCACTGGAAACAGAGGCATTAACAGAAGAAGGAGTATCAGCAGCAGCAACGGCGGCGGGCACACGGTACACGCGTTTAATTTTCCGGTACGTGACGAAATGCCCGCCGGATCCACCACCGAGATGAACGACAACCGCGGAAAGCTTGTAGCGGTAGGCGTTGCGATCGCTGGACGTAGAACTCTGGGCTGTAGAGCCTGCTTCTGTGGATCGGGTTGCTGCACGGATGAGACGCGCGAGCGGCTCTGGGCCCATGGTTGCGATTGCATTGTGTTGCTGCTCCAGGTAGGCAAAAGGGGCTAAATCCAACACCATGGGGAAACGAACGTGCTTGTCGGCCTTGACGTTGCCGGAATCCGTGTACACGAGGCGCGAGAGGTGGATGGCAAACACTGGCGGGAGTTTAGCAAGCGCAACGTGGAGGGATCCGCGACCACGCAAAGTGGGCTGCCAGCGTCGACCTTGAGCCGCCGCCATCGCCGCAAGGGAAACCTTGCCAGCCTTGGATGGAGTGTTGCTGGCGGAGGACTGCCACGATAATGGGACTGCACGGTCGTAGCAGTTGTCACACTTGATGCCTTCCAGCGGCTGTGTGGAGAAATGCGCTGCAAGGCAGTCAAGCAAAGAAGGAGAGAACTGCAACACCGGAGGAATATGGGTGAGAGGAGGCAAGAGTGATGGCAGAGATGGAAACACCATGATCCTCAAACTTACGCTATCGACTGCATACAAAGGCAAACTAATGTTATCGAAAGGATCGAGTCTCAAGGAGCCCTCATGCCCACAGGCGCTGCAGACCAATTGAGTCGCCACGAGACCAATCATTGGCGATGCAAACGAGAGGCAAGACCGACTAGGGATGGCAAGATTCTGCGACACATCAGAATTTTTTTTGTTTTTTTGTGGAGGAGAGAGGGGTGAGCCACCTCCCAATCAATCAAGCTGCAATTCGCGGCTACTCACCTTGTCGATGGAAAGTGTTCGCTTGCTGGCGTGCTGCATGGCTGCCAGTTCGTCAGTCAAGGTCGAGGAGACGAATTGAAACAGTTCGTGCAGGTCTTGCTGCCGACCGTTGAGCATTCCATATTTTGCGCAGAGCGGATCAAGCACAGTGTACGCAGCAAGCGGTTTTGAATTCGAAGAGGGTTGTCGCTCATTCAAGGCTGAGGGATGAAACAAACAACGGCAAGATGGCGTTATTCAAGGCTGAGGGATGAAACAAAACGCCTGACAAAACACAAAAGCACCACTCCGTGTTGCATACCATCGAGAAAGTCAGCCACGCCTACAACAAGAGGTAGCTGTCCACCATGCCCCAATATCCGGGCGTTGTCTGCATGGGCACACAGAAACTCGTGCAGCTTCCCAACAGACGCGAAAGCCTGATGATGATGATGGTTGCCAAAAGTCAGAGCTTGCGAAGCACCCCACAATACACCCTCTCCCTCGAACCACGAAGCGCATTCTCCAAGTCCTTGCCTGCATTAGCGCGTTGATGTAGCACGAATTGCCGTCAATGTTCTTGGTCCCTGGCACGTAAGCTGTCATCAATCCAAACACATCAGCAATCAGCCAAAAAGCTTGTTGTCAGATTGTGCCAACAGCGCCACCGTAGCATGGAAACCAGGAACCACGGCGCACTCGACTCGCATATCGAATGAACGACGCTGCTCCGATTCCCCTGTGAACGAACGTACGATCGTTACTTGTCTTGGCGAGTCTTCGCTTGCGGCGCATGGCGACCTCGTCAAACGCAGCACCACCGGCCAGCGTCTCATGTCCGCCTTGATTCAGCGGTGCTGTTGTTGTTGTTGTGCCATTGACGCCATTTGCTAGAGATGGGTTTGTTGGGCTGGACCAGAACCAGCGGCGAGGCGGAGCAGCATGTGAAGGGTCGCCGAACGACGACTTCCACCAGAGCGCGCCCAGGCCAGCTGCTGCGACGGCCGCGGCGCCCGTGGATGCAGCAGCGACAACGCTCGATGGATATCCGGGGATGGCGCGGAGGGCAGTCTGGCCCTGGACTGCAACGTACTTGGCTGCCGTTCGCGCGCCGTCCAACGTCAGCAACTCCGACGCATGCGGCAGCGTCAGCGGTGGCGGTGCAGCCACAGCCACAGCCACAGGCATCCCCGGTGCAGCACCGTCCGCGACAGTCTCTCGAACCATGTCGGCGAGGTCGTGGAACAGTCCAGCGAGTCGGTCAAACACGTCACTCGGGTCTCGACTTGGCTGAGCCATGAATGATAGCTGCTCAGACAACGACAACAGAAACAAAGGAAAAAAAAAACTGAGCCACCGCTCGAAACTTAAGTGGAATACGATGAAACTGGAGTTCAGCTCAGTCTCTCTTTTGTTTCTGAGAGGATGAGCAGCAGCAGTGAGCTCGTGCAAGATCAAGCGACCAATGCTGAAGTACAGAGCAAATCCCACCTGAATACAAAAAACAACAATCTGAATCTAAACTTCTAATGCTCTCATGCATGTGCGTCCGTGTGGAAGCACAGATCAACAGCGAGATGCAGAAGCGCATTGCGCAGAAGCGAGCCGAGATTGACGAGAACAACCAGCGCGAGTTTACTGCTCCAGCACGACCAGGTGAGGACAAGAGGCAGATCTACATCACTAGTATGATGTGATGTGCTGTGATATTGGCAATGGGTGGTGGTGGTGGTGGTGGTGGTTCGTGCTTGATCTTCGGCTCAACCCTCATGGTGGCTTCGCTCCATGCTTAGGCGATGCGACGTGTGCGCGTGTCGGAGCTGCTGACATCCAGAGGCATCGTAATCTGGACACGGGCGCATTGAGCAGCAGCCACGTCCCGGCGGTACGCATGGACAATGTGGTCGGTACGTACTTGCTGCCACACGGCGTCGAAGAGCGCGTCGCAAGTCTGGAGGCCCACCTTGGCATGGAGAGTAAGCTCATAACAAGAGATTTTCTTTTGAGTGTTGATTCATTGAGTCAATCGCGAATGGCCTGATGTTGCAGTGCACGAGTCAGCTAACTACCACTTTGTGCTGCATGCTTGTTCCCCAGATCGCAAGCTGCCACTCAATTTCATGGCTCGTATCAAGGAGATTGAAGATAGAATTCTCGCGTTGGAGCGCATTGATCCAGACTACTTTATTGCTCGTGTAAGTAGGGGGACCAAAATGCTGTTTGATTTCTCAAAAACCAAAACAACCAACAAGGTGTGCTTGAATCGCCGCATTTCAGGTGGCTGTGGCCAAGCAAATCACGGCACATCCTAACTTGGCGTCATTCGCTTCGCGAGAAGCAGCAGAGGCTGCATCTGCGACCTCGGCAACCACAAAACGCCCAGTGAGTGATTTTGCTCCCACATTTCCGCCGACAGTTCGCCCAGAGCAGAAGAGGGAAAGAGATGTATTGTGTACTAACATGCCAGTGATCTGGAGCAGTACCGCGCTCACAAAGCATTGGCAAACAAACAAAACAAGCAAAAAAAGAAAAAAAAGAAATTATTAACGTTTGAGGAGCACGACGGACTGACTTTCTGCAACACTTGTGGGTTCTTCCTAGGCCGACGAGACTCTTGACTCTACCGACTCCATCGAGTCCCGGATCAAAGAACTGACACAGACCCTTCGAGACAAGAAGCAGAAGCGGACCAAGGTCGATTCCACCAAGTGAACAGTCCACAACCAACAAAATTATCGGGAGGTGCCTGTCCCAATGGCATCTTGGTCAAGAGACATCCCGTCGAGGTTCGCTTGGTTCTCGAATGGACTGCAGGTCTTGTAGTGCTTGCAGCGTGAGTTTGATGTTGGCCTTGATTTTGGCCGATTCTGCTGCAAGCGCCTCGGTCGACCTGCCGATGGCAAAATGCAAAAAAAGCCAGTCAGACAACAACTACAATGGCGTATTGCGTGGGCATGGATGACGCCACTGGTTACAGCATCAAACATGAACGATGTCGAACGAAACTTAACTTGTCCAATTGTGCTGTCTTGCGTTCAATAAATACCAGAGCCTCGGGAATGGACAACTCGACGTAGAATCCAAATCCAACCTTGACAAAGACTCTGCTTGGGTCTGGGATTTCCGCCTGGACGTAGTAGTTGCATCCAATGTCGACCATGGTCTTGACTGGCGTGACTGCGGCGTCGGATGCCTTGCTGCCGGCTGCCACTTTGGACGATGCCGATGCCGATGCAAATGATGATGATGACGATGCTCCTGTGTGTGTTGCTGCTGCTGCTGCTGCTGCTGCGGTGGAGGGCAGTCCCGTTGCGTCGCAGATGGCAAGCAGGCTGTTCTTGAGCTGCAGGTACTCTGCGCACTGTGCGTAGATCTGCTCCCGCTTGGACTCGACCTGCTGCAGGTCGGACTTGAGCTTGTCGTCTACAAAGCGCTCGTACTGCGCGATCTTGGCGCTCAGCTCGGTCGGCGTCGGTGGTGCCTGCTCCATGTGCTCTCTGAGCCGTTTGGCTGTTGTTGGTTTGGGAACTGGATTTGAACTGGACTGGACTGGCTTAGTCTTTTGCTTCGCTTTTGGAGTCAACTACGAAATACATTGAGAATTACTGTTGCTGGAATGACACAGTAGATCTACCACACCATCAATGTGCTTGTTCTGGGAAGTCAAAAGAGCTCAGTCAATTCTGCCGTTTCCAATTGAACTACTGGACAGTACTTGGCTGACCGACAAATCGCTCGTATACTGTACCTCGCTATCGTTGATCAAGCTCTTCCAAAGTACCAACACACCGCTTTTGCAATGCAAGCTCCAGACGTGGATGTCATCTTGGAGCGACTCCGACACTACATCCCAGAGCACCCGCAAGAGTCGCTGTCGTCGAGCCTGCGGGCACTTCCAACGGCAGCAGTGCTCGTCGGGCTGTTCTACTGCGAGACGACGCACTCTGTTCGGGTGCTGCTGACCAAGCGGGCGGTCGACATGCGATCACACGGTTGGGTTGCTTCGTTTTTGTTGTTGTTTCAATTGCTGCTGCACAATCTGCAATGTGAACAATGCTCACTCGTGTCAAGGTTTGTCCTATTAGGTGGCGAAGTTGCATTCCCTGGTGGGAAACGAGACGATACAGACCGAGATGCTGCGCACACCGCGCTGAGAGAGGCCGAGGAGGAGGTCGGCTTGCCGCAAACTTGGCCGCAGGTGATCAAAGCCATGGCACCGTTCGTGTCCAAGAACCTGCTGCTCGTCACGCCAGTCGTAGCATGGCTGGGCAATCGCTCGCAATTACCGCGCCTTACACCAAACCCGCGCGAGGTGTCTGTCATTTTCGACGCCCCCTTTGACATGTTTGCGCTGGGCCTGCACCATTCGTTCATGGACATTTCCTTCCGCTCCGTCCCGTTCCGTATTCACTTTTTCGACTATCCCATCGATGCCCTGTCGCTGCTGGCGACTTCCGACAAGGTCGATCCGACCCTGACGAGCTCTGCCAACATTTTCGGGTTGACGGCTTTGGTGCTCATCGTCGCCTCCAAGGTTGCGTACGAGCACACACCCAGCTTTAGCCTCATGCCTCCTGGCGGTCTATTACCGACGCAGCTTGAGCTTGATGGCGATCGCTTTGTGCTTCCAGCGACGCACCAGCCTTCGAGTCGGTTGTAAAGATTGTTGGGGGGGGGTACTACTACGCTACGCTTTGTAGTGCACATGGTCGCCCTTCGGGCTCTAGTAACAACTCCCAAATAAACAGTGCCCCCTATTCTATAATATTACTTTATCAGAGGGGGCACTGTTTTTAACGGTGCACCACCATCGCCGACCGCAACCGTCCAAAATTTTCGAGTAGTGCTTTCGTTGTGTCATAGCACATTTGTTGACAATCCAGCATCGTCACAAGCCCCCACAATCCAATTCGAGGGGTCGGTTCATTCTTTTCGAGTTGGCCCAGAATGACGTCCTTCTATAAGAATCCCGACCTGGATGAGTTCATCCGGCAAAAGTACACACTCAAGCAGCTGCTTGGCGAGTAAGTTTGGCTTGAAACGACGAATCGAGATTCAACCACAGTCGAAGGCCAAAGTGAGAGAGAGTTGGGAGAGTTGGGAGAGTGCGTGAAGGCAGGTGAGTGAAGGGCAGGGAGAAGCAGAACTGGAGCCAAAAAAAAAAAAAAAAAAATCAAGGCTGCGAACAGTAGCATTGCGCGTTGCTGTCTCTTTCCCGCTCTCTGCTTGTTGTCTGGAGGCGCGGCGGTGCGTGTGAGGCACTATCTAGCGTTGGTCTGATTTGCCCGCGCTGCTCCATTCAATGAAGCGAGAGAAGAAGACAGCAACGGAAAAAAAAAGAAAAAAAGAAAAAGATTGAAAAAACGACCCCTTTTGAAAATTGTGCTCTTCGCCTTTTTGCTGCCTGCTGCTGTTCAGCGTGTCGTTTGAGGCTGGTTGGTGATGTGCAAGTCCTCGTATTGCTATTGTCGCTGACATGACGGGCTGCTCGAGTGAGGAGAAAGAAAACCAACACAAAAAAAAAAAGAAGAGAAAACAAAAAACTTGATCGTTTTTTTTTTTGAACTTTTAAAACTTTTTTTTTTTTGATTGGCTCTTCTCCTATGATTTTTTCCTGATGGTTTTTCTCTTGTTGTTATAATTTGATGATGCATCAGTGGTTTTTGTTGTACCATTTTACGATGATTTTTATTAGAATTCAGCCTTTTTATCTTTTTTTTTTTTTTTTTTCGTTTTGATCTTTTTGATGATGATGGCTGGAATTGGCTGATGGCAGCGACCGTCGCAACGCGTGTGTGCGTACGTGTGTGTCTATGACTAAAGAGTCGAGGTGAGCGTTGTGAGAGGGGGTGGGGATTGCTCAAACGCTGAACAATAATAAAATCCCCGGTTTTTTATTTTCCGTTTTATTTTCTCTTTTCTTTTTTTCTTTTTTTCTTTTTTCTTGTTCTTCCGTTTTTGCTTTTGCTCGTCTCCTGTGCATCCCCATTCTGGGTGGCAACGTAGCACATTGACCAAGCGTCGTTCGTTGGTGTCTGTTGTTTTGCGCTCCTTCATCCTTCCGAGTGACGAATCGCGTTTCAAAAAACGAAAAGAAGAAAAAAAAAAGCCAACTCGTTTTTCCTTGTTTTCTGGTGCTTTTGCTTCCCTCCCATTGCCATTCGCGATCACTCACTTTCTCCAACGTGCAATCGCAAACATAACATTCTCACTCTGACAGAGGCGCCTTCTCGGAGGTCGTGCTGGGCGTCGACAACGTCACACACGCGAGCATTGCGCTCAAGATCATTGACAAGCGAAACTGCACCAAGCAGCAATCGCTCGAGACGGAGGTCGCCATCCTGAAGACGGCCAAGCACTCGAATGTCATTCAGTTGCTGGACGTCTTTGAGTCACCGCGATACCTCTACCTTGCAATGGAGCTCGTCACCGGTGGAGAGTTGTTTGACCGCATTCTCGAGAAGGGATACTACACTGAGCGCGACGCCGCCAAGCTCGTCAAGGACATTCTGAGCGCCGTTCAATACCTGCACAGCGCCGGCATTGTGCACCGCGATCTCAAGCCGGAAAACCTGCTCTTCTTTAGCAAGGACGAAGACTCCAAGATTATGATTACCGACTTTGGTCTTTCGCGCATCCGCAAGGAGGCCGACGAATCCTTGGTCATGGAAACTACTTGCGGAACTCCTGGCTATGTTGGTATGTCAGCGCGTATTTGCTTCATCCTTGTGATTTGGAAGGATGTCTCTCTCTTTGCCAACGCTCACATTTAACATTTTGTTTGTTGACGCGCGCTTTTTCTTGTTGTTGTTGTTGTTTCGTTACAGCCCCCGAAGTCTTGACTCGCAAGCCTTACGACAAGGCAGTTGACATGTGGGCGGTTGGCGTCATTACCTTCATCCTGTACGCGCCTGCCCACTTCATTGTTGTCGTTCGGACTGTTTGGATGTTGCACGATATTTATTGTATGCGGCGTATTCTTCCTTCTCGCAACAGACTATCCGGCTACCCGCCGTTTTACGCTGAAAACAATGCCGAATTGTTCAAGCAGATCATGCGGGCAGAGTTTTCGTTCGACCCGAACTACTGGAGCGACATTTCAGAAAGCGCCAAGGACTTTATCCGACACCTGTTGACGATTGATCCCGAGCAGCGCTTTACTGCGGATCAGGCGCTTGAGCACCCCTGGATAGCCTCGGATGCTGCCTCTGACAAGAACATTCACTCGTCTGTTAGCACGCAGCTCAAGAAGAACTTCAAGAGCAAGTGGAAGGTGAGATATTACGAATTGCCGGTTGGCTGAGACACGCGCGCTTGCTGGAAACAAACACTCATCCATTTGCCACTTCATTTTCTTTGTGATTTTTTTTTTTTACTTTTATTTTAGAAAACTATCAATACAATCCTGGCGATCGAGCGCATGCGCAAGCTCCATCTCTGAGCAAACATGCCATTTCGATGAATTCACTGTGCCTTTGTGCCTTGGTTGCGTCTCGTGAGCTCTGGCGCCTTTGCAAGAGGTTGTCTGCTTCTGCAGGAGGAATGCAAAGGGGAGGTGAGGGGTTCTTTTGCACTCGTACCCCCTGGGTATCATTTTTTTTTTTCGTTCTTGTTTTCCATTGTGTGCATTATTTTTTTTTTTTTTTTGTCTGTGCGCATGCGTTTTGTTCTTTTGTTGTTCTTGTACTTTCTTTTCGAGAATTTGTACATGATTATCCACCATTCCATGCCATTCTGTTCAATCGACCTCCAGTCATTCAAATTCAAATGGGCGATCGCGACCGAGAAGTGCTCAGTGACGACGCGCCGCTGGTCGAGCACCCCGTGGCTCGCCGGCTTCCCGGTCGACGGAAAGCGGGCGCGGCTTCCGTGTCTGTCGACCAGCAGCAAGTGCAGTCGCGTGTATCGGGCAAGGGCGACGCTGACGCAGAGAGTCGGGCCGGTGATGATTCGGCCTTCCCGGATTACCTCACTCCGCTGGAGCTCTTTGCACGAGCCCGCGAGACCAAGCAGCCCGTCCGCATCTGCGCACCAATGGTGCGATACTCAAAGTAAGCGACCGCGCATGGCTTCGTGCGGTGGTTACTGGACCGAGGTCGCACGTGCGCCTTCCTCGCTGCTCCTCGTGTGCTGCTCTCACACTCACTTGTCGAAAACACTCTATGAATATCTCTCCGTGTGTGACCAACTCGATGAATTTTGTCGGACGAACAATTGTGCGCAGACTTGGCTTTCGAGAATTAGTGCGCGCGTAAGTTCCGCTTTCTTGTGCCAAATTCAGGTGCTCAGGATCCCTGATTCTGCTTGGGTGCATTTCATTCGTTGATAGGTTTGGATGCGATCTGGCTTATACCCCAATGACGGTCGCCGAAAACTTTATCTTGTCCAAACGAGGCCGAGACAATGATTTCTCGACCAACGAGTGTAAGGATTGCCGTGATTTTCCGGGCAAAAAAACAAACATAGTCGAGGCGCGTTTGGGCTGATTTTTCTTGCATGCGACAGACGACCATCCTGTTATTGTTCAATTTGCTGCCAAGCACACAGAAATGCTATGTACAGCCGCCGAGATGGTGGCTCCGTAAGTGAATTTGAGTTTTTTGTTTTTGAACGGGGAGAAAGAGGTTTTCCGATGTGCACTCATGCCCAAGTCTCAACGGACACTCCTGCTCTGATTACAGCTATGTCGATGGGATTGACATCAACTGCGGATGTCCGCAAAGGTACGACTTGCTGTTCCAGCACGTTTCATGGTGGCTCGCCATGTTCTTGTCAACTAAATGGTCATCTTGGTACATGCAACAGATGGGCAATGAGTGAAGGCTACGGCTCGGCATTGCTGCGCAAGCCCCAGTTGATTTACGATATGGTACGAGCCGCGAAGAGTCGGATTACAATTCCTGTCTCTGTCAAAATCCGAATCAACCTGGACTTCAAGTGAGTGCGTTTTTGGGGCTGCTGGTCCGGGCTTGGTCCGGAAGCAAGCAAGATCGTTGTGATTCGGACTAACTGTCGGTTGTCCGATCATCATCATCATTCTCAGGAAAACCATTGAGCTGGCACAAACCGCTGAGCGAGCAGGGGCGGATTGGATTGCTGTGCACGGTCGAACCCCGTCGATGCGACACGAGCCTGTCATTCTAGAAGGCATCAAAGCGGTACGAGAGCGCACAATACTGACTCGCCAACTTGCTTTTGGTGGTGAGCTCAGTTTTGCTGCGAATTGTTGGTATTGCATGATTTTGTTGCATCTTTGAGCAGGTCAAGGATAATGTTAGCATCCCTGTTGTGGCGAACGGCGATATAAATTCAATGCTGGATGTTAATGCTGTGGCTGCCGCGACTGGAGTTGACGGTAACGCAGATGCTGAGTGCGTTTGTTTGTAACCGCTTGTCTGCTCAAAGCTGACCACCATCTCCTTGTGTCCCATGCTCGGTCACAGGTGTCATGTCGGCTCGTGGACTGTTGGCCAACCCAGCTCTCTTTGGGGGCTACGCATTTGCGCCTGCTTCTTGCCTGGACAAGTGGATTCAGATTGCGTTGTCAAGCCGAATTCCATATTCGCTGTTCCACACTCACGTCATGAATATGGACGACCCTCGAGTCTTGAGCAAAGAAGGTACCAATGCTGGCCATCTATTCTTGCCGAGAACAATGACTATCGGTTGTCCTGTGCGGCAAACTCACGAGGTGCTTGTTGGATTCTGTTTTTTTTTTTTGAACTCGAACTTTGCCATGCAGCCCGAGCTCGTTTCTTTGCCACGCAATCGTATGACGATGGCATTGCCGAACTCAAACGGGAGCATCCTTCCATCCAGGCTCATTTGGCACCCCTCCAACCGGAGAGACATTGCGAGAAGGTGATTGATGCGGGCGATGAACCCAACAAGAAGGCACGCCGAGCTGCCATTCTTGGGCTTCCTCTCGAGCCAGAGCTTCCAGCCAATCCGTCTGCAGATGCTGACGACAGTTCCGATGTTGCGCTGATCCCATGGTGACGGAGTGTGAATGGAAAGTTGTGAATGGACATTTTTGGGATTTACGGTGCATGGCCATTCGATGCCAGCCGTTTTTTTTCTTGCCCCCTCGCCCACCGTCCAAGAAGCAAGAGCAGCGAGGCCTCAAACTCAGAGTTAGCTTCACGCGAGTCGTTTTGGGACGGGAGGGGAATGGAAACCGTCGCTCCAGTCATCCTTTTTTTGTCAATGTCACAGACGATTGCGCGCGCTCGTGCGTTGTACGAGTTCCAAGCAGCGAGTGATGTCGAGCTCGCTCTTCAGGTTTGCATCATTCCAACTCTTTTCTTGCTGTTCTAATTGAATGAGTTTGCGTTTCATTCAATGCTGAAGAAGAACAAAGAAAGAAGAAGAAATAAGTAGTGGACGATAAAATTGTAACCCTTTTAAAAAACAGACGTTAGCAACGAGGATTGGGAAATAGAACCTTGCCAACTTGCTGATCGTCAAAACACGAGCATGGAATTGAACACCAACGACAATACGCTCAGCAATACAAGACGAAGAAGAGGGGCGATGAAGAAGGCGAGTCGGAAGTCTGAGTGGGGGCAAACAAAGACCACAACTTGCTGCTGCGGAGAACACAGGACGACGACGGCGGGAAGGTGCTGGGTCTGCGTGGTGCACTTGAGGGGTGAGGGGGGGGGGGGTCTGACCTTGTGCTTGACTTGCGCCAGCGGGGCTTCCGTTGGAGCAGGACGGAGGGCGTTTGCGCTGGTGATGGGAATTGGGTGTTGTGTGACCAGAAGGTCTTGACCGTGTAGAACTCGAGCTGAACTCACTTCACTGACTCGCACTGGTTGTTGTTGTTGTTGTGGTTGTTGTTGCTATTGTTGGCAGCCTGGTGACATCATTCTGATTACGCGCATGGACGTCGGCGGCGGCTGGTGGGAAGGACGCGTCGCTGGCGAAGACACGCCGCTCGGACTCTTCCCAGAGCACTACGTTGAGCTGGTACCCCCAAACATTGAGCTGTCAGCGTCAGAAGGTTTGCATGGAAGGACCAAATAATTGAAATCAAACAAATGTTGTATGACTTGGATGATGACAGATTCCGCAGCCAACTCCGGCTCCAGTGAGCGGGCCGCCGAAATTGCCGGCGCGAAACCCGCCACCGCGCGGTCTTCCGGCGCCGTCTTCCCCGCCTGCAACGAGCGAGAGCTACGACTACGAGGCTGATATCGACGCTGCCGATGGCGAGGCCGATCCAGATGCAGAGTATCCCGAGGCGTCGAACGACGGTCCCGACGATGTGGAAGACGAGGCCGACGATTACCCGCCTGTGCCACCCGCAGACTATACTCGACCATCTGGAGACGAGTACGAGGATGACGACGACGAGGGCTCGGATTCGGGCTACAGTTTTAGCAACCAGGCTATGAGCACTAGCCCCGGTGCCGTCGGTCGCAAGAGCAGTTTCCGCGTCGGGTCTCCGACGCAAGAGAAGCCCTACCGTATCATTGTACGTGCGCGACGGAGCCCTGTTTTTTTTCTGGAGTTTTGCGTTTTTTGGTGACGTGTGGTTCAAGAGAGTAGGGCGGTCAGTGTGCCAGCAGCAAACCCATTTGATCGCTTGAATTGGTGTCGTGCAGGAGGGACCACGTTGGGAGCACACCTCATGGCCTGTTACAGTCATGGTCAGCAAGCCAGAGAAAAAGTCAAAGTACTCGGGCATGAAACAGTTCACGTCATACAACGTGACGTCTTCGGTTAGTGTTTCATTTCATGTGTTTGACTTGCGAGTCTTTGGAATTTCCATGCTCACACTGAGATTGCCACTTGCTAGTCCATGAAAACGTCCGTCAGTCGGCGCTACAAACACTTCAACTGGCTTCACAATCGGCTTGGAGAAACCTTCCCGAATGTCTCCATTCCGCCAATGCCCGAGAAGGTTCTGCAAGGTACCCAACTCTTGTCCTCCGTCCGTACAGCTTTGTCGGGCGCTGGAACTGTCTCACAGCGACTCACCTTCCCTTCCCCTCTCCCCTCCTGCAGCCAATTTCAAGTTTGACGAGCATTTCATCGAGAAGCGAAGGCGTGGTCTTGAGCGTTTCCTCAACCGCGTGGCCGCCCACCCTGTTCTCGGCACATCCAACGTCTTTCTACACTTTCTGACGGCAGCTGAAAAAGCGGTAGGTGGTTTTCTTTCGAGGTTGCGGACAATCATGAGTGTGCTTTTGTGGTTGACTTTTGACTTTTTGGTTTTCGTTCTTGCTCCGCGATTAACAGAACTGGAAGAGTGGCAAGCGAAGTGCCGAGAAGGAAGCTGGACGATCGTCTTTCATCGAGACGATGGAGTGTCCTCAAAACAACGTTCCTGACAACCGGTGCGTTTTGTTTTCTGATTTGAGTTGTATTTGTTTCCTTTTTTTCCGGAGTGCCTCTCTCACTCTTCTTGCCCTTCCTGTTCAATCGGTGTTCTCAAACGCAGGGTTATGATTGTTGAGCGATTCGCCAAGATGGCAAAAGCGATGGAAAAGAGCGTCACGTACCTCTCGTACACGACCGAGCATTTTCAAAATAAACGAGCCGGTAATGTGATTGAGAGGACGGCTTCGACTGGCCCCTTGGCTCCTGTGTGTCTGCTTCTCAACACGACCTTCTTTTTTCCTTTTTTTTTTGGTAAAAACCTGCCTCTGGAACAGAATTTCGCTCAGAATATGGCAAGCTCAGCTTTGCGTTGCGCAGAGTCGTCCTTCACGAAAAGGAGGCATCCGGCCCGAGCAGTCAGCCCGCACCGGTCGACCCTGTCAGCGGAGCTCCGACGTCCGAGAATCTCTGGTGTTGGCGAGACGACTGCGAGGCGTGTGCCCCGCTCATCAAGGGCATGGAGATGATGAGCATTGGCGTTGGCAAGATTTCGTCCACAATGGACTTGCAACGCCAAAACGACACCGTTCCGTTGATGGAATTCCTCAAGGATTATACGGGCATCTTGAAGACATTCCCTGTACGTTTGCGTTTTTTTTTTTTCGAGTTGTTGCAACTTTGAGCGTTTGGTGTTGGTTTGAAAAGTATGGGCGACTCCCGTGCGTCGTCTTCGCTGCGCAGTGCAGTGCAGCGGCCGAGTCGAGCTCTGGGTGCTTGTTTCTGAGATAGGGGTGTGCCTTTTGTCTCAGTATCGCCGAACGGAGCTGCGTGCACATTCCTACTTGCTCTTTTTTTTTTTTTTTTGTGAACTGACTTTTGCTGCAATGATTTTTCCGCCCTCTTCAGAGCTTGATCAAGGCACACGAGAATGCTGTTGATGCATACAACCAGGCACTCCTCAAAGAGAAGGAGTCTGTAAGTCACGTTGTCTTGGCCTTTGTTGTAGCAGCCATACCAGGCCCGTGACCCAACTTGAACCAACGACTCCATTTCCCCTTTTTGCCATCACCTCCGCCGCCCCTCTTTCCTCCTTTTGGGCGTTCTACTAGGGTGACACTATCTCCCAGCTCAAAAACAAGTGCGAGGCCATCAGCAACGTGACGCTGGCAGAGTTTGAGCACTTCCACTCGATGCGGCTGCAAGATTTCAAGGACATGATGGACAGTTTCATCCAGGAACAGGTGTTCTTCCATAAAAAAGTACGTGCCGAGCGCGACTCCATTCCAAATGGGGTGGATTGTAGGAATCTGAGCGCTGCGATACTCTCTCCAAATTTGGCCGTGGGAGAGAGGATGGGAGAAGTTTTTGTGTGAAAGGAAGCCCAAATCGAGCGAATAGGCCCGAGTGGCCAGCTTAGCTTGTCGCGTGTCAAATCAAATCGGTCGGCGATATACTGACTGTTTGGTTCCCCCCCCCCCTTTTTTTGCTTGGCGCAGGTCGCAGCGATGTGGGAGGAAATGCTTCCCTACTTTGGCGCCGTTGAAACGACCGACCGCGTTTGATTGCCGCTCCTCTTGTTTTGCATACCTGTGCGCGTTTTTTGGATATGCTTCTTGTTATTACGTTGAATAGACCTTTTGGATTGTAGGTGTCGTTCCGCGTGCCCCTGAGTTCTGATGCAGTTGATGGAAGGTTTGGGGAGGGTTAGGGCCCCAAAAAACGCGACCCATCCAAACTGCGCTGGTCGTTCGAGCGTTCTTGGTGTGTTGTTGTCTTAGTTGCTCGCATACTTTCCAACTTTGGCATTTGCGTGGGAGGGGGGCATATCGGGAACACAGCCGATTGGGTTATTTGTTTTGCGATTCCGACCTGCCACCACCCGCCGCCCCCCGATCATCTCCTACGCTCCTGATAATCCCGATATGCCCCTTTCTGGCATGCATTCACTGCTCACTCCACTTTTGTTTTTTGTATTTCGTTGTGTGACTTTTGGTTGTCCGACACTTATTCCTGCTGATACTCTTCGGCGTTGTTCTGAGGAGAGCAAAAGTTGAGGAAAAAGCTCAGTTCTGAAAATGCCAGTGATGGAAATGTCCAGCCAAGAAGCGGCCGCTGCGATCAAGATGAACGCTCGTGCAGCTCCGTTCGAAGCGCAGCCACCAAAGCAGACGCAGCACCTGCGCCAACGCTCTCGTCGGAGCGAGCGAGGCCCGATGGTCGAGGTGAATGTGTTTGAGCTGGCCTTCCGGCGCGAGGTTGTCCGGCAGCGACTTGCAGCGCAGCAGGAGCTTCTTCTCCGCGAGCAAGAGTTCTTCCAGCAGCAGCAACAGCAGCAGCAGCAGCAGCATCTACCGCAGCAACACCAACAACAGTATCGACTCCAGTTCGAGCTGCAGCAGCATCTTGAGCAACAACAACAACAAGAGCAACAACAGTGCGCGCCCGAGACGTCGAGAATGGAAACGCTCCCCTTGCACCAAACGGAAGCCGCGATCGCCTATGCGCAGTTTGGAATGCCACAAAAGTCGCTGGTTGAATTGCAGCAAGCCCATCTCGAACAGCAGCGACAGCAGCTGCAGCTGCAGCTGAAGAGGGAGCAAGCGCAAGAGCTTTTCGCTGCCCGCGCCGCTCTCCACGCCCAGCACCAGCACCAGCAACAGCAGCTGCACCAGCAGAGTCGTGCGGCCTACTACAATGCAAACAACAACGCCGGCATGCATCGCAATGCGTGGGGTGGTTCTGGCAGAGACGAAGCCGGCTGGGAGCAACAGGACGTCCAGAACGCCAACTTGAACGCGCATCCGCTTGTGCCGCCACCCTGCGACGACAACGACGACGAACACGACGACGGGTACGACGCCGAGGACGATGAACCGACTGGAATGGATGACGACGACCTTCCTCCACTCGATCCAAACTCGGTCGCGGGCCAGCGCGTCGCACTTGCTTCCGGTTGTCTTGTTGAGGTAAAAAGTTCAATTTTGCGGGAAATTTGCGCGGTTTTTTGTTTGTTTGTGAGTGTGTTGAATGTTTTCGCTGTCTTATGCTTTGGCTCACTTTGGACCGATCAACTGATACCGTGCGATTATTGCCATATTCCATCAAAATCCGTGTTGTTCTGATGCTCATCGATTGGTCGATCTCCCGGGCTGGGGTGTTGACAGCTTCAGCAATTCCTACTGTTGATGCTTGCCGTCTGGAATCGAAGCAGCCAATCTGGCGCCACTGATAACCCTGTATCGGCGATCGAGATTGCTGCAGCCGTCGAACATGACGCAGTCATGTCTGTTGTGCATTTGGCGGATCACTTGCCCGTGGAGTTCTCGATTAGTGGTATGCGTTGTTTGGGTTGTTTTTGGGTTTTGGTTTTTTTTTTTTAGTTTTGGGTTGGTTTTTCTAATGGCTTGATCTCTTGCAGCACCGAGCGCAATGCCTCTTGAAGATCTGGAAGCACTCGTGGCGCGTCATTTCCAATGTAAAGATGGATGAGTTGTTCTGGGCTCGAGCGGGATGGCAAATGTCGATTGTTTTGTTTTTGCTCCGATGTCGCTGACTTTTTTTTTTTTTGTGGCTTGCAGCATGCTCTGGAAATTCGGCAGTCGTAGCAATGCTCAACCAAATGAAAGCCGGGGCTCCTCGGCTGTTGCTTTCGACCCAGGGTAGTCACGTTGTATTGACGCTTCGCATTGCCAGTCCCAAGGTAATGTTTGTGCCGATACTTCATTGCTTGCCCCCCCCCCCTATCCCACTTCAGCCACTGACAAAACCCCTACCTCTCAGGCCTGCCAACTTGACTCGGAGGTCATTTACCGAGTGCCGCAGCAGACTCGAACGCTGCGTCAACAACACGACGACATTTGCACTGTGACGCGGATGGCACAGCTGTACTCTGTGTTTTCCAACACCACCGCTCCGAACGTCACCTGCACGGTACAAGTCTACCACGAGTTGGATGTGGCACACGCGGCATTCGTTGATCGCATTGGTAGGCGGGTTCTATTTGTGGTTTACCTTTTTTCTCGTTTCGAGTGGTAACTCAATAACCTTTCATTGCTGTTGCGCAGCGGTGCGAATCCAAGGCATCTTTGTCGGTGTAGTGGATCGGTCCCAAATGAATGAAAAGACACGCGTCCTGTTCAGCTGCTCTGAAGTCCCGCAAGGTATGCCCGATTTTGCCGCGAATGCGTGTCTGCGGAGATTGTCTCAATCGTACTGTGCAAATCAGGATCATTCGCACTTGTCGACGTTATCATTAGCAAGACCTTGGTCGAGTCGCTGGTGACCGCGTGCGGTATGAAAACCAGCATGAAAAACAAAGATTCAGTTTTGGAAGAAAAAAAAACAAAAACAAGGCTGACCCTTCGCGAAACTTTGCACGCAGATCTTCTTGGACTGCTTAAGAACCCGCTCAGCGCAGATCGAATTCTTGCACCTCAGATCGCGCCCGCTGCGGTGCGCGAAAGGTCGCGGCGTCGGATGAGCGATATTCCGCTGGGCGGACTCCCTTCATCCGTCAAAGCTCTTCCTCACTTTGTTCCCTCGATTGCCAATTCCATCAGCAACATTCTTCGGATGAGCAGTAAGGCGAATGTGACTTTATCCCTGCCAGACTGCTTTCTCAGACGACGCACATTCAACCAAACCAATGCACATTGTTTTTGTTTTCGTTTTTGTGTTTGTTTCGTTTTTGTGTTTGTGTGTTCCACAGGCAACCTGAACTTTCAGAACGACTGCAAGCAAGCACTGCAGGCTAATTCCTTCTTCAGCATTCCCGACAAGCTTCGTAGCGCGATGGACAATCTGCTGACAGTGCGTGGAACAAAGCGGCGTCAGTCGCGACGGGATAGCCGCACCCATGTTGGAGCAAAGTAAACAAACGACCAAGCTTGACAATGGCTCACGCCAAACTTGAGTGATGCTGAGATTTATTGATAAATTGTGTGTGATGTGACGCATATTGCATGAAAAAACAAGCATAACACCAAATGCCGCTTGTTGCTTATGCATGTTTAAGATTGTGAATGTACCAATTGATTTGCGTGCTCCATTCCGCCTTCAAGACACCGGCCAGCAGATCTTGGAAGGACCTCAGTGCATCAGCATCGTTTTGGTCGAGGAAAAGAGCAGATTTGACGTATGCAATGTCGTCTTCCGACCGTAGCTCTGGTAATCCAGAGCCAAGCATCTGCATTGCGCACATCCAAAACAGAACAGTGATATACAGAATCGTCACGTCAGTATGAAACGAAAAAAAACCTCCACCTATGGCACCCCAAAATTCTCAACGCAAACGTACCAGCAACAACAGGTTGATAAACAGGGCCGCATTCTGCCGCAAAATCATAAAAGCATGGCAGCTGTACACCTGGAACTTGGTGAACTGGCCATTGTCTTTGCCAGAGCCGCCCATGACATTGGCAAAGCCTGAGGTGAGAATGAACGGCGTGCGCTCGCGCTTGATGCCAAACTTGCGCTTAATATTGCCTAGAATGTGCCCAAAGTCAATGTGGAAGATGTGCCCGTCGCTCTTCAACATAATGTTGTCGTTGTGGCGATCACCAATGCCCAGCACATAGGTGGCGACGCAATAGCCTGCGCATGAGAGGGTAAAGTTGTCTACCGCAGCGATATAGTCCTCTTCGATCGGATTTTGCTGCCGGAGCCACACGGAAATGGTGTTTTCTTTGAAAACCGCCGCAGAGCCCGCGACGAGTTTTTGAATGGCGGAAAGGGTGGTGGCATCGCGAACGGCTTGGATCAGACCCACACCAGCGCCACTCACGTCCGTGGCAATGCAGTCGTACGTGATGAGGCGCAAGTCGAGATTGTTGGCCTTCCAGAGTCGATCCATCAGGCGGATGAGCTGCAAGGTGAGCATGTCCTGCCGAACATCATCACCGCACTTGAGCAGAGCATAGAAGGGCTGTGCAAACGGATTGGTGGTCTTGAATGACAGCCACAAGGGAAGCTTTTTCGAGTCGAGCACTTTGCACCCGGACACGTTGAGTCCACAAAACATTTTAAAGTCGGGCCCAGAGGCTTCCGCAGCTCCTGTCAAGGTAGCCGAGTTCCCAAGCGAAACAGACGAGGCAATATCAGCGGGCCGCGGCCGGCTAGACACAGAAGGCCGGTGCGATCCTCCCCCTCCTCGGGTGCTCGGAGTGCGAGTCACCGAGACGGACATTGCGCGAGACAGCACTGGCGAGTCTGGCATCTGCGCCGCGGCAAAGGTTTCTCCAAGGGTACGCTCGGTTGTAGCGATTGGAAGGCCGAACACGGGCGGGAGTCGCATCGCAGACAGCATGGCATGAAGAAGCGCGTGTCTCGAGGCCGCCTTGACATGTTTCACCGCTTGCGCGACGTACTCGAGTTCTGCGTGAACATCAACCTGGTGGACAAGGCGAAGGAGCCGATTTCGATCCAACAAGGCAATAAAGACCTCCAGCAGAAGCGAAAAGCGCTCGCGGAACGTGGGTAGTTTGGCTTCGGAGCGCAGATACCAAAACACCCGTTGGCCGATTCGGTCGTCGGACAAGGCACGCTCGAGCAAATGGCGCGCCAGCGGCGAATCATGGTAGTTTTCAAACTTGAGCGCTTGCACCAACTGCATCGAGTACTCGACAAACTCGCCGTCGCTCACGCGATGCAAACACGAGACGGCGAACGCGCGAACCGTGCTGTCCGGGAAAGCGCCACCAAGAAGGCGCAGCGCCGCGGTCGGGGACTGCAGCGTCGGTGTGCTGGAGATTTGCTGCATCGCAACGCGAGCTGCCGCCGAGTTGAGCCAATCAACTGCAATCAACTTGTCAATGACATCGTGATCGGTGCTCAACCTGCTGGATTCGGCGTTGCCAAGGCGCCTTCGCGCTGGGTCTTTTGAAGTAGCAGCTGTACTACTTGAAGGCAGAGGGGATGGGGACGACGACGGCACCTCCGAGTTGGTGTGTGGTTCGGGAGCAGCCACCGTGTCCGAAACTGTTGCAGCGTCCCCGTCGCACTCGTGGCTTTCCGAGCTATGGGACTCGCTGGGAAGGCTGGTGGTCGAGGCTTCCTTTTCGTCTTCACCCGAAGGCAATGATGATGTCTGCTGCAGCAGCAGCAATGCGTCAGCGCTATCGCTGTGCCGAAACGGTTTTGCCGCTGCTTCCTCAGCAGAGGTCGCAACCGATACCGTGCCACGTCGAATCGCAGGATGTGCGCGACGTTGTTTGCGAGCTTGCGAAGGAGAAGGAGGGTCTTTGGAGGACCAAGGATCAACGAAAAAGATTTTGTGGCTAAAGGCCTGAAGTGCGACATGCGCTGTCGCCGCCAGCGGCGACCGCGTGGTCGAGGTAGTGCCATAGAGAGACGGCTGCATGCCATCCCACAGCCGAACATGCAGCTGCCCTTGAGCAACGTTGGCCTCGCAGTCAACAAGTGCAATATTCGCCCAGGCCACCACTCGAGATGTTGTGGACAAGACCGGCGTGACGGTAGCCAGGCGGGGAACACCGCCGGCGGAGGTACTTGCGCTTGATGAGGAGAACGCGCTTGTTGATTGTGCAGCCATGTTGCTGTTGTTATTGGTCGCTGTCGCATCACCCGCGCTTGTTATACGGCTCGCAACGACAGCTGCCACTGTTGGTGCGCGTGGTGCCGAGACCAATGTGAGCTGGATGCGAGTGCCGCGAGGCACAGAATGGAGAGCCACGCCAAAGTCAATCTTGAAATTGTGAAAGAGAAGTCGGTCGGCAAACGCGGTGACTTTCTGCGCGGACGTGGCAAAGGCGGTTCCGGGCTGGTTGAGCAGAGTACTGCCATAGTAGAGCCTTGCTTCCATCCAAGCAAACGAGCCGACCAACGATGGGAAGGTGTCGCGGGGAGCCGGGAGGTCCACCGAGCCGATCGACAACGTGACGGTGTGTGCAATGTCGGATGAAAAGACGGACGGTGCGGCGACTGCGGCAGCATCCTCTGACGATTGCTGCTGCAGAGTCTGGTCGTCGGCGATGGACTGGATGGCAGAGTACAAGGACTCGCGGGCCCGGTTGCGGATGCTGTCGTTGACACGGCCGAGGCCGCAAAAGTACTGCAACAAATGTTCGCGACATACGCGTACTTCACGAGTTGGTGCGTCCAAACTCGCATCACCCGCTCCATTCACACTGGCCTCCGCAACCCCGCCTTCGTTTTCATGCGAGCGACTTGAACCGTGGATCATCATGCGCGTCATGCTTGCGACGCGCGCATGCCGTGAATGCGAGGAGAGCGCAGCGGTTTGGCCGTGCGTGGACGTTGACAGATGAGCAAAGTTCCGAGATGGACGAGATGCGAGGCCCCGTGCCTGCACGAGTGGGTCGTCAACCAAGTCGCTCGGATCGAGGCCGTGAAGCAACAAGAATTCGCTGACTAGAGGACTGTCCATCTGCCAACGCTGGAAACGCAGTACAGCGACCTGCTCTTGCGAGAGCTGGGGCACAACCGCCAGCGGATTGCCCAGTTGTTGCAGTAGTTGTTGCGAGTGCTGGAGAGCACCGGCCATCCCGTATTGTTGCTGCAGCCGCGCTGACAGCGTCGCCGCATCTCCAGCACGCGATAGCGTTAACAGTTGCTCAACAAGCGGCGACGTGACGTGCGGCACCATCATGAGGACTGGCGCAGGAGATTGTCCTGGCGGAGTAGTAGTGAGCGGCAATTTGTCGACAGACACCTTGTCCAAGGACAACTTGTCCAAGGAAAGCTTGTCAGTCTTGTCCAACGACCCAGAAGAAGCATCCATCCCAGATTCTTCGGCAGCTGCTGATGATGAGGGTTGGTCAAAAGGCTGTCCCGGAGAAGGCGATGACGATGGAAAGTAAAAGACAGAGTTGCTTGGCGACGAGCGCGGTCCCGTTTTCGACGCGGCCACATCTGCAATAGAGCCTGTCGAACTTGGCGAGGCTAGCGCACCGGCATTAAGTGCCTTGCTTGATCGTGGCAGCAGGCCAAACTTGCTCGCGGCATTGGCAAGCGCTGCGAATGGCGATTCTGCATCGGAGGCAGCGCCAGGTCCCGCACCGGCCAACGCAGCCGCCGCAGCCGCCTCGGACGCCGTCAGCAGTTGGCTGGCGACCGTAGCAACCTTCTGCAGTGTTGCGTTGAGCATGGCGAGGCGACGCGCGCGCTCGACTTCCAGTACAAACAACTCGCGACGAATCCGTGCAATCCTTGCGCGGTGCAGCGCTGCACGGGCACTGGGCAGACCGGCTGCGGCCAAGCGGCCCGTGGGCACTTCCAGCACGAGCGCATCGACGAGCAGCTCTTGGTCGGCCGACAGTCCCGTTGTGACATTGCGCTCTGGTTGTGTAAAAAGTGATTCAAAAACCGCGCGCGAAAGAGTATTGCAGTTTGAATGAGCAGATATGAGTCTCAATGCTTCACCAGCAACAACAATAAGCAAAGCAGCAAGCCAATCCAGAACGGAAGGACGCACGCGGGGCAGGGGTGGAAGACAGACCTGCGGTAGTGGTGGCCGCGTCGTGAGCTGAGCCGAATTGAGCAGCGTCATTGCGGGTGGTCGACTCGGCGGCGACGACGGCCGAATTTGCCCACACTCGCAAGTAGAGCACTAGTGGGACGGCGGTATCGACCGATCCCGAGCGGGGCCGCCGCGGCGGGGGCTTTGGCGCAGCAGCACCAGCTGAAGACGCGAGCATGCCAAACCCCGACGCTCACTTCGCAGCACTTTGAGCCCTGTTGAGCAGGGGAAAAAAACAATAACGAGTGTAAAACGAGGAGTGTTACGACGCACGCTTTTTTGTTTTTTGTTCAACACACACACACACACTAGTTTAACGACGAGAAGGACGAGGAGGAGAAGAGCAGGTTACTGGCATTTCAATTCAAACATCCCCAACTTCTTCACCCACATCCCCAACTTTCACCCACATCCAATCCCAACAACCTCAAGCTAATGGCGATACAATTGCAGTGGATGCGGTGATTGAAAAAAAAGTTTCAACATGAACAAAAAAACAAACTGGCACAAAATCATCAACAATTCAACCACAAGCAATCTCCAGAGACTCCGCACCGACAGGCAGCAAGGCAATTCAGAGGGTGGGTGGGGTGGGCGCGGTCGCAGTATCTGGTCGATCGCTTCTAGCGCGACAGATCAAAGAGAGAGAGAAAAAAAAGTAGACAAAACAAACTACGAAAACCGGAAAAAAAAAAAGAGCAAAAAGACTTTTAGCAGCCGCAGCCACCCTTGTCACCGCCAGCAGTGTCGCCGGTAATCTTGATCGGGTCGGGGAACTCGTTGTAGAGCACAGCTTCGCTCTCTTGCTGGAGGGCATTCTTGGCAATGGTCTGGAAAGCCTGCTCAACGTTAATTGACTCCTTGGCGGAGGTCTCAAAGTACGGAATGTTGTTCTTCTGTCCGCACCAAGCCTTGGCGCGCTTGTCAGAAACAGCTCGGTTCTCGAGATCGATCTTGTTACCAAGAACGACGAAAGGGAAGTTCTCGGGATCGCGGGGCGAGGCCTGGATCAGGAACTCATCACGCCAGCTGTCAAGGGTCTCGAAGGTCTTGGGGGTGGTGACATCGAAGCAAAGCACGCAGCAGTCAGCGCCACGGTAGAAAGCAACACCGAGGCTTTGGAATCGCTCTTGGCCGGCGGTATCCCAGATCTAAATGGGCAGAGTCGCAGACCAAGCAAAAATTGGCGACAAGTACAAGGATACAGAATGCAAGAGTGAGCAAAACAAGCGAGATACAGATGCGAGAAGAAGGAGAAGAAGGAGAAGAAGGAGAAGAAGAAGAAGAAGAAGAAGAAGAAGAAGAAGAAAAAGATCACGAAGAATGCAAGGAACGAAAAGTAGAGGCTCAGAATCCGAAAGACAAATGCTCTGCATTGCATTGCCGCGCGGCTGTTAAACGCGCAGCAGCACATAAGGAAATAGATCCGTATGTTTGTTTTCTTCTCATCAGGGCAACCCGAAGGGACAGCAACCAACCAACCGAAAAAAAAAGAAGGAAAAATCACTGAAGCAACAAGTGACGTCAACTTGGCGCTCACACCGCGTGACGATTTTTTTCAGCTGCCGTCATTGCAAGCCAGTCACAAAGCACCCACAAGGTGAAGTGGACCAGGAATGAAAGGGCGAAAGAGAGAATGGGCAAAGGGGGGAAAAGAAAACAGAAATAATGATTAAAAAAAAAAGCCAATGGGCTAGGGCATGTGACTGTGGAAAAATCAGGACAAAGAGGGGCTGCAGCCCCCACCTCGCATGGACAGTCAAGCCAAAGAGCCAATGAACTAGGCCCGAGGAACAAAGATAAACAAGACGAGAAGAACCAGAAAGAGAACCAGAAAAGCAAAAGAAACGAGAAGAAAAAAAAAAAAAAAAGAAGAAAAAAAAAAAAAAGAAGAGATTTTTGAAAAACACAATAGAAATGAAAAAAAAAAAAAAAAAAAAAAGCAAAGAAAAAGCAAAAGAAAGGGATAGCGACCACCACACGAGCAGCCAAAGACAGAGCGCCAAGAGGATGGACACATACCTGCATGGTAACAAGCTTGTCGTCGACCATGACCTCCTTGGTGAGGAAGTCAGCGCCAATGGTAGCCTTGTACTGATTGCTGAACTTCTTGTTGACGTACTGGTTCATGAGAGACGTCTTGCCGACGCTGCAGCATCACAAAGTGGTTTCGAATAGAGGTAGATGAAGGTGAACGAGGGCAGAGAGAGTGCAAGGTGGAGGGAAGATGAGCCTCGAGCGCAACAAAAAGTGAAGAAAAGCACTGCGCCTTTTTGGAAGAGGACGTTTTTTGTCGTACCCGCTGTCTCCGAGGATGATGACCTTGAGCAAAACCTTCTTGCGTGACGACATTGTGTTTATATGTTCTATAGAAGCAAGAGCAGAAGCAACGGGTGTGTGGAGTGGACCAGAGTGAGTGAAACAAGCCGAGGGAGGAAGGAAGGGAAAAAAAAAAAAAAAAAAAAGCATGTGAGGCAGAAAGGGAAGAAAATAAAAAATAATAATAAAAAAAATAAAAAATTGAAAAAAAAAAAGAGCCGTTTTGCTGTTCGAAGCTGGTTCGTTCGTGGAGTGCTTGCTGGAGAGCCAGCGAGTGGTCCGAGGAACGGTGAGCCAGCCGCTCACGTACGACGAGCACAAGGGGCATGCGACGAGGAGGGCGGGGAGAGACACGCAGCAATGTCGAGCGAAGAAGAAGAAGAAGAAAAAAAGAAAAAAAAAATCAACCGAAAAACAGACGCGCATGTGTCCGTTTGGACTGCAGTTTTCCGTGCTCTTCCTGCGTCCGCCGTCGTTGCTCAAGCTGAAACGACACAACAACAGAGGAAGCAAACGACACGAAGCAACGGGGAAGAGGTCGGAAAAGGCGAGCGTCTCGTCTCGTGCCGAAGCAAAGACGAAAGGAGAAAAAAAAAAAAAGGGACAAAAAAAATTAAAAAATTAAAAAAAGAAAATGCGCATGACTTTGGCTGACGCGCAAGGGACGCGCTGCTGCAGCAACAGGGCTCCGGCTGTCAGCAAGGGAGGGAGTACGAGACTAGAGCAAGAGAGAGAGCGCGCCGAGAGGGAAGGGAGAGGGGGAGGGGACAAAGGAGGACACGGCGACGGACAATACAAGCAGCAGAAAAAAAAAAAAAAAAAGCAGAAAAGAGGCGGGAAGCACACAAAATAAAAAACACAAAGGCAAAGAAAAAGATGATTCAAAGCGCAGAAAACAGTGCACTCGTTCGTATGAGATCGAAATAAAAGCGAAACAAAAACAATAGAAGATTTGTTGGTTGAACAAACAAAAACACAATTACAAAAAAAATGAAAACTGATTTTTTTTTTTCACTTTCATTTTTATTTTAACTGGACTTTTCTTCTTCTCAACCGAAGGACGAAGGACGAAAGACAACAAGTGGTGACTCCATGATGAAATGTGGTGACTCCATGGCGAAATTTTGCTCCAGGAGATGCTTTGAGGGAAAAGGGAGGCTGAAAGTTTGCCAAGTCGTGACGAGTGAAACGGACTCGTGGTTCACAGCAAAGCAAGAAGGCTCGAAAGGTAGGTGTCTTTGATGATCTCAGTTCTTTTTTTTATTTTATTTTTTATTTTATTTGTTCTGTTCAGAATGGTCAAGCTCGTTGCTGCTCTGGTTGGAACTGTGGCTCTGCTTGCGTTCGCTGCTGCGACTGCGTCTGCCTACCGCCCAGGCGGCTGCGAAGGTACAAACCACACATTTTTTTTGCAATCCCATGCTGGCGAGGGGATCCTTGCCTCGGCGCTTTGGCACAGCACATCGCAGCGCTCTGGGCGATCGAACCGCGCGTGGAAGGCGCTGATTCGTCCAGCTCAGCGTCACAATCTGCCGCTGGCCATTGCACCCCGATGCACAACCACATCAACACTCACAAGCTCAAGTCCACATTCGACAAGGGGGTCGAGCTTCAGCACGGGCAGTGGCAGTGCTCCCACAAACGGACTGCCTGTTGAACGATGATGGAACTTCATACAAGGAAGGGCTCACTGCGCATCATGCACTCACTTGACTTTACCACACTCTCCGTTGATTTTGTTTTGTGTCACAGTGTGCCTGAAGGCAGTGGAAACAATCCAGGCATCGTGCTCTGCCAAGGAGCTGACCGACATGAATGCGATTGAGGCCAAGACCCGCGAGTTCTGCGCGTCGGCCACTGGCAAGGACAACCGCTGGGTATGAGAGTCAATTTGCGCTTGTAATTGATTGATTGATTGATTGATTGGCGGATGGTGGTTGAGGGTTGGAGGTGGTGGTGCTGGTTGTTGGTTCGTTTGGACGAGCTTGCCCTTTCACCAGCTCACCTTGCTTGCTTGCGGGGATGCACCGTCGTTCACAGTGCTATTTCGTCGGCGGCACTGAAGACGCTGCCACTGGCCTGCTCCGTGAGGTGTCTCGCCCCATTTCACTCGGACTGCCCAAGGAGAAGGTTTGCGAGCGCCTTGAAAAGCGCGATCCTCAGATCTGCGATCTCAAATACGGTATGTCGCGTGTGGCGCATGCGCGTTCTGCTTTGTTCTGCTAAGCTTGTTTGCTGGTGATGAATGGCGATGTCTCACTTTGGTTGTATTCTTTGTGTTCTTCCACATTCCTGTTGTAGACAAGCCAATTGACCTGAACGCCATCGACGTCAACACTCTCCGAGTCCGCGAGCTCAAGAAGGTCGTCAACGATCTCAACCTCGACTGCAAGGGCTGTGCCGAGAAGGCCGACTTTGTCAAGCGCATCAACGATTACAAGAAGACGCTCAAGCCCGAGTTGTAGAGCAGTGCAGTGTCGGTTCTTCTCCCCACCTTTTTTTATTTTTTCCAGCAATACAAACCATCTTCTTCTCTATTAGTAGACTTTGCGGTATCGATCTCGGAACCTGCTGCCGGATGGACTGCCGTTATTGCATTTGGAAATCCCTGTCCTTTCCCCAAACCAATGGTCTCTGATTTCACCTTGCCATAACAATTCACTACCTTCTCCCGATTGCTCAGTCATCATACTTGTTATTCCATTCACCAACATGGCTGGCACCAACTCACTCAAGCACGCGCTCAAGTTTGTCAAGGACGTCAACGTGGTCTTCTCGCCCTGGAACATGAATGCCAAGCACGCTCGGTACACCTTTCACTTCCCCCCCCCACTCCAATAACCACAAGCTCAGTCAGCGCCCCCCTCGAGTGTGTTTTGGCCCCCTCCATTGGACGGAAGTCGGGCGCGCAAGATGGAGAGCGAGAGAAGCAGGCAGATCTCGCCTTTTTGCTGCAATCCCTTACTCTCTCTCCCCCCCCCTCGTCCTCTATCAACCCTATCTCAACGATGAGGGTCTGTGCGACTGTGTGTCAGAATCCTCCTACATGTGGCTGTGGTGTCCGAATGCTCATCATGTAACTCCCCTTCGCTCTTCGCCCTTGTTTCCACTCTTTCTGTTTCGTAGCCTGGTGCTCCAGCAGGTCGCTGCCAGCAAGGGTCAGGATCCAGCGCTCAAGACCAACGTTGCCGTCGTCAACGCACTGCAGAACCAGACAGCGCCTACTGTCAGCGTCGTGCTGTGTATGTGCATCTGTTGCCTCTGTCCCCTTCAATCGCCTTGTACGCACTCACTCACTTCCCATTGACCGCCACAACTCTTTTGTTTTTCGACTCCAGCGGACAACACCAAGTTGGAATTCAACTGCAACCGACAATCGGCAAAGGAGATCGTCGACACAATCACAAACAAGGCATTGGAGCTGGACATTGTGTCGGCATAGTGTGGTTTTGTGTGTTTTTGTCGTGGTCTCTTTGCTTATTTCCCCCCAAATGTACATTAGTCGTCAAGTCCAAGTCGCTATTTGAGGGGCCCCGTGGTTGTATTTGAGCGCACAACCAAGATCCAGCGCACAAAGAATCTCCTCAACCCAAAGCACCAGCAAAAGTTGAGAACGCCCCCGTTTGGCAGAACCGAGACCAACACTGGCTCACTGCGGCAAAAGAGGACGAGTCAACGGCGCTTGTTGCTGGGAATGTTGCTGTTTCCATCGACGGGTGTAGTCGCGGAACAGATTGTTGACGAACGTGTCGTCGGTCTGGCAAAGAGTGGTTTGGAAGAAAAGAAAAAAACACCCACACAAGAACAAATACGGTTGGCAAAGCGTCACAAGAAAACAACCAATCACCGCATCAGCAAGACAAAGCCAAACACAGCTTGTCGCCGCAGCTTACAGTCAGTTTGGAGATGAGAATTTGGCGAAGCTCGTCCTTGGTCAGCGGCTTTTTGGAACGGAATGGAGCGCCCGCAGCCTCGGCAGAGTTTCGGCGAGCGGCAGCTTGCAAGTCGAGCGGGGAGAGCAGCACATCCTCGGCGGGGTTGGGGGCTTCTGCCGTAGTGAGAGTTTTCAAAGCGCGGCCAAGAATGGTGCCAAGCAGATCGGCGGGGTCGCTGTTCGCATCGGTTTCAGAGATGCTATTGTTCACGCCGTTGATAGGTGTCGGCAAGATGCCACTTGCAGCAGCCGAGTTATCTGAAGGGAAGAGCTACGGCGAAAAACAGACAACAACGTGAGCTAAAAAATGTCGAAGCAAGCGTGCGGATGTCCACCATTCGACCAGAAATCAGAAACTCTCACCTGTCGCTGAACTGAGGTCTTGTCGGCGGCGGAAGGCTTGGCAGACGATGCCTGGAGGATTGCTGGATCTTCGAAAGAAGAGTCTGTTTCGAATCGCACGGAAAGGATGCTAGTGAGCGTTTGAGCACTGACTCCACCCCCCCCCCGATGACAATGAGCACAAGAACAAGAAAGCTTACGAGACTGAAGTTGTTGCTGAGGAATCGGCCCAGGAGGTCGAGGCTGAGCCGGTGAGGCAGGGTGTGGCAGAGCAGCCGCTGGATTGGCTCCTGCAAATGTCGACTGGGCACCGCTAGCAACTCGTTGCTGGCGTTGCCAAGAATGGAACAAGAGGGAGGGGGTGGGGTGGTCGGGGTCAATCACGAGGGAAAGCAAGGGACATAATGATCGTGCATAAGGAAAAAAAAAAAAAAAAAAAAAACGATGAGTCCAAAATATTCAACAACCACATTGTAAACCTGCGCGCACTTACTTGATGGTCTTGCGCTGCCTTTTTCATCATTTCCATCACATCTACTTTGGTACCAGCCGGAGGTGCTGCTGTATGACCGCCAGACGGAATCGGCGCAACTAGAGCGACTCCAGGAGCGGGCCCGTGGTAGGGAACGCCTGGTTGTGGCATCATTCCAGGCGCAGCAAAGTGACCGTGCATCATGCCCATCGTATTTTGAGGCACGTATGCCATCGGGTAGGGATTTGCACCAAAGCCTTGCACCATCGGCGGCCCGTTCATTGTTGGTGCGCCACCGCCATTCTGTTGGCCTGGGTGGTATGGATGAGCTGCTGGTGCTTGCGCGGGGGCCCTTTGAGCAGAGTTTTGGCTTCGAAAATGGGAGGGGGAAAGGTTGAAGCGAGTGAGAATGACTGAGAAGCTCAATACCAGATCACAGCGCTTCATCTACCTCATCAACAAGTTGCCAATCCGCTCACGCTCTTCCGGAGAGTAAAACCAAATACCATAGATTGCACCTGCAACAAGGATACAACAAGCAGCGACATGTGAGACCACACGCACATCGCAGCGCGTTCGGGTGCTGTTTTCGTTGTTTTTTGGTACCTGCCGCCTGTTGGAATTGGACGTCTGGAGTGACGTATTCGGTCACGTCGCTTGTGGCAGCCTGACGGTTCATGATGATGAAACCGAGCGATGGCGTACTTGATCTGCGTTTGTACAAGCACACACACCACCCATCCCCCAAAGCGTTAACTGGCGAGTGAGCCCCGAGCTCTGGGTGGCAGTCAAGGAAGGCCCCACACGACGAAACGCGTCTGCTAGCTTCCGTCCGAGCTCTGGGTGGCAGTCAAGGAAGGCCCCACACGACGAAACGCGTCTGCTAGAATAGCAGCAAGCAGAGACCATTCCAAACGAAGCACAAGTGAGGGGAGGCGAGGGCAGGGGAAGCCGACAGCAAGCACATCATCAGCTGCTGCTGCCAACGGACGACGCGAAACGAAACGAAACGCACCCATTGCTTGGTGGCCTGGTCAAACTCGTAGAGCGTCGCAGAGGTCGCCTTGTCCACAACGCGGGTGATGGTGTTGTCGCGGCGCTGGAGCACGGACAGCGTCATTGCCAGGCCACTGATCGGCGTTGACAGGGCAGCCATGTTTTGTGTCGACAAAGAAGAAGAACAAGTCACACAGACAAAAAAGAAAAAAAAAAAAAAAAAAAGGTGCTACGACAAAGTAACAAAGAGTGATAATGGAAATGGAGCACAAGAATGAAATCGTGAATGTCAATGTCAAGAAAAAAAAAAGGAAGGGGGTGGGGGGATCGAGTCGCGTCGAAATTAGCTCCACAAGGGCAAAATGCGCCACAGAAGAAAAGCAGAGCAGTCCAGCAGCAACCTGCAATGCGGCACCAGCACTTTTTGTTTCTTGACGCTGTACTTGAGGCAGGCTTGGATGGAGAATGATTGTTGATGGGGGTGGATAGGGTGGACAAGTTGTACGAAAATTCTGAGTTTGTATTTTCACTCCCAAATGTTTCGACCCCCCAACTATGCAGTGACGGTCAGCTTCAAGCTGGACACGTCAAAGCCGTCCCCGCAGTGCTCGGCAATCAACTGAATGAGCCGACGCTTCTTCTCCATGGCCCGATTTGACTCGAGCTCGTAGAGCGTGCAAAGGTTGAACACGATGCTTTCATGCAATCGAGTGCGCGGATTGGCCATCACAAAGTCCTCAAGCAGCTTGACCGCCTACAAATGCAAGACAAGGAGCCGGGGGCGGGGAGGGGGAGGGAAGGAACGGACAGTCAGCAAAGGAGCGAACAACCTCACCACACTCAAAATCACGACTCAATACAAACCTTTTTAAGATTGCCAGCATACAGCATGCAGGTTGCTTGGTTGTTTGCAGCGGTGGCATTGTTCGGATCGGCCAAAAGGGCCTCTGCAAAGAAGGCAGTCGCCTGCTCGTAGAGGCCAGTGCTCACACTCGTGAGAGCCTTGTTCATTGCCAACAAGCTCGCCGTGGCAGCGTCAATCACGTCTCCCGACCGCTCCTGAGCAACTTGCTCTGCGCGTGCAAAGTACGACTGAGCGCGTTCAATGTGCCCAATCTACTCGACATGCAGGAGTGTGAGGTTGGTCGAACATAGTGAGTCGAACGAACGAACTGCTGAGACAACGAAAACAACGACAAAGCAAGCCAAACCTGCAAGTGCACACGGCCGAGACCCGACAGCAGGTGATTGTTGGTGGGGTTTTTAGACAGCAAATGTTCGTACATTTGCGTGCCCAGAGTGTGATCCTAGGAGAGAGACGGGTCAAAGGCGACAAGTCAGGCAAAGAAAAAATGGCGAAATGTCGCCCGAGATCTGTCCCACATCAGCAACATCAACAACGCTTGCTCTACCTTCATCATCAACAAGTGGTTGGCAATGCAGTACTGCAGCTTGGTTTGTCGTTCACCCCACAGAGTCAAAGCAGCTGTTGAAACATACAGCAAATGGTTGGTTTTCGCGTGACCCCAAGCGTGCCAACCTCGCTACACAGCAGCTTGCGTTTACCTTGGACACGTGACGCCGCAAGCTTTTGTGCAATGCCATTCTCGTTCTTGCCAGACCGCAGATGGCTCATAACTTGAGTGCAAGTGTGATTCAAACTGTACAAGCGGTCTAGAGCCAGCTGTGGCTTGCCGACGTAATGTGGCAGTTGTGCGTGGATGACGCGGAGAGAAAATGGCACCAGCGATCCTGTTGTACGTACAAAACAAGGGATGAATGGTAAACTGTCAACCTCAAACCAACACCCAACAACAACCAAGCACATCAGGGATTCGTACCGGTCATGTCGGGATACGAGTCCGGATAGTAGTCGTAATACAAGTCAGGGCGATCGAGATCCCCAAACGTGTCCAGCTCCGCAGCAGCCTTTTCGTAGCGGCGAAGCTTCATGAGCGCAATCATCCGACACAGCCACATTTGCAGCGTCTTGTGCGTGTGAACTGCAGTGATGACGGACGCATCCTGGTCAAGTCGACCTTGGCCATGCGCCGAAAGAAAGCTGCCAGTGAGGTCGAGCAACGCATTCCAGCAGCCAGCCGCCTGCGAAGAATCAGAGCGCCCACAGTAGTAAAATTGAGTTGATTTTGCATCGAGAAAACCCGTCCATCCGCCATTTTGTCCCAAAACAAACAAAAAAGCAACAACAGCACGACTTCAGCGCATCCTACCATAAGCTGGCAAATTCCTTGCCGATCAAGCGGCACGTCGTCTGCGGTCAAAGTTTTGCGCTTGGCAGCTTGAGCTTCATCAAAGTGTCGCACCAGGAGCTCACGAACAGGGTCAGTCTGCGTTCCCAAACGACAAAGAAAACAAGCAAGCTCGTGTGTGAGACAAACACAAGCAAACAACAAAAGAGTTACTTTTGATTTCCGACAAACCAATCCGCAGAAAACAAGAAAAAAAATGACCGACCTGAAGTTCGTCAATGACAATACACGGGGAAGACTTCATCACTGGAAGCTTGGGTGCCTGCTCACGATCCCCGGTTGCGCGAACCGTCGCAAGAACACTGCGCGTGGGCTCCGGCACATACCACGCAATCTCCAAGCTGTTGACGTGCTCGTCCGGGTTGAGAGTCCATTCCGTCGCAATTGAGCCATCCGCCTCGACGGAAGTGGCAGCGGCAGCAGCACTCTCGACAGACGATGGCAACGCTGCATCGGCCGCAGCCGCCGCGGGGTCACTTGGCGACTTTCGAATCGTATCAGAGAGATCGGCTGCAGCCACTGCCGACGCAGCTGCTGGTGTCGCTCCTTGGCCAGCTGAAGAAGAAGGGTCGAGTCCACTTGGAGGGAGCGAGGGGGCATTTTCACCTGCAAGCGCGGCTTCGGCGTCTTGCTCCTCAGCCAGGACGAGCTCGGGCTCCACGGCAAGACCAAGATCGTTTGTCGTGGGCGCTTCAAATTGATCGACTGACTCGTCGTTCTGCAGCTGTTGACGCAACGCCATGCTATCCGCACCCTCGGCAGCAGCAGCAGCGACGACTGCGTCCGTCAACGCCGCGTCAGAGGACGACGCCATGAGCGCAAGTCCGCTCGATCCGGACACGGTGGACGAGTCTGACTGCGAGACAAGCAAGCCACCGCCGCCGTCAGCAGAGCTCGATACGGCAGGGGCGACGTCCGACGCAGAGACAATGGTGACATTCTCGTCGTCCATTCCGGCCTGGATGAGGATTGGCGGAATGACATGGCCATCCGGCGACTGTAACCCGGCATCCGCGTGTGAATGGTGATGCAAGTGACCATGGACGTGCTGGTGTGGCGCATCTTCAACAGGCTCTGCTTGTTGCGCTCGACTCGCACCAGCAACCGGGTCGACGTCCGCCAGCGACGATGAAGCAACACCTTGGTCCTCGCCGCCCAACGGCAGCATGCTCAGGCGGTTGCTGCGCGACATATCGTCGTCCAGCGGCAACGTCGTGTCCAGACTGACGGCCGTGGTCGGGTCGGCGAGAAGGCGGAGGCTTTCGTTCTGCTGCGGCTGCTGGTCTGCAGAGAGCTCGCTGCCCAGACCACCACCAGCAGCAGCAACAGCAGCAGCAGCAGCAGCGGCAGTGACAGAAGATGACGAGCCCGTGTGTGGGATGCCCGCGCTGCCAGGCGCAGACGAGTCGGCACGGTCGTCGTCGCTGACGAGCATCGAGTCTGGATGATCGTCCAGCGCCGCCGTTGGGGTCGTCGCCCCGGCGTCAAGGAGATGGTGGCCTGAAACGGTTGTTGACGAGTCGGACAGTGCGCCGGCAAACGCATCGAGCACGGCGGCGCTGGGCGAGTGCACAGTCACCTGAGCAGCTGCCTCAGAGGACGAGGACGAATCAGCAATCGCAGGCGGCTCAGATTGAGACTCGTCGTCAGACATTTGAGAGATGGAAGGACAAAGAAATAGAGTGAAACAAAAAGAGGGGAGGGGAGGGGTGGGGTGGGGAAATCAGAAATGGAAATGGAGAGTATTACAGTCGAATTGTGCTGTATTGAAAGTTCGGGCACATCGTATTGACCGGATCAATGCAGAACGAAAGTACACAAAAGCAAAAACAGCAAACACACAGAAGTAGACAAAGAGCATCCAGAGACCAGAGAGATATAGCTGGCGATCAAGCTGCGGCTGTCTACTCCGAAACCAAATCGCGTCCAACAATCACCTTCATGATCTCGTTGGTGCCTGTCACACCAAAAGCAACAACAAGTGAGTCAAGGGTGGGGCGAGTCCGGCTCCATTATTGGTGCCTGTTCCACGACTCGCAGTCCCAAACACATGATTGACAAGATCAGAAACCATCACCAAAATTCTTCTCCGCTCACCTTCAAGAATTTGGTGAACGCGAAGGTCGCGGACAAACTGCTGGACCTTGTAGTCCCTGAGATAACCGTAGCCGCCGTGCAGTTGTAATGCCTGGTTGCAAATCTGTCCCAGAGAGGCGAGTTTGGCAAGTGAGTGACACAAAGCAGAAACACTACTGCAATCTGCAACCTACATCAAAGCATGTGTCGGTCGCAAAGAGCTTGGCCATGGCGCACAGGGAGGCCGCTGCGGGATGCTTTGAATCCATTGCCTGCGCTGCTTGACGAACCATCAACCGAGACGCCTGAAGGCCCGTTGCCATTTCCGCCAACTTGAATTGCGAGTTCTGGAAGAGAAAGCGCAACCAAGATGAGAGCGCGAGGAGAAAATTAGCAAGAGCAAGAGCAGTGTTCAAAGAAGCGCAACAAAGCACCAGGCACAAACGACAAAACAAAAAAAAAAATCTACAAAACACAAAGCGAATCTACTTCACTCACCTGCAAGCTGGCAAGGCTCTTGCCGAACTGCTTGCGAACAAGAAGATGCTCACGCGCAATAGACAAAGCCTCCTGGGCGCCGCCAAGACTGCATGCACCTGCAGAACAACAATCGAAAACAAGAGCGCACGAAAAGTCAGCGTCTCTTCACTTCAGTGCTGTCGACATCTCGAAACGAAGTGACTCACTAATATTGACACGACCACCATTGAGAGCCTGCATGGCGATGGAGAAGCCTTCGCCTTCCTTTCCAACGCGGTTGGCGATCGGGACCTTGACATCCTCGAAAATGACTTGGCGCGTTGGCGAGCTGTTCCATCCGAGCTGTATCGAGGTGAAGAGAGTGCCAATGTCAGTACTGTTGCACAAGAATCGCACGTGCGAAACGTCAACATCAGCCAACGTCTAACGGCCGGCAGTACCTTGCGCTCCTTCTGTCCGAAGCTGAGGCCGGGCGTCCCCTTCTCAACAAGCACGCAGGAAATACCCTTAGCCCCTGAAAAAAGGACCATTGCAATAACAGAAAGTTCACTGTAAGCCACAAACAGGCCATCGCTCGTCATTCAGGTTGGAAGAATGGAGGCACACAAACCTGGTCCACCGGTACGGCACATGACCATGTAGACGTCGTGCTCGCCACCGCCAGAAATGAACGACTGCCAATGCAACACAAACAAAATATAAGGATCAAGCAACGCTCGTTGGGTCACGCACGGAACAATGCTTTGTACTTTGGTGCCGTTCAGGACGTAGAAATCTCCCTCACGCTTGGCGGAGGTGACAAGGCTTGCAGCATCGCTTCCAGCTCCAGGCTCAGTCAAGCAGTACGAGGCAAATCGCTACCACAGGAACATCAAACAGACATGAGGAATATGGACGATTTGGGGGGGGGCAAGTGGGGAGCAAACTCGCACAAGACATAAATCTCACCTCGCCGTTCGCCAGCGAAGGGATGTACTTTTCGCGCTGTTCGACAGATGCAAACGAATCGATGGCATACACGACCATGCTGCCATGTACATACGCACCGCAGCAAAGAAAATCAACAATGGAGAATATTGTCAACACCACAACAAAAAAAATTTCTCAGACAATCTGCGTGGTTCCAATCTCCAATCTTACTTGTGGATGGACAGAAGAGCAGACGTCGATACGCAACCCGTCGAAAGCGCTTCAAAGATGACAGTGCCGTCCATGCGCGACAATCCCGTGCCTCCAAAGTCCGGGTTGCAGTAGATTGCTGTTTGCAGTTGCATCAGAATTGTGAGCGATTTGGGGTTTTGGCCGCTTCTCACCAAAAACAAAAAACCCCACTTACCGCCAAATCCAAGCTTTGCAGCTGCGCGCATTGTCTCTGCGGGGTAGATCTCCTTGGCGTCCCACTCGAGCATGTTCGGGGCCATCTCGGTCTTTGCAAAGTTGAGTGCCATGCGCTGGATTTCCAGCTGCTCTTCCGTCAGACCGATGCTGGCTGCAAAGTCAGATTCAGATCAAACCAATCCATACACAATGATCACACCAAAGCAGTGAGTGGAAGCGGGGACGCGAGGAGGCGCGTGTTGGCTCCGTGACCAGGTTGAGTCGTGACTCCAATCCAGCCCAGCCCTGCCCTGCCTAGTCAGTCAAATCCTCAATAATCATACCATCGACAGCTTGCATGCTCATGGCACGCACACCGGCAGAGGCAGCGGCGCGGGGGCGACAGAGCGCGGACGAAAGCGCCGAAACGCGGCTGCTCAGAGCACTGGAGCGAATGGAAAACATGACTGGCTTTGCTCAGAACCAACAAGATTATGGTAAATACAGTGTATTAGGTCTACCCCGACGTGGACTACACACATCCTCTTCGAAGAGGGTCCAGCCAATTGTGTGTGTGTCCGGACAGATTTTGATGAGAACGATTTTGGAATTGTTTGAAACTTGTCGGGGATCGTACTAGGATGAAATAAGCCAATCACGCAATATTCCATGATACGCAGCAGCTTCAACATCGCAGGCGTGGTTGTGCTCGACGTAGCGATGGGCGGCGGCGACAAGCGTCGAGCGACGATCGGTTACCTCGGCGAGAGTGCATTGCGCAGCAGTTTGTGCGGCAGAGCGGATGGTCGAAATGTCCGAGTCTGACAGCACGGCATTCTGCAGCTTGGCGATAGCGGCATCGTCCAGCCACGGCGCAGCAAATGACGATGGCAGGTAGGCAAGGGCCGATGCGACCATCTCTGCTGGCTGGTTGAACAGGCAGCCCGTCGTGCCATGTTGGATCACGGCAGCATTTCCCGGAATGTTACGTGCTAAGAGCGGTACGCTTAGAGACATTGCCTACAAGCAACACGTCGTGATAAAGAACAAGGAAGGAAAAGGCTGAGTTGGACGAACAATATGAAACGGTTCACGCCATTCGAGAACTCATACCTCAAGAACGGCGCTTGCCAACCCTTCACTGAGGGAGGAGTTGAGAAGAAAATCAGCCTGGCTCATCAGCCACAACGCCTCTGCGTACGGCACGGCTGACAGGATGTGCACACCAGGCGATCGATCGGCAGCCTCCCGCACTTGACTTGTGCATTTGGGTGTTAGCTGCATTTCCCGTATCCAACGGACCAAAGTCAGAGAGAAGTGCGACAGCGCCAAAAGCGAGAAAGAGAGAGCTTTGTCAAACTCAACGCGAATCCCCCCCCCCCGTACCTCTGGTCCAATGACGGCGAGATGAACGCGCGAGTCGAGGCGATGCCAGCACGATACAATGTCAAACAGAAATGTTGGGTCTTTGACTGGTCGCAACCCGGCCACCAGGAGCAGCACGATTGGAGCCAGGTCTACAACAAGCAACGCACCAATCAGCATGTCCGTCCTCAGTCAATCACACGGCTAGAATACGACTATACCAGCAGGCCGTGATGGGTGGACTGGCAGTCCCAAGCGCTCGTGCAAGGTCGGTGCGCGTGGTGTGGGTGGTTGCGGTGTGTCGATTTGAACTGCTTGCGGAATGATGCGTAACCGGCTGCCATCCAAGAATGGCCATCGCTTCAACGCAGGTGCCGAAAGCGATTCATTAAACGCAACTATGCCTCTGTAGGGTGGGGCAGGTATGGGTGAGTGGATGCTTGCACCCAAAGAGTGCCACACAAATTTGACATTGTTGAGCATGTCCCGTACCGTGCTCGTCGCACGGCCAATGTCATTAGATCGAGTTGCTCGTTGGTAAGCTCTTGCGCCTCGTTGACGTCTGTGCCTCCCAGGATGATGGCATAGGGCAGTGGGCAATCTGCAAACCGTTTCGGCGATCAGTTTAGTGGCAATACAAAACCAAACAAAGCCTTGTCTTTCGTTCTCGTGCTTTGGGAACAAGCAGCAGTCGCATTCATGGAGACCTACGAATGAGGTACTGGCCGCTGCGGAAGGCATGCAGCCCGAGCGCGAGGTCGTAGCCATCGAACAAGGCTGGTGAACAATTGGCGGGGTCTTTTGCAAGCATGCCAAGATCCATTGCCGTGCACTCGACCCTTGGATGGGTGTATCGATTCAAGTGGCTCCTGGAAGTCGTATCAGCACATGAGGGAGAGACAGAAAGGACAGGAAGACGGGGGTTGATGAGATCGAGTCCAAGCCAACCGCAGCCGCTTCTCGTTCGCACAGGCAGCCAATGCCAATGACAGGGGGGGGGTCATAGCTTGGCATAGCAGAACGTCTCTTTTTTTCTTACTGAATGCGCTCGGCAGTGGTGCGATTGCCAGTCCCGAGGCTGAGCGTTGCCAGAAACAAGAGCCGGATTGGCGGTTTCGCGTCGTTCGCGGTTGCTTCGGCCATTCGTGATTCTCTACCAACAAACAAAGAGGGACGAATGGTGTATAATAAACAAAAGCAAAACACGAAGCGAGACTGAGCGCGACTAGACTGGATCGGAAGCTCGAATTTGACTATGGCTGGTTGTTGTTGATGCCCTCTCCCTCTGCTTCCCCTTCACACACGCACACACACACACCCCATATATCAATCTAATAACTGTCCTTGTTATTATTTTTCCTCACTCCTTGTTTTCATTGCTTTCTCAGACAAATGGTTGCTGGCGGCATTGTGATTCTCATCTTCACCATTGTCTTCCTCGTCCTCGGCGGCGCTGGCTTCTTCTTTGCCCCCAAGGGCCCCAACCGAGGGTACGACGACAAGCCCCAAGACTGTCTCCATCCCTTGCCTCAAACCGGACAATGTTCTGCAACCCAAAAAAAAAAAAAAAAAAAAAAAAAAAAAGTTGGATAAAGGGGGGGAAAAGCATCACATGCAGCACTGTTGCATTGAGCCATTGTGTGCCATTGAGCAGCATTGCATTGAGCAGCATTGGGGGAAAAAAAACTTCTGTGCGATGGCTCCTTCTACTGCGCGGCGTGCGTCTTGGTCTCTTCCCCCTTTGATTTTGGCATTGTGATGGGGCTTTCCATCGTTGGTTTGTGACTGCTGTCCTCTCGTGTTGGAGTCACTGCGCTCGTCAAGTGGGGTTGCAAGTGGGGGGGAAACTCGAAAAAAAAAAAAAAAAAAAAAAACTTGGTTCTTTTGCGCTGCTCATGCTCGTTGATCGCGATGAGGGTCGCTGCCGCTCAGTGTTCGCACACACACATGCACACACATTTGTCATCCACCTTGGTGTTTGATTGAGGGTGGGGCTGGGGGCGACTCTGCGTGCTTCTGCTCGACTTTTGGTTTTCGCTCACTCGTGTCTCTCCCTTCTCCCTCTCCCGCTCTCCCTCACGCTCGCTCCCGCTGCTCGTCACGCATCGACAACCAATACTCCATTCGTCGTCTCGGACAATCCTCGCCTCGAGCAGCCTGGTTCAAACCATGTCCATTTTGACTGCCTTCTGCATGTGGATTTTGTAAGCGCTCAAACTCATTCGTGCTGCTGCTTGGATGATTTTGCTCGAGTCTCACAACAACCAACACGCGCCCTACTTTGCAGCTGGCTTTGCACATTCATGTCACAGATGAACCCGCTGATTGCACCCATCATCAAGACCGAAGACATTGCTAAAAACTAAAAAAACAATCCTTTTGAGTGTAACTTTTGTATTTGTTTCTGTTGTTGTTGATGGGTGTTGCTCGTATTTTTTTTTCTCGGTGTACTTGTGATGTGCGAATATACCTTGCTTTGTTGGTTGTAGCATGAGGCAGGTATTTCCTTCGGCGGTGGAGCTTGCGGTCGATTGGAATGGTGTGTTTTTGGAACGAATCGAGCTCGACCCTACACAAACAATGGGCCAAACTCCTTTGTGCGTTTCCCTTGTGTCGGATTGCACATGCAGGATTTTGTACCACCCCCATCATTCGAGGTGCATTTTACGCCAGTAGGATGCAGATACTCGAAACGCGTCTGACACTTGTCGGCAAATCGAATGAACGCCACCTTCCATCAGCCGCATAGACCATAAATCCGGATCCCGACGACGTGTCGATGTCATCACAACTCGCCTTGACCTGGCGGCGGCGACCAGGACCCTGGCACTTTGGTTTTTCTGCCACTTTTGACAGGTCGACACGAGACTGCTCAAAATCACTCGCGCACACGCGTTCGATAGAAGTTGTTCGAAAAAATATCCCTCCTTCAATGCCTATAGTCGCATCGCGCAGCAATCCTGGGGCCCCTTTTCCACCGTAAAACAATTCCCACAAAATCAAACAGGAAAATGCGCGGGAAATGCTCGTGCCATTCTCTTTTTTTTCTTTTTTTTTTTTTTTTCCTTTGGACTTGGTACAAACTCGACAATGTCTGACGGTGAAGAGCAACGTCCCATGGATGCAGCACCGCTTGCCGTTGAGCAGCAGCCGCCTGCCGAGGCTGCTGCCGCCGCCGCTGCTGCGGAGGAGGAGGGCAGCAAGCCTGAGCTGGCTGCTGCGACAACACATGCAGACTCGGCTCCCAGCACTGAGGCACCCGCTGCCCCCGCCGCTGAGGCTGAGGAGACCAGCGCCCCCGAGCCTGCGTCTGCCGAATCGGCCAACGGCGGCGATGGTGATGCCGGTGCTGCGGCTGCCGTGCCCGCGGCCGAGGAGCAGCAGCAGCCTGCTGAGGCGGCTACCGATGCTCCAGCTGCCGTCGAAGCCACCCCGGCTGAGCCCGCGGCTGCTCCCGCCGCCACCGAGGACGCTCCCGCTCAAGATGCGCCTGCGCACACCTCGGAGGAGGCCAAGGCGCCCAGCGCCGAGCCCGCCGCGACCGAACTCGCCGCCGCCTTCGTGGAGGAAACTGCACAAAACGAGGATCGCGCGGAAAACGACGAAACCCCTGAGGAAGCGCCATCCACCGTTCGCCTCGGCCTCAACCCCACCGACATCACCAAGATGACCACCATCGTCAAATCCCTCCAAGAGCACAAGACTGCCGGACCCTTCCTTGAGCCTGTCTCGGCAGAGGTGAGCTTTTTTTTTTTTTTTGCGCCTTTTTTTTTTTTTAATATTTGATTTTTCCATTGCTTTTTGGCTGCAATGATTTTTTTTTTTTTGGCGCGCTTTTTTATTTTATTTTATTTTTTCTTTTATTTTGATTTTTCTTTTATTTTGATTTTTTTTTAATGATTTTCGCAACTCTTTCAACCCCTACACTTGTTGAACATGCCCACCAACGTGCGCTCCAGTACGATGCGCGTGTCCTATTCTGCCGTGTACCTTGGTATTGCGCTTTGCCCCGTTTCGTGCGCTGGGCGCGCTCCCATCCAGCGTTGGATTTGTGCGCGTTTTTTTTTTCTTTTCTTTTCTTTTCGTTCCTTTTTTTTCCCGCCTTTTTTTTTCTTCTTCTTCTTTTCTCTCTTTCTCTTTTTCTGTTTTGCTTTTTCAATCCTGTTGACTCATTCATGCTCCATCCATTTCTGACTTGTCCCCCGGACAGGATGCTCCGGATTACGCACAAGTTATTAAAAACCCAATGGACCTCGGCACGATTCAAAAGAAGCTTGAGCAGTCGACCGAAACCTCCAAGGCTCGTCGAGCTGGCGACGCTGCTGCGCCGGCTGCCCCGTACACGTGCTGGGAAGACTTGGCGCTGGACGTCAAGCTGATTGTGGACAACTGCCTCGAGTACAACCAGACTGGCAGCAAATTCTACAAGATGGCACTCGACATTGAGAAGCGACTGGGTGTCTTGTTGGTCGAGGCCGGCTGGCTTCGCCGCGAGCAAATCCAAATGCTTGGTGTTCTCGGCGCCGTGAACATGCGCAAGAAGTTGGACGAGGAGAATGCCGGCGAGCCCGTTGCCTCCAACCCGATCGTCCTGGAGGACACTAGTCTCGGCGCGCCCAAGGCCGCTGCCGCTGCTGCTGCTGCTGCTGCTGCCGCCGCTGCCGCGAGCAGCACTGAATCGACTGGCTCGACACCTCAAGTATCGCGATCAGGTCGTGTTATTCGCAGCACAAAGCGCCGCCAATCTTTCGACGAGGCCGCCACGGACGAAGACCGGGACGACGAGGAGCGCGACGATGAGGACGAGGAAGGCCGCAAGAAGGGCCGCAAGTCAAAGCTGGCGCGTGTTGGCAGCAAAAAGGCCAGCAGCGCCGGAGTGCACGCTGGTGCGCCCCCGGCCATGCACCACCAGCACCCTGCAGTGTCCCACCACCACCCTCAGCAGCACCTGCTGCACCCGCAACAGATGCACCACCAACAACACAATGACTTTTTGCAGCAACAGCAGGCGCAGCAGCAACAGCTCTTCCTGCAGCAGCAGCAACAACAGCAGCAACAAGCGGCGGCTACGGCGCAGTTCCACCAAATGGCCCCTGGATATAATTCGCAGTACATGTCCTTCCTCCAGCCGCAAAACCACCTCCTCCAACAGCAACTCCACTTCCAACAACAGCAGCAACTCCAACAGCAGCAGCAACTCCAGCAACAGCAAGCTGCCGCCGCCGCTGCACGACAACGCCAGCAGCTTCAACACCAAACCAACGCTGGCAACCAGCAACGCGCTCCCGCTGACGAAATGTCGCTTCTTGACGCCTTCCTTGGCTCCCAGTTTGGCATGCAGTAAACGGAGCTCAGTTTGAGTGTGTGTGTGTGTTCTGCCGGTCTGTTCCTTTTTCTCTCTCTCGTTGGTCGTTGCCAGTGGTTTCTTGTGATCCCGTCGTTTGGCTTTGTTGACTTTGTCGTTGCCCGTTCTTTCTTTTCTTTTTTTTTTTTTTTCTTTTTTTTTTTTTCTTCTCAAGTCCGCAGGTGTGTGTTTGTGCCACGATCTTGTCGTGCTGCAGTTCTTCATTCTTTCTCAGCCCTTTTGCTGTTTGTTGTTTTTGTTGTTGTGACTTTTCTTGTTTTTTCGGAATGTGCAAGAGTCTACTTTCTTTGAGCTGTGTTTGTTCTTGTTCTTGTTGTTGTTGTTTTTTGTCCAAATGCATTTTTTCCAATTCTCCCGCAAATTGGCTGCTGCTCGTCTTCCGCGTGTTTTGTCGCGCAATGCAACGTGACACCGTAGCGACTGTGTTGGGACATGGCGCTCGTTCAGGATGGACGGATTGGTTGCCTTTTTCACTCTTTTTTTTTTATTTTTTTTTTTTTTTTATTCTTTGTGGTTTTGTAAGCTCGGTTTATTCCATTCCGCCCCTTTTTTTTTTCCCTCTTCTTCTTCCATCGCTCTGGACAGACCCTCAGCTCCCATCGCTCGACTCTCTGGTGTGTTTCGATTTGTTGTCCTTCTGCTTTTCAAGTCTCGAACGGGGACCTCAGTTGTGACAGCGAGTGAGTGATAGTGTGTCATTTTGATTTTTTTTTTTTTTGACTCGGTGAACTGCGGCTTCGCCCACCTCCCTTTTTGAGACTGTAGGCAAGTTGAGTTGAGTGAGTCGAGTGAGTCGAGTGAGTTGAGTGAGTGCAACCCCTTGTTGTCAAGCGATGCTTCTGCAAGTGCCTCGTTCGCCTTCGAGATGTGTCGAACGACGAGTGGTGGCCTTCACACCTTTGCCTCTCTCGCCTCTCTCGCGCGCGATTCACGGTGCACAGGATCGCCTGGAGGGGGGCTTTGTTCGCTGCAGTAGAACTTGTCGTCGTGTGCCCACTTGAAGCGTCCCTCACGCCATCACACTCACGGTTGAGCTTCTCTCGTTCGCGCCAATTTCCATTCCGCCTCCACTCCGTCTCCCCTCCCAGTGATACCTCCCCCCCCCACCGGGGCAACTGTTGTGCTGCTTGCTGTGAGTGCAACGCTGACGGCATGCTGCGCCTTCAGTGTAGTTGTTGGAAAACAACTCGAAAGCCAGAACTGAAGCGCTCAACAACAATGAGATTATGATTCATTGTCCCTTTGAAACCTGGCTGCTGCTCCTGCGAGCTCCAATGGTGACAGTCCAGTCGCTTCATGTTGCATGGTGAAGGCTCAACCTCCTTCCCCCCCCCCCCAGCGACCGCTGCCTCGCTTCTGGTCGCGTCATTGAGTAGTAACTTTTTTTTTTCAATTATTTTTATTTTTACTTTCAAAGAATTCGAACGACTTTTGTTCCGTTCTGAATGACGGCTGCTTTGGTTGTTGTCAATCTCGTCATTGTCATATCGTCATATCGTCATATCGTTATCGTCGTGTTTGTGGGCTGCTGCTGCTGTGGGTGGACTGCCAGCGGTCTTGGGTCAAGCATACAGACATGATGGTTTTTTGCGGGCTTTATCGTGTGCCGTTCTCCACCTCCAGTGGATTGGGATGGTGGATTGGGATGGTGGGTTGGGATGGTGCTGAGGGGTAGCAGCGCCCACACCAAGGTTGTCATCTTGAGTGGCATCGGATGTAAACTCACCCCTTTTTGTGTTGCAGCAGATTGTTCATTGTGCCTTCGCATTCCTCGTTTCTCCCGCCATCGTCAAGTCCTCCCGACAAGAGGTTTGTTTCATCATCATCTTCCTTTTGTCTGCTCGAGCGTTTGCATAAAAGTGCCTGTCGCTCGCACGGCTGGAGCGGATGGACGCGTCAAGGACAAATCGGAAACCCGAGCAGCCCATCAACATTACCACCCCCGTCTCGCCCCGATCGAGCCCCACTCCGTCGCGGCGACCGCTTCTCGGCTTGTTTGGACGCTCACAGTCGGCCGAGAAGCTTGTGGACACTGTTGCGACCGATTCAGCCGCACCACCGCAGCAACTCTCGAGAATGGGCTCGTCGTCGCCTTCGATGCGTCCGCTGGAGGACTCGGGCTCCCCATCGCCCCGTGGCAGTCCGAGTGCTGCACGACGCAATCGCTTGTCCATCTTCCTAACGGGCGTGACGGACGACTCGTCGAGCTCGGATGTGCCTCCGGCTCGCCCCCACGACATGGGCCGGTCTGGAAGCCGCCGATCTGCCTCCATCTCGTCGGGGACAAACCACCGTTACTCACAAGCCATCTATGACGAAGAAGTCAGCTACAGCACCAGCTTGAACAACTCACGCTCCCAGTCCCCATTGCCCCGCGAACGTGAAGAAGACGAGGACTCGCTCTTAAATTACAAAATCGGCGTGCGGCGTGCCACAGGCGGCTCTGCGCCATCACGAGCACAGGCTGCGGCCCTCCGCATCACCACTAGCGCCAGCAACAGCAGCGACGACACAAGCAGCTCCAACCCTCTCAGTCCGCGCTCCACCGGCATTGCAAGCTCGTTTTTCAAAGCGATGGGCTGGCGACGTTACGATGAGACAAACCGCTCCAACACTGCGCTCGGCTCCAGCAGCTCGAGTTCGTTGACGGCGGGGAGCACCACCACCAACAACAACAACAGCAGCAGCAACAATAGCGGTGGCTCGCCTACCTTGCAGCCGTACCCTGGCGGTCGGTCCTTGAAGAGCGGCTCCGCGAGCAGCAGCAGAAGTGATGTGAGTGTGGTGTCGGAAAGTGTGGCAAGCCTACCCGATGTGGACGCCGGCACGTCCTCCGCGTCGTCCAGTCCGTCGTACAACAGCGGCATGCCGAACGTCCACGACGAAGTTGCCATTCTGCGCCTCAAGTGCGAAGATTTGACAAATCGCCACGAGCAGTCAGAGCAGAAGGCGCGTGCCCAGCAACGAACCATTGCCACGCTTCAAGGCGAAATGTCGCGACTCACGTCAAAGTCCGAATCGGCAGTTCAGTTGACGCGTGACTTGTTGGCGCTGCTGCAACAACACCGCATTGCCATTCCTCCAAAGCTCGCGGACAGCGTCAAACTCGTCACCGGGGCGGCCGCTCCCGTCTCAACTTCGGCTGTCCCGCTTGCCGCACCCTCCTCGGCGCCGTCGGCTGCTGGCGTGCGGAAATCCATCATTGGGGCAACCATCTCTGTCAACGGCGCGGCTCCCACCAGCGTGGGCTCTGGTGCTGCGGCCGCCGCGCGCGCATCTAGCATTTTCAACAAGCCTCCTGCGGCGCCATCCTCCGCAGGCCCAGCTCCGGCTAGCAAACCAGTTGTCGCGCCCGCATCGGCACCCGTCACCGCAGCTGCCGCCGCACAGAAGGCTCCGATTACTGCCGCCGCTGCTGCTGCGGCCGCTACAACAGCGTCGCCACCTGCTACCAGCGCTGCTGCAGGGTCTGCCAACCCCTACAACATTCCACGCTTGGTCAAGGTGCAAGCGCAGGTGCGTGGCTTCCTGGCTCGCCGCAACCACAAGCGCGCCGTGAGGCGGTCGCTCGTCGTGGGTGAGTTGCTGGCCACAGAAATGACCTACGTCAAGACACTGCGCACCATCGAGCGGTGGTACCTCAAGCCTCTCACCGCGTACGCGCTGCAGGCACCCGGCCACGAGACGGTCATTCTCTCGCTCGACGAAATTGAGCGAGTGTTTGGCAAGGTCCCAGACATGCTGAAAGTCCATGCCGAGTTCCTGACAAAACTTCAAGAGCGGATGGATCGCTGGAATGTGCATCAAACCATTGGCCAGCTTGTCATTAATCTGGTAAGTGGGCTGTGAAGGGAGGGGGGTTGCTGTTGGTAATGTGTGTGATTTGTGATGACTGTTGTTTCTGTCTGTCTCGTTAGGCCTCGCAACTGGAGATTTACACGGCCTATGTCAACAACTTTACCGCTGCTTCGCTGATTATCAATTCGCACAAAAACGATTCGAACTTTAAAAAGTTTTTGGAGGTGCGTCCAAATTGCGCCTGATTTCCTTTGATTGTGGCGTGCGCTTCTCACCTTTTCTCTTTTGGGTTTTTTTTCTCTCCACAGGACAAACGTGATTTCCATGGCATTAAGGAAGCTCTTGCTGACTTGCTAATCACGCCCGTGCAACGAATTCCTCGTTACTCGTTGCTTCTAGAGGTTTGTTTGCTCTCGTTCGATTTATTTTTGTTTTGTTCTGACAGTTGTTGACGAGTTTTTTGCTTGCTTTGCTCACCTCCATTTCTGGACTATTTTCGTTTACCCTTTTAGCAAATTCTCAAGTACACCGCGTCTTCTAGCCCCGACTACAACTTGCTGCGCGGTGCGTTGGAAAAGATTAAGCGTGTCGCCGAAATGATCAACGAATGCAAACGAGCCGCCCAGATTGTCGAAGATATCGAGGCTCGCTTGACTGGCTGTCCTGAGGTGAACAAACTGTTTGTTTAGTTGGAGTGTCAGTGTTGTCGGGTTTGTTGTTTCTGGGCTCACAATCTCGTCCAACACTTTTTTTTTTACCTGTGCGCAGCCTCTCTTCGTGCCGGATCGCCAACTCATGCTGGACTGTGATGTTGTTGAGCTCAAAGACGGCCGACCGAAGCTTCGACACCTCTTCTTGTTCAATGACATTCTGCTCTGTGCCACGCCTCGTGATCGATCGGGCAGCTTTAGCATTATCGGAGGGCAACCCAAACCGGGAACTGGTCAACTTCCTGGCATCGGCAGCCCCAACTTGGGCCAGTACCAGTTCAAATTGCTGCACTCGCTGTCAGATATCGATGTGCGCGAGCCAGACTCTGTATCCTTTGCCTCCAGCGGCGGGTCGACGGTCACCAGCGTGGGATATTCTCGCGACGACGAATTTTGTACGTACTCCCCGTAGTTTCAGTTGACCCCGGAGGAGGGGGGGAGGTTGCAGTAGTTTTGCACTGACTTGATTCCATTGTGCGTTCGAATTCACCCAAGTGGCCGAATTCCGCTCGCCTTTGCAAATCATCCATTGGAAGACGACTGGAAAGGAAACGTACATTCTGCTCTTCCGCAGTCCCGATCTTGTGGCGACCTGGATTGCCCGTATGAACGTGCTCAAAAAGCAGCGAGAAGGTATGCACGGTAGCGGTTGGTTGCTGGTTGTCGTGGCTCGTCGTTTTTGACTTTTTTGTTTCCAACCTGAAAACAATTCCCCCCCCCCCTTGGCTTGCTTTGGTTGTTTGTTTGATAGAATTCCGCGCTCGACAAAACAGCTTCCGCCAAAGTGTCATCAAGAAGCGAGATTCTCTCAAAAAGAAGGCACGCGGCGCTCGCTCCGCCATCCCCAAGTTCGATGACAAGCCCGCCCCGACGGCAAGCAAGGGCAAGCCAGCGGCCGGTAGCCCCCACACCAGCACCTCCTCGACAGAGTCCATCGCACAGCGCCTGCGAGAACTCATCAATAGTCGTGGTGACGTGGTACGTTTCTCTGCTGCATGTGTGTGTTTCTCGCCATGGATTCGGGAATTTTCGTCTGACTTTTTGCTGCTTTTTTTGCATTTTTTTCATCTAGGATGGAACGCCGATTGGCGAGATTCGCGAGCGCATCGCTGAACTCGAGAAAGAGATTGCCGTCGAAGAGCAAATCCTTGTTGGTGTCGCCAAAGTCCGTCGCATGTACGAGGCGCAGTCTGCGAAAATGCCCAACACTGAAATCGACCGCCAGTCCACCGAAGCGACCAAGCGTGTTGAAGAGCTTCGTGCAGAGCTCGTGCTCTGTAACACTGCACTGCAGCTGCATTCGGGTTGAAATCCCGTTCTTGGTTTATTGTTTTTTGTTTGCTTGTTTGTGTTTGTGTTTGCTCGGTTTGTTGCAGTGTTTTGTGTTTTCAGCCAAGGGTCGGTGTACGCCTCACTTTGGCCGCATTGTGCCCAGCATTCGTGTTTAATACAATGTAGATCATGTATGGTTGTCTGGTCAGTTTGATGGAACAAAAATTGTTACTCGGGACTCACTGCATCTATTCCAAAGGGAGCAAGTGGTTGTCTTCAGTCCTCGTTTGTCGTTTTTTGCTTCATCCTTTTTTTGCCGCGAACTTTTCAACTTGTTTCAAAAATGCTTCAAGTCAAATCGCACCATGCCCTCGCGCTCGCCTCCCAGCGCAATGCGGCGTCGCGCCCCACTGCTTCTGTTGCATCTGCAACGTCCGTGGCGACCGCCAAGAGTGCAACGGCCGCAACGGTGAGTGCCAAAGCGTGAGATGAGACGAACTCGACTCAAAAAAATGGCGGGGAATAATGAACGCCAATTCACTTTTTGCGCCAATTCGCTTTTTGCGCCTGTTTTTGGTTTTTTTCATTGTGCTGTACCGTCCTCGCTTCGTGTGTCGGCGTCGCTCCCTCGTGCCAGACTGAAGAAGTCACGCACCAGCTCTCTGTAAACCTGGTCAAGAACTTGCTGCGCCTGACGGTAAGGCCGCGACGACCCTCGGGGATTTGCGTTCTGGTTTATTGATTTCAGTTTTTGTTTTTTTTGTTTTTTTGCTCGTTTCATTTTGCCGCCTCGCTGCTCCTCATCACCCAGGTGTCCAACATCACGTACCTGCGGTATGATTGCTTCCCTCTTGGCTTTGTTCTTGCTTGTCGACGTTGCGTTGAACGGGAAATGTCGCTCACCTCGGTTTCGCCGGTTTGCTTCTTTTTGTTTGTTTTCTTCCCTAATTTTTAGTGGTCTGTTTCCCGAAAGCGTCTACGCGGATCGCAACATTGACGGCCTCGCTGTGAAGGTCTTGCGCCACGGCGCGTCGAAAGCTGCCGACCAGCTCATGGAATGGGTCGGAGGCTGCTTCGATGCTCTCGAGCGCCGTTATCTGCGCAAGACGGTCGTGGGCATTTTCACAAATCCGAACGATCCGAGCGTAAGTTTCCTTGAATTTTGTGCGAGTCGACCCCAACTTGTCAATCTCACCTGGCCTTTACATGACACTCACATGGTGCATACGATAACAGTCGCTCGTCGAGTCGTACACGTTCCGATTTGAGTACTCGTCCGACGGAGCGGTGCAGACCAACCTGTCGCTCCATCAGGGCGAGCGATGCGTGGGGACCACTGCGACCATGCGTGAGATCAAGGGTGCCACCATCAAGATGCTTCGCACTATTATTGTGCTGATCCAGACTTTGAAGCAGCTGCCAGGTCAGTCGGCGGAATCAATTCTTTGCGGCTGGATCGGTTTTTGCAGAGAATCTCACGTGCATGTATTCCGTTGGTGACTTGCTTAGAGGAGCGCTACATTACCATGACGCTGTACTACTACGACGAAGGTATGAAGTTGCAGGTGCGGAATACCCGTTGCAAAAGACTTATTCTTTTGGCTTGCTCTTTCGCTCTCTCGCGCGCTTGCTTCCTGCCAGTCACACCGCTCGAGTATCAGCCTCCGTGCTTCAAGATGACCCAGGCTGCAGACCAATATGAGTTTGAAGCGACCCCTTTGTAAGCCAACGTCGTCGCATGGATGGTTTGAGGTTTCGACCACCCAGTTCTCACTCCGTCTCTTCTTTCCTTGTAGGAACATCAACGTTGGAGAGCTCAGCACCGGCTTCCATCGGTAGGTGCACAGTTCACCGCTATTGGCATAACACAGACCTACAAGTGCGCTAATAATGGTTGTGTCGACAAATTCGTTTGGCTCTTTTGCTGTAGGCTGAAGCTAAGCATCAAGGCCATGAACGGACAGTTCGACCTTCCTCAGTCCGATGAGCTGCAGGGCGCTGCCAGCACCAGCGATGGCGATTCGCCCGCTCACGAGCACCATTTTGCTCAGCCGCAACATCCCCAGCCTGCTGCAACTGCTGCGAGAGCATCGCCGCCTGTCGCTCCCGTTGTCGCCCAGCCACACCAACAGCACGCGCGCCTCGAGCAGCTCCCGTTGTCGCCCGAGATCAGCCAGCAGGACGGCAGCAACCCGGCAGAAGCCCTTCGTCCTCGAGTCAACCTCAGTCTGAGCAAGCCAAAGTCCGTGGCGTCCTCGGTCGCGAGTGTGGCTCCTGCCGCCCCGGACGCAGCCATCCTCCACCAAGCCACAACGGAGCGCGCGTCGCAGGCTGTTCCCATTCCCAACGGAAAACTGGCCAACCTTGCTGTGCCTTCCAGTTCTGCTGCTGCGCAATCCGCGTCCCAGCACGAGTCGCCTCATCCTCCGCAAGTGGACCGCGCTCCCGCCGACGATCTCGTGCGTTGCCCTTGTGGCGTGAGTGAGACGGACGGGCGCATGATCAACTGCGATCGCTGCGGCTATTGGCAACATGGTGTTTGCTTTGGTTTCCGCGAAGGCCGGAAGCTCCAGCTCGACAGCCATCTGTGTGACCTTTGCCACGGCCTTGCGGCCTCCGATGCGCCTGTCCACCATCGCATGTGCTCTGCGTCCACGCCGTCGACCAGCGACCGTAAGCAGCTTGCGCTGCTGCGTCGTGCCCTCTCGGCGTTTGTCAATGGCAAGACCCGGTCGTTCACGCTCCAGGGCATGAGCAACCGCCTTGGTGAGGGGGTCTTTATAGGCTCTGTTGTGTTGAGCAGAGGGGTGGCCGGTTTGCTGTTTTTGCAGCTCGTTTTGGTCGTTTGGAAAACTTACCATTTCTGACTGTCGTTTTTTGACGTTGCGAGCGGGCAGGCGTCCCGCTGCGTGTCTGCCGCGAGCTTGCGCAAAAGATGGTCGAGGAAGGCGTTGTCAGCACCAAAGATGCCCGCCTGCTCAACACGAGCACCTTTACCGTCTACCGCAATCTAAAGGCTCGCGCGGTCGTCGACGAGTACTTTGGTGGCGCAGAGTCCGTCATTGCTGCGGCGGCCATTGAAGCCGCGCAAGCAGGAGTGACTCCCACTGCAGCCTCGATGGCGACGAGTCCTCGTGCAGCCACGGATGCGGTCCCGCCGCGCGTTGATGTGGTGGGTGAAAGATGAACAGAAGTTTGGTATTGGTTGGCAGTATTGACTCACCTGCTGTTTGGGTTTATGCATTTGGGGGGCTTCTTGCATCAGGCAGCCGTGCTGGCAGGTGCAAGTGCACGACAGAAGCGAGCCATCAACGCCGCCATCCTCCAGCAGGTAAAGGAAACTTGAGCCAAAAAAACAACAACTCAAAAACAAATTATCGGGATCTTATGCCTTGTTTGTTTTGTTGCTGCCATCGGTGTGTTTAGATGGACATGACGGACAGCCAAGACGATGGTCAGGACAAGGAAGGGCGACGCAAGCGCACCAAGACGAGTGTGGTGGACTTTCCTGTGCGTGTTGACTGAAACAAGATGTTTCGCTTCAAGTGTGCGTCATTCCTCCCGGAACGTGTTTTCCACTCGCTGTTTTGTTTTTTGTCTCTTCCCTGCGATGTGTTTTACCTTGTCTGTTGCATGTGTGATCTGCTCGACCCTTGTTGTCTGTTGAATTGCATGTTCCCAATTCGGCGTCGTTCATTCGGTCTTTTTCTTTTTCCTTCGTTTTGTCTTGTTTCAAAAATGATGGTCGAATTGAATTGCGCGGCCGACTTTTTGTGCAACTTCCTCAAGGCCAAGTTGCCTCGCGAGGACATTGACAACTTTCACCAGCAGTTTGTCCATGTGCTCAAGGTCAGTTGAGCCGCGCTGCAAGTCGTGTGCGGACTGTGGAAGATGGAGGAGGCGCCTGAGCGAAGACGCGTCACCATCTTTGGGTCCCCAAACGCGCTTCCTTCCCGCTTCTTGTCCCCTCCGCGCTCTCTTCCTCAGATCGTTCCCTTTTTTGGTCCTCTTTGTCGTAGTGTTGCTTTGCTCTTGTTTGATGTTTGTAGCTCACAAAGCAAACTGATGATGATGCGCTTTTTCTTTTCTTTTCTTTTTTTTTTTTTTTTTTTTGAAAGTTCGATTAATTTTTATTTTTTTTTTTTTTTTTTTGGAAAGCGCGTTTATGGTTTGCTTGCTGCCTGTGTCTGTGGAGAGCGACTGAGACGCGTGCTCCATTCTCTATGCGTTTCGTGGCATCGTGCTGCATCGGCGGCAGTGCGCCTTCCGCTCTGCCATCCGAGGGCGGCTCATTTCGTTTGAAGCGTGGGGGGAAATCTTTTCTTCTTTTTTTTTTTTTTTGGCTGGGTTTGCATTGAGTTTTTTTTTTTTTTTTTTTTGTCTTTTGGTTGGATTTGCATTGCCTTTTTTTTTTTTTTTTTTTTTTTTTTTTTTTTTTTTTTTTGGACTTCTGGACTGTTTGAAGCGTGATGCTCTGCTGCGTTTCCGTGCTCGTTCGCTTTTGACTGACGCCTTGTTGCCATGTTGCGGGGTTTTGCCTTTTGCTTTTGCTTCTTTGAATTGCAGCAACGGTATCAATCGCACTGGTACAACGAGACGCCAATCCGAGGCAGCGCGTACCGCAGCATGACTTGGTAAGGGCCGAGACAGACAGACAGCTCATCCCTCCCCCCCTGTCCATCCATCACCCTCCGACCCGCTTGATTGCTGCAAGTGTGTTGGAGCCAACGCCCATGATCGCTCGCGGTGCTTGGCTGGGTCGAAATGGGTGGCCCTCACACCTCGTTTCACTGTGGACTTGTGCTCACGTCTGTTGTTGTACGTCCTCGTTGCTTCTTGCTATCCTTGCGTTGCGTCTTGTCGCTGTGTTGGACACACCCCTCAGTGGACGAGAGCACTTTCAAAAGCACAAGAGCTTCTTGGACCCGCTACTAATTCAGATTGTCAAGACTTGCAACATTCGAAACATTGAGCAGTACTTTCCAGAGAACTTTACGCTGTGGGTCGACCCAGGGGAAGTTAGCTATCGAATTGGCGAGCTTGGATCCATTTGCGACTACTATAGCAAAACAACGGGCGTAACACCGCCGCCACGCGAGCTCTTGGACGACGGACCTCGGCCAAGTAGCACGCGCACCCCCGTCCCCATCGTTGCTCCAGGGTCGCCACAACTGACAGAGAAGGCAGCAGAGCCGGTTTTTTAAAACCAACAAACAATCGTGAGACGATCGTTTGGATTGCGCGGCGCTTTTTTGGGCAGGCAGCTCTTTCGTCTTTGTCTTGGATAACTGCTGCCGTTCTCCATTCCGTCATTCCTTGGGATGCTCGTCGCTCGCTCAGCATTCGAAAAAAACACAAAACCAAAAACAACTTAGGTCACATCCTTGTTCTTTTGTTTGCATTGTTTCTTGCCTTTGTCGATTATCTTTCTTCTTCTTCTCGCTTCGTTTTGTACTTTCATATTTTTGTGTATCGCTTGCCATGGTGCGTGAAACCTGCTCAGTGTTTGTGTTGATACATTACATTATGAACTTTTACTTTTATTGCACTTCAGTCTTCCTGTACAAATCTTGTGCGAACGAGAGCAAAGGTCAATGTCGGCGGGATTCTTTGAGACGAGCAGCGGCAGTGATGGCGCTTCGGCCGATGGCAGCTATCTGCCGCAGCACAACGCCGAGTATAAGCTCAAGGAGTATTGGGACCGGCGGTTTACAGTGTGAGCGAGCAGTCTGACGCACTGGCGGCGGGAGTGGAAGGGAGGCGCACATGGAACCCCGAATCGAATCGGAGGGAGCAGTCCAGCACTGTGCACTCTGCACTCTCGGAACTGTGTGTTCCATTTTGGCTTGCTCACGCTCCGCTTCGTGATTGGGGACTTTTGGTGTGCTGGGACTGTTCGCGGCGGCAGGGAGCGGACGTATGACTGGTTCAAGTCGTACGAGTCGTTTCGGATTCAGCTGCTCCCGGAACTCAAGCCAAGCGACCGGATTCTGATTGTTGGCTGTGGAAACTCGAGTAAGGCTTGCAAGCAAGCTCGATGCGATCTCGGCGCGGTTGGGGGTTGTTTTGTTGTTTCGATGAGGCCTCTGCAAACTAAACGTTATCCCACACTTTTTTTGGATTTTGCAGCGTTGTCAGAGCTGCTGTACAAGGATGGCTTTGAAAACATCACCAACATCGACTTTTCTCAGATTGTTATTGATAACATGCGAGAGCGATGCAATCCGGAATGCCCGCGTATGAAGTGTAGGTGGAAAACACTTTTGGGAACGTCCTCAAACCATGTTTCTCACTTTTTACCATGCTGTTTCAACGGGTGGAACGCTTGGCCATGTGTGTTTCTGCGTCGTGCAATGCGTTCGTGGAACTACAGGGGTGGTGATGGATATGCTGGCAATGACATTCGAGAACGCCGAGTTTGACGTTGTGATTGAAAAGGGCACCATTGACGCGCTTCTTGTGCGTAATGACATCTACTGGCTTTGAGGCAACAACATGCGAAAGGACGGTATCAGTGCTTGCACAGTAAGAGTCCAGTCTAACCCCGGTTTCCCCCCCCCCACCTCCGCCTCTTGTTTTGACTTGTCACCAAGTAGGTGGACCAGCGCGACCCTTGGCGTCCCTCCCGGCAACTCTGGAAGCAAATGCAACAACTGCTCTTCCATGTTCATCGCGTGTTGACTGATTGCGGAAAGTTTGTGTCCATCACGTTCGCACAGCCTCATTTCCGTCGGTGCGTAGTTGCAGTATCAGTGTGTGGCTATTTTGGCGTTGTAACAATCCTCACTCCAAAAAACCCCTCTCTTTCTGCAGCCCGCTTATCCATCGCAAACGCTTTGGCTGGGACTTTAACTACCTCACGTTTGGCGACGACTTCCACTATTACATTTACGTTATGAACAAGGTTGCCGTGCCCGTCCCTCCTCGCCGGCGAGCCCACCAACCGCCTTCCACTGCCGCTTCTGGCGACCAGACGAATGACCCAAAGGCGCAGCGACGGTTCAAGAAGGCCTCGGAAGCTGCAAAAGGCTTGACCGTCGCCGCCACTACTTTGATTCATGCGAGTGGAGTGCCATTAAAGCACATTGAGGCCGATGCCGCATTTTCGGATGAGTCGGATGGCGAGGCAGAGAGGAGCCGCCCGCGCGTTTCCCCCTCGGACGACAAGGATGCTGTCTCGGACTCTTCCGAGTACGAAGACTTGAAGAGTGTTTCTGAAAGTGAGAATGAGGACTTTTTGATTGGTATTGATGTCGAGCAATAACGATTGCTCCCTTCTAAAAAACAAAAACAAAAGGAAAAACAGCAAAAAAAATAAACGTTAAACATAACGAACTGAATGAAAAGTGCATCGCGCGCTATCGAGCGCGGTTTGTGGACCAACTGTATCAAACGGTAACGCTTTGAGCCGAGTCCACTTCATCGGTCGTGGTGAGGCGCAGCTCGCGGGCCTGCTGTCAAAACTTGGTATGCCTCGCAAATGCGTTGAAACATGACTGTTGCAGCTGCGTGGTCGGTGGGATTGCGGTCGGGATGCCAGCGCCTCGCCAAGCTATGGTACTGCTGCTTAATCTCCGTGGTGGTTGCATTGGCATGCAGGCCAAGAATGCGGTAGTAGTACGTGTTGGAGGTCGCGGGCACGGCTGGTTGAGGAGGCTGCGGGGGTCGCGTATCTGGGCGCGACGTCCGAGGGAACTGAGGTGCAGGGGGTGCTTGCGCAGGACGACGCTGTGGAGCAGGTTGCGAGGGAGGTCGGGCAGCTGGCATCTTTGGCGTTGCTTGCGGAGCCGAATCCGTCGGGTGAGCCCCCTCGCGCTTGCCTGGGATGCTCGAAGAGACGTGTGAATGGAGCGGCGGTTGTGGTGGCGTCGCTCCGGTTTGGTGTGGTGCTGGGCGCTGCTGTGCAGACGAAGATGCTTGCGAAGCGGACGGCTCTGACGAGCCGGTGCTCGACATTGGCTGGCGGTCGCTCGTCGCAGCTGAAGGATTGGGTTGGTGTGGTGCGTACACGAATGGCTTGTGAGACTGTTGGTGTGCAGGCGGTGCAGAAGGTTGCGCACGAGATTCCGAAGCAGCTTGGCTTCTTGGCGGAGAGGGCGCGCTCTCCGAGGCGGCGCTCTTTGCCTCCGTGTCGTGAGGGGTCTTGGGATGGCCATCTTCAACCACAAAGTACAGATGTGGGATGTTTCCAGTCATATCGGTCGCTGTGGTGAATCGCTGTGGCGAAGGCGGGACTTTCGCGGGGGTAGGACGAGCTGGGTCGTCTGCTTTGAGGGATGCAGCGTACATGGACAGCAACATGTTGTGCCTGGCGGATGGTGATAGAGACGGGTGCAAAAGGGCAAAGGGAGCCGACATTTCGCGCTCAAACATTTGGAACGAAACGCCTTGCGAAGTATTGGTTGCCGTTGACGCGCCGCTTTCCTCCGCCTCAGTTCGCGGCTTTTTGGCGGAAGGAGGGCTCGGTGCATCGGCATCCACCGAGACCGGCTCGGATGCAGGACGCTTGTCGCCGCGAGTGGGGGTGGTTGTCGCCGAGGACGAGCTGGCATACAGCAGCTGCTCAAAGGCGTGACCAAACACCTGGGCATTGGATGAAAGATCGTCTGCAAGTTGCTGCTGAAGATTGGTCTGCTGAGCGGACAGCATGCCGACATAGTCAAACAGCACCGCCTGAGCAGCATGCAACTGGGCCAGCTGACGGATTTTGTCTGCAGGACTGTTCTTGCTGTTGTTGATGCTGCTGCTGCTGGCTTGACTGGCCCTTGCTCGCCCAGGTGTTGTTTCGGTGCTGCTCTGTGGGTGTGGCTCTCGAGTCAATTCCATTGCCCGTAGCAGCATATCGACAACGCCAGCGTTCTCCTCGAGCAATTTGGCGCGACGCAGATTCTCCACTATCGTCGGCCCATCGTGGATGGATTCCTGTGCAGCTGCTGATTCGGTAGGGGAATGGTCCTGCTGCTGCAGATGCCTCTGGTGTTGATTTGGTGGTTGTGGTTGCCGATTGCTCGACGCAGGGGTCTTAGCCTGTGCTGCTTGTTTCGGGGGTCGAGGTGCCTGTGGTTGCTTTGCTCGTTGCTGTTGCTGATGTTGCTGTGGCTGTTGTTGTTGGTGTTGCCCGCGCTTGTTTGTTCCGATGTTCGGGCGCAGGTCATTCTTTTGAGATGGCTGCGAAGGCGACGCCGCGGGCGCAGCTTCAGGTGGGCCACGCTGATGTGCTTGAGCACCAGTATCCATCGCAACCGGGGGTGTACCGGAGTTGTCAGGAGGGGACGGAGGGGAGTCAAGGACAATTGGAGGCGAAAGGGACTGGGGAAGGTCGCACAAGCGAACGAGCGGAGCGGGTGGCGATGAGAAAGAGGACAGCTTGGCGAAGCTGGTGAGCGTTGACGAACTAGTCGTATTCGTGTGGATGTGATTGTGTGAAACCGTCACGGGAGGCTGGCGAGCATCGGACGCAGCAGCAGCCGTCCAGGAAAACACAGATGCACCTTCCCCTTGTGGAAGGCCGGTCTGGTGTTCGTCGGGAGAGCTGCTTTGTCCAAGGAGTTCGTGCATCCGCGCGAGCCGTGTCACGTCTGGTCCAGTGTCAACAAACATGACTTGCAGAGTGCCGCCAAAGATGTGCAGATACCGGCCGTCCAGCTGAGTCTTGAGGTCGATCGCAGCTTGATAATCGGCCGTGTCTACGGTCATTTCCAGGACGCCGTTTTCCAGGTATGCGAGCAGGGATGCACCAAACACGAGCACCGACGTAGAAGTGCACAAATCGAGAAACAGCTCTCGTCGCCCGAGCGCCGGCGCGTCCCGTCGGCGCACAAAGCGGATTTTGACACGAAATCCGTCGTGAGGATTGGTTGGAGTTCGATCAGGGTAGACGAGCGAGCAGCGAATGTTTGGCTCGAAACTTCCCTGCGCTTCCTCAAACGCAAACGCCGCTGGCAAGTCTTGGAGCGCCTGACAGACGGCAGCGGCGCCTTCCAGCTCGGCCGTGCACACAAAAACGACAGGTCGTGGCGACGTCTGCAAGTAGGCAAATCGGCAGCCTTTAACGGGCAGCTGTTGTTTGGCAAACCAGGCCTCCAGGATGGCTGGGGTGGCTCGGCGGTCCATCCCGTCGATGCGGACGTGGACTCCCGAGGCGTCCTCCTGCGTGGTCCCGAGGGCGGCTTCTTGAGCATCGGTGTGCTTGTCTGCTGTTGCAAACGCATTGGTCGTGGCGCCAATCGGAGCAGCAAGCTTGGAGGCCGTGGACCGAGCGGACGGAGAGCTGCCATTTGGCGGCGCCTGATGACTACCACTACCACTGCTGCTGCTGCTGCTATTGCTGTTGCTGGTATTACTATGATGACTAGGATTGACTCGTTGGTGCTGTGGCGGGAGCGGCAGGAGTGGCGGCACGTCCGCAGCGTGCGCATGTGCCTGCTGGTGCTGCTGCTGTTGCCGCGGCGGAGGGTCGATGCGAACTGGCTTTGCGCCACCACTTCCAGCGGCAGTCGCAGCACTATGGTGAGTGCGGCCATGCTGATGATGTTGGCTGTTGCTATAGGGCGGCGTTGGACCTGTGGTGGGGCGATGTTGGTGCGCTGCGGCAGACGTCCACACCATAGATGGAAACCCCGACGCAGCCGACTTTTTACCGCCACTCGTCGTCGTCGTCGTCGTCGTCGGTGGACCAGTCGATGGCATGAATGGGGTTTGTATTGGCTGTGATGCTGCTGCTGCTGCTGCTGACTCTGTTGCAAGCGGTATTAGCGGCGTCGACGACGACATTGTTACACACTTCAAAAACCCTGTCAAACAAATAACAAAAGACTGAGAAAACCGACCGACTTGCCGGACCGACTTGCCGGGACCGACCGACCCGACCCGAGAAAGGCCGACCCGAAAAGACAGCAAAAAAAAGCCATCACAACGTAAGGCAGCGTAAGGCAAAAAAACAAACACACATGAAATCACAAAACGAAAATGATGATCAACAAAAGCAAAAGCAAAAGCAAAAAATGGCGGGAAATCCAGTCCTTCAAAACCACAGCCAAAAAAACCGTTGGCTTTTTGGATTTTTCCGTCTTCACTCGTTTCGCTTGCTTGCTTTTGCTTTTGTCGTCGTTGAAACCACCATTGCTCCACTCCATGTCGAGTTCCACCATTGCTGCGACGAGCGCACCGGCACCGACAACGGGCATTGTCCTGCGCGATGCGAACGGCAACATTAAGCTATTCGAAACAGAGGCGCAGCTCTTTGACTTTACGCCAACGTCCTTCTCGGACGGCATCTACAATGCAGTCAACGACTACCTGTACGACGCCGCCGACGGCCTCCAGTCCATGCTCCTCTCAGAGAAGCTGTTCGACAACCCCGAGCACACAAAGAAGGTACCACGAGCAACAGCCATGCAAGAAAGAAAGCGAAACCCAAAAAAAAAAAAAAAAAAAAACGAAAAAAAAAAACGAAACGGAGGATTTTTGAAACAGTTTCACATTCATTTCAATGGTTTTGGATTGTTTCAACCGTTGTAGGGCATGTCGCTGCTGCTCACCAAGCTCCAGCAGTCGTTCGATATCAGTCTGGACAAGTTCGAGCAGTACCTGTTGCGAAACGTGCTGGTCATCAACCCCAGCACACGCCTGCCAGGCGACTATCGGGTAAAGCGGATTTTCGTTGAAGAAACACGCTCACTCTCACTGAAGCTTCTCCGTGCGCTCACCACCTGCTTGACATTTTTTACGTTGGTGATTCTACATTCAGGCTGTTGACCCAAACAGCAGGTATACCGCAGAGCAGGAGGCACAGGTCGACGCCGAGATTCAGGAGTTGCGAACAAAACTTCGAGCTGTACGCGAACCTCGTTTCTATCACCTTGAGACTTGATTTCTATTGCCTTTTGGACTTGCCATGCATCAGGATATTAATCCTTGAGACTTCTACTTCTTATTGCCCCGCGTACAGGCACAGCATGTTGGCCAATCTCTCAAGCAAGAGGCGGCCGAGTTGGCCTCGCTCACTCAGCGCTCCGAGCTGCTCACCACACGTGTTGAAGCCGCGCTACAGGCATGCAAAAAGAACGATGGTATGATATTGGTTGCTTGCTGAACATGCAGATGGGGGGGGGGAATGACGTGGTTGCCCTGACCGGTTTTTTCTGGTGATTGCGCTCTGCTTGCCCTGCTTAGTGCCCCACCTGACTGAAAATGCAGAGTTCGTGTGCGACACTGCGCGAGACATGGCATCTTCAATGAAAGAGCTTGCAAACGTGCGCTCCAAACTCGGTGAAGAAGAGAACGTCATCCAAAACAGCGTCCCCACAACGCGACAACTTGCAGAAGAGTTTGCACATCATCATCAGCAGATCAAAACTGTACCATTGAAAGAATTGAAGCAGCTGGCCGACATTCTTTGAACAGGCTAGATGATATTCTTTGCTGGAAAATCCGTGTTAACGCTATTGTGAAATAAGATTGTGCATTTTGAAGTCGTTGAAACAAGTTGAAGCTGCAGACTGATGCTATTATACAAAGAAAGACAAAAACAAAACATACAATATCGAACGAAACATTCTACACACAGAGTTTCAATCAAACTCTGATACATCCGGTAACGAGAGCAGATAATCCTCGCATTTTGAGAGGGAAAGGAACAGGGCACCAGGGCACTGTCGCGGTCAAAAGCATGCAAACCTCTATTGCGAGCGACCATTCGTAGGAGGCAACGAATGAATAGTCGGTACCGTTAAGGTTACGCAAGTGGAACACGTCCTATGCCAGCAAGGCGGATTCGTCAACTTCGTTGATGAGAGCCTTTTCTAGAATCACTTTGCCTTCCTTGTACTTTTGGCTCTCCTCATAGGCTTTGATCTGCAGCGAGAAAAAAAACAGGGCATAAGCGTGTGTGAGTCGAGTCACGATAACAGGTTTGACAATGCGCCCTCGAGAACACTCGAGCGATGCTTTACGTATTTCCAGCCCAGTATGCAGCTGCATTTGAGGCAATATACATCAACTACAATGTGAATGCCAGTGGTCTGTCCCAGCGGAAGATGGTGAAACGTGAACAAGAGGGCGAACGTTGATGTGCAACCAACCTCAACCTCACGACAAATTCGTACCATCGGTCGCTCAACCGGCTCGCCCGTCTGAACATTGACGCTGTTTCAAAAAAGACCATGTGAGATTGGCAAACCATTTGAATGTAAACCATAGAAAAAACAAACAAGATTTCACGTACACTTTCTCAAAGAGGTAGGCGCGCCCGTGCGTTCCGTGGAAGGCCTATTTCCCAAGAGTGCATCAGTGCATGACGCAACACAAGATCAAAACAAGATCAAAACTGCCACACCCCCCCCCCCCCCGATTGACTTTGAGTGCAGACCTTTGACACGATATCGTCATGGCGTGTCAGGTGGATTTGACAAGCCGCGCAAGCGTAGACTCGGCGGCCGCTCAAGTACTGGAAGAAAAGTTGACCCATAATTTTGCAATGGAGGAGACGTCGATAGAGAACCTCGGTAAGGGATTTGACAAACAAGCCTCTCGACACAAATCGCGCGGATTCGGAGGCGAAAAATTGGGACGATTGGGAATCGCGCTTTGGCGGCGAAGAGAATAACGGCGTGACTCAGACGACCAATCTGTCACGAACCAGGCAAGCAAGCACGCAGGAGTAGTAGAAGTAGGAGGTGAGTGGTGATTGTTGAAACGGGATGTTTCGGACTTGGAAGTCTGAGAAATCCCACAACAAGCATTCGAAGCGGAACACGCTTTTCATCCGACAATGCCCTGTTCTCTCAAGCTCAGCTTGTACATTACTTGCATCACAGCACGCACGCACTCGCGCACATCCAAGCAAAATTGGGGGAAACAATGCTCAAAACCAGTCACGCTGCCGAGAACGACAATTGGACACGAACAAAAAAATGCTGGCGTCATTTCCGGTTGCAGGTCGGACCACAACACCACGCGTAGAGCGCGCGTCGGAAGGCGCAGAGCCCTGGCCCGCGTGTGGCTTGCGCCAAGGACAGCGCCGAGCTGGCCACAATGACGACGAGGCTCAGAAGCACCCCTCTTGACTCGGGGCATTCAGCATGATGCGACGCAACCGGGTCATCTTTTGTCCCGGTTTTTTTTTTTTCTTGGCTATTTTTTTCGTTTCCGGCTTTCTCGCTTTTCGCACTCTTCCCCGTGTCGCGCTGGTCGCTCCTCATTGCAGCATGCACATTTCATGACACTTTGTCCACTGGTTGAACGACCAGCGTCACGCCAACCACTCGACGTCGCTTGTCGGCGTTTGAGTTTTTGTTATTTGGTTGTTGTTTTTTTTTTTTGTTATTTTGTTGTTTTTTTCTTCCGCCCTAGCATTTTGTTTGTTTTTCAACAATAGTCGCCCTTCTCCCGAGCAAGGTTTTCGTTCAAAAATTATCACAAAAGCTAAAACTGCGAGTGACGAGTGCACACCGCCCCAGCAATTGGCGAGATGGATGCTCGCGTGGTGCGACGTACATGACCACTGCGCGACCTCGTTGAAAAAAAAAAGAAGGAATGGCTCGACCAACCCTCTCAGTTGGGATGCGATCTCAGAGCCGGTTGAGAGTGTTGCCGATACCACGAAAGAAAAAAAGCACCTACTCCTATGGAAGGGGAAGATCGCTCACTCTTTGATTGACCGTAGTTTTGAAACATGCTGACTGAAGCCCAGATTGACGCGCTCAAGCGACCCGAACTCCAGCAGCTCGCCAAAGAGCACGGTATCCGTGCCAATCAGAAGGTAGCTCCTTGCTGTTGCTTAGTGAGCGCTGCGTGCTGCGTGCTGCGTGCTGCGCGTGCAAAGTCGGCTCACAACTGAAACCTGAAACCACGCACAGAACGAAGTTTTGAAACAGGCACTGCTCGAGCTGTTTCAGTCCGCCCTGGCCGCGCCAGCCGCCGTGTCACTCGCCCAGACTGCGCAGGAAGAGGAGCAGCAGGCATTGCAGGTTGATGCGCAGACCGAGCACGCGACTGTCGCTGAAGAAGCATCCACGAGGTAAAAGAAAGCAAAAAGCGGGAAGTTGGGTTTTTGGGATTTTTCAACGGTTTCAGAAACCACTCAAAATCCCACCCCTTATACAAACCCCCGAGAAACAATCGCTCAGCAGTCTGATGGTGCTCATGAGGCAATGTGATTCAATGTGTACTCATGAACCAACTTGGACTCGTTGTAGTGCTGCAGAGCCAGCTCAGGAGCTCGAGGAATCGCCAAAGATTGAACTGCCGCAAATCCAAAATGCCGCCGAGCTTGAAACCCTCCTATTTGCGGAAGGAGAGACTGTGAATCAAGCAGGGGAATGTGCGAATCAACCAATTGAAGCAGCTATGCCAGTGGATGCTGAAACGCCGACAGCTCCGATCGCACCGGTTGACGACGCTCGTTCTGCTCCAGATGCTGCTGCACCGAAGGAACCCTGCTCCAGCACCAACGACGATAGCAAAAAGAATGCTGATGGTGAGACACACCTCGTTGTGACGACTCGCCCGTCCGAGGGGTTGAAGCAGAACGGGCCTCCCGCAAAGACGAGTGTGCCCGCGTCGTACGTGCCTCCAAAAGTCACAAGGCCTTACACATCCCTCGCATACGAGATGGTCCGCCGTCAAGCCCAGCAACAGCGCGCGTCTCAGATGCAGTCGGCAAGCGCGTTTGCACCATCGACGGAAGCTCATGCACCGAAAGTCGCGCCCAAACTTCCAGCGAATTCACGAAGCAGCTCCTCTTCCCTTGCCGAGACCAAGCGTAAGCAACTGTCGGTCGCGCAGCTTGCGCAACTTGTCGTGAAACGTCGTGGGCTGACTCGAAGTGTGTTTGTTGAATGTTCCAGGTTCAGCGCCCTTTTCTACTTCGTTGAAGCCAGCGGCCGTCAAGCCTGCAGCTTCCCACCAAAGCAAACCTGCAGTCTCCAGCACAAACCCGCTCGGTTTGCACAAGACAAACACGCTTGGAATGCATGCTTCAGGGCCAGCGCTGAAAGAGCCCCGCACACAAGCTGCCACTCAAACACGCGCGTCGATTTCACAAGAGTAGATTTGGGTGAGGGGCTGTTGTGTGTGAGTGTGTCGAAGAGCCCGGGCTGTCAATAAGGTGTTGCTTACTTGAATGGTTGTGTTGCAAAACATCAAGCTGGAGCGGTATACAGTACAGAAAACATAAAATTTCCAAAAACAAAAAAAACAAAATCACACAGAACACAAAGCTGAAAAAATATATAGAACAAAATAAACGAGGGCGGGCGCTTTATCGGAGCGTCATAATCAGCATCTCGCTGGTTTCCTCAGAGTAGCTGTAAAGGAACATGAAGGGTGAGCCGGAGGCAGCGCACTGCTTGACGTGGTCGAGCAGGCCAGATACATGCTTCTTGTACTTGGCCGTGCGCTCGACGAACGCCCGAATTGTGCTCTCTTCCGCGACGCGCACCGACCCAACAAAGTCGCGTACCACGCTCGTTGGCAAGTCCACACCGGCCACTTCGATTTTGCCGCGCGCGGCCAGATAGGGCAAAAGAGGCGTCACCCGATTCCACGCATAGCCAATGTACTTTTTCTTGCGGTTTTGCTGCAGCTTTTCTGGCGACAAAATCACCACATTGAGGTTGCCGAGTTGCGCGACGCCCGAAGAGCTGCTGAGGTTGGATGAGATAGTGGACGAGCCACCGCCCGATGACAATCCTGCTCCAGCCGCTGCTGTGCTGGCGGAACCGCTTGACCCCGTGGCATGCTGAGATGTTCCGCCTCGGTCCATGCTGCCAGCGGCAGATGATCCTCCCTGCGAGCCGCCAGCATACTTGGAATGCTCGCTGGCGCTTCCTTCGCTGGTTGGGACGGTCTGGGCTGAGCGACGAGAAACGCCGGGTGGCTGCGATTGAGCTTGACGAATGGCATTCACCAGGAAATTCGCCAAGTCTGCTCGAACCACCTCGGTTTCAAACTTGGTCTCGAGGTTGCGGACTTTGACGGCCTGGTCCTTGAGCTGCACCACCCAGTTGATGCCAGCCTCCTTGCAGAACTGATGCAGGCTTTCAATCTTCTCGCGTTGCAAAGGATCGTAGGTGATCTGGGCGCGAATTCCAGCGGCCCAGAGTTCTTGCACGCACTGCAATCGAGCCTCGAACACGCTCTTGCCAACCTCAAAGACAAGCACGTCCGACTGGCACCCAGCGGAACGCTCGCCCAACAAGGCACGCTTTTCGTCTCCCTTGGCACCGGCAATGCTCTGGAGGTGCGGTGGAAGGCCAGAAAACGGGAAATGCGTCACACCCACGCCTCGCATCATGTCTTGCACATAGTCCTTGTCGGGATCGTACGTCCCCTTCCAGAACGCATCTGCCATGAGCTGCTCGATGCGAATGACGACTCCAACGGCCGCCACAGGGGCGGTGGCAATTTCGTCCTGCTGCAACTGGAAGGACTGAACCAGCCGATCGTAACGACCGCCATACGCGACAACGTCGTATTTGCGTCCACCAAAGTCACCCGACTTGGATGGAGCTGACGGCGAGCGTTGAGCGACCGGTCGCACAAACTGGAAGTACATGCCGTTGTAGTAGTGCTGCCGCTGCACCAGCGACAAATCGAGAAAGATTGCCTGCTGAATGCCGAAATATTTGGCATAGTCCATCAGCGTGCGCAAGTCGCGCAATCCCCGAGCAGCGCTTTCCGACACGCCGGGAACAGTCGAGCTAAGCAGCGGCTTGATCTTGGCACCCACGTCATTGACAGTGCCCTTGATGGCAAAGTGCAAAAGCAGCAGTTCGGCAGAAGCGCCGTCAAGCACTCGAAGCTCGGTGACAAGGCGGCGTTTGAGCTGGAGGATGGAAAGCTTGTCGGGTGTGAGTTGCTTGCACACCTCAAAGTAGCGGTCCTCGGGCACACCGCAGTGGCGCAAGATGGCATAGGTGATGGCGCCGTGATTGATGCGAATTGTGTAGTTGAACGAAGAGGATGTCGGAATCTCGCGCAGCACCTCGTAGGTGGTATAAAGCACTTCAATGTCGGGCAGCAACGAAGAGCAGGCCGATGCGTCGACAATGTCAAACGCAGCCTCGTTGAACTGGGACGGGTTGGCAGCAACTCCTTCGCGGAAGACCTGGTCCACACGGTATCGCTTGAGGAAGTGGATGTTGTTGCGGGCCACGTATCGCGCAAATCCAAGAGTCGGGTCGTAAGGGAGCGCAAGCACGTTGCCCATCCTGTCGAGCATATGGACAATGTTTGGGGTGTCCGCCAAGCAAATGCTTGGCAAAAGCAATGGCGGCGCCATTTCGATTGCACCTGCCGAACGGGTATGCGAGTGTGTGGGGGGGGAGAGTTAGCACCAGGGAATACAAACCGACTGTCTGCACAAAACAAGACATGCGTACCATGATGAAGGAAAACAGGAAGCATGCGCTCGAGAAGGCGATTTCGAACGAGAATCGCTCCGGTGGATACAATGCCGACAGAATGTGAACCGACGTGATACGTGTAGTCCAGCATGCGATCGGGTGGTTGAGAGAACAGGAACTGCAGGTATTGCAAGAAAAAACAAAGTGAGAACGATAATATTGATGATCAAAAAAAACAAACGGAGCGCTCAATCACTCACGTTGACCACTTGATTGTAGGTATCGGAGTTTTGCTGCGTCAATGCGCGCTTGATGTCCTTAAAGGTCTCGGTTTCCGCTTTTGCTGGCATGTTGGGCGATTCAAGGATATCGGCCGCCGTTGGTCGAGCCTTGGGATTGTGCTCAAGACACCAAACAAGAATTTGATGGGCTGTGCTCGCGCCGAGATCAAAAGAACGAAGGTGAGCAAACGGGACATAACACCAAGGGGGGAAAAAAGCAGTCATCACTCGGCGCAGGACAACAAACTCACCTTCGTTGGAGACTCGGGTTGAATAATCCTCCGGCACCATAGGATCGGCTTTGATAATGTTGCGAAGAATCGCGACGCGTTCCATGCTGGTCGTCATTGGATACCACATTTCAAAGAAGATGACGCCAAGACTGTAAATGTCGACTTTTTGGTTGTAGCGGACAGATCCAGCGCCAGGAATGGATCCAGGGGCTGTGACAGCAGTGGTGGACGGAAGCTCGCTTGCCGCGACACGCGCGTGTGGGTTGCGGGTCGACGGTGTCGGTCCTTTGCCGGTGGCGTGTTTCCCTTTGACTGTGCGTGCAGTAACCAGTGAGACCGTGCTGACGGAGGAAGGGGCATCCGCAGTCGCAGTGCCGCCGACCGGAACGGAGGACGGAGATCGCAGCTCTGGCGAAATGTAATAGCTGGTTCCAACGTCGCTTGTCAGACCGTCGCCCAAAAGGTGCTCCTGCGATTGTGACTTGGTTGGTAGGTGTTCGCGACTGTCCTCGGTCATGAGCGCGCTCCCACTGGAAGCAAGAGCAGTAGCAGAACCGGTGCCCGCTGCGGCAAGCGCGACAGCGGCTGCAAAGTTGGTGGCGAGGCCAAAGTCTCCAATTTTGACGTTGCCTTCGAAATCAATGAAAATGTTGGAGGGCTTGAGATCGCGATGGATGATGCCTTGACCATGGATGTAGTTCAGACCTTCCAAAATTTGACGGAAGAGGCGCCACACCTTCTCCGAGTCCTTGTACAGCTCAGCGTCAATGAGCGCCCGAAGTGTGTTTTCGCAATACTCCATCTGAATATAGAGGTATTGGATTGGTCGGCGGGGATCGTCACGAGGCTTGGGCTTTTTGTTGACAGCAGTTGCCGCTGCCGGGACTCCAGTGGCGACACCCGTATGCTTGCGAGGAAGGTCGGATAGCACTGGAGTCGGGACGCTGGGCGTTGACGGAGAGCCGGTCTCAGAACGCTCGGTCAATGTTTGTTCATCCGAACTAAAGTTGCCAAACTGAATGAAAGGCCCAGTCGCGCCCGAGGAGGACTTTAGAGGCGCCTTCTCAGCCAAGCGCTTCTTCCCCTTCGCTTGCTGGTGCGCGTGCTGTTGCATCCGCTTGAGGTGTGCCGCTTGATGCTCGGTCTTGGCCAGCTTGCGTGTATCTGGAGTGCGCTGGAAGACAATTTCCTGCATGTCGTCGTCTTCATCCTCAGAGTCGGCATCGTCGTCGTCGTCTTCATCGTCATCGTCGTCGTCGTCGTCGTCGTCGTCATCGTTCTCATCGTCATCGTCGTCGTCATCGTCTTCATCATCATCATCAAGCTCGTCAGTGTCTTCATCATCGTCGTCGAAATTGGCAGGCCCAGAGCCACTTTCAAACAAGATACTTTCGTCCGAGTCGTTCAAGGAATCGTCGCGTCGGTTGTTGGGGCGCCGAACGAGGCTGTCCTCGTCCAGGTCGATGTCAGAGCTTTCTTCCGACCCCAAGCTCTCATCGTCCTCCTCATAGTCGGAATCGTCCAGCGAGTGATTGGCCACAGAGTTCCAGCCAGAGCCATCGGCCGTTTCAATCCAGGCTTGGTAGTAGCGCACAATGTATTGGTGGTGCAACGCAGACAGCAGCGTCACCTCCCGAATGATTTTGCGGTTGGTGGGCTCACTGTGTTGATCCAGACGGACAGTCTTGATGGCATAGAATTTGCTGTCGAGCTTGTTGCGCACCTTCTTGACATCACCAAAGCCGCCCTTCCCCAAAAACCCAACTTCCTCAAAGTCGGATCGGTACCGCGACGGCATCTGTGGAGCTGGCAAGTCCTCAGTCGACACGGCGGCTGCTGCAGCCTTGGGAAGGCTCGCAAGCTCGTTCAAATGTTGCCGTGCAATGCGTGCTTGCGTGATTTGTTGCTGCTGGAAGTGTTGCTGCATGAGTGCCATGGGGCTTGTCGAGAGATCATCTGGCGACTGTCCCCGAGGATCGCGCGAGGATTTCTGCTTGGACACGATCGCGATAGGCTTGGACGGTGCTGCTGCAGCAGCAGGGCGATTGGAGCCCATCGGACCAGGAGGGATGATCAGGGTCAGTTTTTGACGGAAGGGTGCAGGCTCGACAGCCCCCTGTGTCGGGGCGGTGCCTGCCGGCAGATCGGATGGCTTGGCGGTCAATGCTTGCTGCGCTTTGGCAGCTGCCAACCCGCTGGCAATTTTGCCAAAGGACGGCATGGGCTGAAGGGTGTCTCCAGTTCTTGACATGCCCGGCATGAGCGAATTGGTCAGAAACGGGTGGGTGCGGAGGTTGGGAGCGGCCGAACGATGGCTCGGAATGGGGTCGAGGCACTGCCGGATGAAGTCAACCACCTCCATCGGCATCTTGTCCGGAATCCAAAGTTCTGGCGAGGTGCGAGGGTCGCGCGAGTTCAAAAACGCAGATCCCGCCAGCATCTCGAGCACGAGACACCCCAACGACCAAATGTCACTCTTTTTCTTGAACTGCGGTGCCGGCGCACCAGCTGAGGAGCTGGGCGATGTGGAGAGGCCAGCGCTGTGATGCGAACGCTCGGACCTACTGGTGGCATTGAAGAGCTCTGGAGGTGACCATACAGAGTTTGGATCCCACAAGTGCTCGTACGCAACAGGCTCGCTCGGCGGTGCTCGTGCGGTGAGCTGAAATTCTCGTATTTGTCGCTCGATCAAGAAATCGGCCAGGCGAATGTTCCCCTCGTTGTCCACGAAAACGTTGGCTGCTTTGATGGCTTGGTGCACAATGGCATGGCTGTGGAGATACTCGAGACCTGACACAACCTGTGTCGTGTAGAGCCGCACGGTGGCGACGTCCAAGCGCGTCAACTTGACGAGTAACGCGGCTATCGTGCAGCCGCTAATGAACTCTTGGTAAAAAGTGCAGGTAAAGTTCTCGGCTTGGTTAAAGTAGGTCATGCCGAAACATCGCACAAGATGAGGGTGGTCGAGGCGACGCAAGTGCTCAACGTCGAGGTGCATCGTAGCCAGGGATTTGAGATGCCGGGCGGCGCCGATTTGACACGAATCAGAGTCATAGGAGCTCCCCTTGGCAGTCAGGCGAACAGCCAACTTGTACTCCTTGATGGCGAGCATATCGCCGGAGTCTTTCCGTATCCCGAGGTACACGCACGCCCCGTGCGGTCCCTTTGCAATTTGTTTACATCGTTGAATCGTGGCGGCGTCGGAAAGAGAAAAGATTCCCCCAGGAAGCTTGGATGGCGACTGCGCTGGCGTGACAGTCGAGGCTGCTACGGCAGCTGTTGCCGCGGCTGATGGCGGGGAGGTGGCAACAGATTCAAAGGAAAGCAGGTACGAAGCTGTTTGCGGAACTTCTGTCCCTGCGTGGGGTATAGAGACCGGCTGTGTCGGCGGTTTTGATTTTGCTGCTGCTGCTCCTCCTGCAGCAGTAGATGGCTGTGCAGCTGTGGCTGAGACGGAAGCAACTGGCGGCTTTTGTTGAGCCTGCTGCACATCCTCCTCCAACTTGCGCTGCTCTTCCTTGATTCTTTTGATCTTTTCTTTGGCTTCATTCTCTTTCTTCCGAATCTCCTCCTGGACTGTTCGGTCGAATTGTTTCTTCTCCTCGTCCTTGGCTTTCACCTCGAGCTCGCGCTGGCGCTCGATTTGCTCTGCAGCCGCTTCCTCGGCTTGCTTCTTGCTGGCCATCATCTGGTCGTAGAAGGAGAGTTGCGGTGGCAGGTTGTGCTTCTCGAGAAACTCTTGTGCATCCTGCGGGCGAAACGCATGATGGCAGTTGAAGGAGGGGTGTTTTTCAGTGAGTGTTTCAACAAAAATGCAAACACACCCAAAAAAAAATCCGCCTCGCGTTTGAGCACGTACCATCACGAGCTCGTGCACCATCTCGGTTCCTCTTCGCTCATGAGCCCGCTTTTCGAGGAGACCGCGTAGTTCGGACTGACGCTCCAAGCTCAAGCCCTTCACAGCCTTTAACTGAATCTCTGGCACTTTGTCTGGATAATGGCGGGTGAAGCGGATGAAGAGCTCAAGCGAAACGTGTGCTTCAGTCCCCTCGAGGACTTTTGGCGCAATGAAAATGGTGAAGGCGGGGAAGGTGTTGGCACCCTGCAAACAAACGGCGAAACAAGTGAGGCATGAAAATGAATGCAGAGTGAGCTGGAATCGAGCTCAACCATATCAACCCCCCCCCCGCGATACAATCATGCATCGTATCGCATGCTCGACAACATAGAGCTGCGATTGCTATTGCGGCTTACCCCCCAGGCCGCATTCGTTGTACTTGGCTCGAGCTTGAAATCGTTCTGCGAGCAACGGCACAAGTTTCACCAGCAGAAATTCGTGTGAGACAAACGCAAAGATTGGACAATAACAGCCCTAACATTTGGCCAGACGGTGACCAACACGCCACTGTGCGCCAGTGTCATGTTGGCCTTGACGCGGCAGGTACGCAAATCGTCGCTTCAAGGACGCCAGACCTACCATGAAGATGGCCTGAGTGACTTCAAGCTCGTTGTTCTGGCGCTCCGCATAGTCCGTGTTCTTGAGGGCGACCGACAGCGCGCCCGTGGCAGGCGACGACGGCGCTCGGGCAGGGATGGTGGCCGGCAACGCGGACGCACTGGCAGCGGAGGCTGAGGGTCGACTGGCAGCGGCAGCCGATCGATCGCCCGACGTCGCAGCGGCCAATGTGGCTGCTGCTGTTGCTGCAGACTGAGCAGACCCCGCGACCGACGCCGCAGTGACCAGCTGGGGTGCAGGCTACAACCAGAAACACAAAACCAATGAGTGCTCAGCTGAATGACTCTCCACAGCACTCGGCGATGCCTCACTCCCCAATCCCAGTCCTCAGTGCCCGAGCGTCCCTACAAATTTGGCTGTTTTCCTTTCTTTGTAACCCCCTTTTGGTTGAAGTTGAGAGAATAACGAACGCGGGATGTGTGATCGCGACCTGGCGCTCAAAACTCTTCCCCCACCTCCAGCCAGGTCACCCTCAACTTTACTCGAACCAGCTCAAGAAAGCGTTTGCCGATGCGCTACTTGGCTTTCGTTTTTGACTGCTCAGATTGCAGTCAGTGTCTCGCTTTTCCTTCCGCCATGCTCAGCGACCTTCCAATCGGCGAAAAACGCGCGAAAAACAACGTCGACTAGGATTTTTGAATTTTGATTTTTTTTTTTTTTTTGTTCAAACCTTCTTTTTCATTTGTCGTTGTTCCCGAAGAGAAAATAACGAGTGGAAAATACGAAACAAGGTTGAAAAAATGGATTTGATTATGGGAGGTGTATTGTGTTGGAGAGTGTCCACTGTACTGTCAACAGAGTGCTTTGGCAAAAATAAAAAGCCGGCTCCGTTTGCCGATCAATGCTTTCGATCGCAATACTGTACAACGGTTACATCCGGCAGCGCAGTCTGGAATTTTCGCTTTTTGGATTTGCATCCTGTTTATTTACAAACAAAAGCATCGCAAGTAAGAAACCAATTGGCAAGGACATGTAAACGTTTGGCGAAATTGCGAAACGCGTTGGAACGCAGCAACGAGCTACACCTGCACAACCAGCCAGTTAACACGGCGGGCCAGCGACCGCGGTTGCGGCTCTGGATCCTTTTTCTGCTCTGGGGTAATTTTATGATTGTTGCAGTGAGAGGAAGCGCAGTGCAGGAACGCGCCAAGGGTAGCCGTGCCAACCGGTGGCACTAAACGTAAACAACAAACAAAATGCTCCTTTATTGAAGTTCAAAAACGACATGTTCCACATGCAGCTGCGATTCATTTCCGAGCTCTTGGTCGAGCACCCTCTGTCCCTCAGGAGCAACATGCGCGAGGGCGGCAGACGCTGGGACACGGTCGGCTGTTCCTCTCGTGGGACAGAGGGGGAGGAGTGGGAAGCGCCTGATTTGGGTTGGATTTGCATTCCGACAACCATGTTGCGAACTTTGGCTGATTCAATATTCGCCGCTTCCAACCCCATATTTGTAGCTCAGCTCTTTGAATACCAGACTCCTCCTCGGCTGGGATTTCCTTTTCGCGTTTTTGTTTCAAAAACCAAATGTGTAT